AAACAAAAAAACAAAAAACAAAAAACCACAAAAAAACAGATTACATGCTTTTTATTAAGGCAAAACAATGTGCTTGTGAATTTGTGATATTGCTGTTATTTTGTAAATGTTTAAGAAAAAATGTATTTAAAGTTGGATAGCCATTCTGTGCTGGGTTTTTAACTCTTACTGGTGCATACACTCTAAACATCAGGGACCTACTGTACATACAAAACAAACAGCTACAATCTACAGCTACTGTAAAACCTAGATTCACAACTTTTACTGTAATTGAAAACCTTGCACTGTAATGGTTATTGTTTAAAAAAAACCTTGTCAGAAATGATTTTGTATCTTTGATTATTATATATCTGAAATTTTAACATATTTGTATACTTGCCATGATAAACCAGGGGGAAAGCATTTGACACAGTCGAATTTCCTTTGTCTGATCCAATGCATGCATTGCTTTAAGATGTGGGTGGGAGGGAGATGGGTGGAGACGATAAATTAAAAAGGTGACCCAATTCATCAGCTTAAAAAAGAAAAAAGAGAAGCTTAAATTCCAAGCCACACACTGGTTCAACTGACGCTACAGCTGAAAAGATGAACCACCAACAACAGTAAACACATCATGTTATCCTTGCAATTCCTTATCAGTGTGGTATTGTCTAGCTATATTTCCCAACAGTGCATCATGGGTAGCTAAAAAAAAATAAAATTCAAGCCGATATGAGATCTTTGAAATCACACACGACCACAAATTGATTTCCTTTGTCTTCCCAAGCCAACTTTTGATTTTGAATAAAAGGACTTGGAATCAACATGATGTCATAGTTCTTCCTGCTTTTCAATACCAATACACTCTGCGTCCTAGCATCTTGTTTCGTAGTGAAGAGAATTTTTGACGTGGAGACAATTTTGAGACGATTTTCTTCTTGCTTTCCTTTCCTTCTTTTCTTTTACCCTACTGTGGATTAGGTATTATTTCCATATGATCTTACGCATTTCGTAGAAAATACCGTTTTCCCCTCCCTCGGCCTGCTTCCCTCCTTCCTCATGTCATTCCATCTTTTTTACAAAAGAAAAAAATATATATATACAAACAAAGGAACAAATACTCTTTTTCTTTTCTCTCTTTCTCTCTCTCTAGGATGTGTAATGTTGTGTTGTCCGGATTCTGTATAAAAAAAAATATGTATATGATGATGTATCTGATATTTGGCAGCTCCTGGCTGCAACTTTAACCAATATAATTAACAAAGAAATGCATAATGTTGGTGTTTTAAAAAGTTTTAAAAAAAACCTAGTTAAGATGTTTGTGTAAAATTGCATGGTTTAAAATGTACTTAGTGCATTGAGAAATGTTGTTGAGTTCCTTGGTGAAGGATGGTTTGCTTTTTGATTCTAATGGTGGTTGGTTTGTTGATCAGAGTATCCTCTATACTGTATGTCTTGCTTTATTTCACATCTTCCCCCCTTTCTTTCATTTTGTGTCCCTCAAGACCTTGCATAGCATTTATCTATCAATATATGTAATACTGTTCCTTAAAACCAGGTTGTGGAAACATTTCGTCTGGGGAAAAAAAGGATTTCGCATCATGCTTTGAATTAAGTTGCATTGGGGTTGTTGTTTTTCTGTAACAAAGATTCAGGTCTGAAGCACCTAGCTACTTCAATAAGCTCCTTTAGCTTTGGAAGGAATGCACATTATTATATTTATGTATTCATTAATTCAAAAATGTTTCTGTGCCACTGGCCTGCCAGAATATCCAAAGCAGGTTACAGCTGTAAATATTCTTCGTACAGCATTAGAAAGCACAACAATTCCATTTGGGCAGTAGCAACAATGGGAAACAGCTTATAAACATCTCATAAACAGATGAGGAAAATTGACCAATAGAAACAGCAGCTACCTATCACTAACACACCCAGAGAATACAACCTCTTAACGTCATCAAAATAATAAGGATTGGTGCCTGTCCAACATGGCTGAAAACAGTTTTCCATAACCAGGGCAATATCACCCCTTGAACATCACCCAGCTAATCTCGGAAGGTGTGAGCCTTTTGAGGAGGATCTCCTCACTGCATAACCTCACTTTCATGGACACCATGTATCTGTGATCCTGATAGCAGACCACAACTAAACAGATGCCATTTTTAGAGGCAATGAACAAGATTTCCACACTGGGGTTAATTCTATCCACTCGTCCTTGCAATTTCCCTTAGATTGTGATGATGACCTGGCATGGGCAGGCAGACTCCTACCTATCCACCCCAGAAATAAGATGAAGCAGATGGAATAACTTCCCAAATGTCCATGGAGCACCTGAGAACTAATTCTGACACTCCAGTAGCTCTCCTGGCCAGAACCAAGACTCTGGCCTATAAGATTGTTTTTTTTTTTATTCTGGGGCCAGAAGGTCTCAGAACTTGCTTCGGTATTTAATTTGCCCAAAATGTGGTCCTTGCTGGTGCAAACAGACACACATACTTTGTGTCATGTGCTGGGGGTGTAGACTCCCCAAATCCACTTTAAAACCTTGGGTTTTTCAGAATTATCACACCACTCTACCAGGAACCTTTGTGAAAGGAGACTGCACCAATTGAAAAGAGTCTGTGTCTAAGCCACAAAAGGAAGGCAGTTTTAAATTTGTTGAAACACCACAGAATTGTCCTCAAACCCAAATAATCCCTGGTTTTGGATGATTGGTTTCGATCGCAGATAATTCTATAATGTCAATATTAAGAAACAAATGTCATCGCAGGGAACAGCATAAAGTTAGCAATAAAACTACATCCATAAAACAAAAAACAAAAAAAAATCATTTTAGGAGTTCAGCAAAGAGTTATCTGTAATCCAAGGAAAGCTGTAATTCCAAGGGTTCCTAAGAAGCGTCTTTGATGGGTAAATTGTTTTCCAAAAGTTGTTTATTTTTAATGGCAGTGCAGGGATTGCCAGATTTTAACACTGATCCAAGATATAAGGGTAATGATCTGGCCCTGGGGTGAATTCCTGGGGTTTACATGATGAGAGTACCTACCCTGAGATAGTTCCTTCAAAGATTGCTTTCCTGAATCAACAAAATATTTATAAAAGCCGCAGGGGATCCCAAAAGGTGGACAGTTAATAAAACAATGACTTACTGAGTAAAACGAATAGTAAAACAATTAATTGGGGGAAGGGCAGAGATGTTTAAAAGCAGCATAAAATATCACAGAGAATGTAAAAGCTCAGTCTGACTCAGGTATTTTCCTATATAACCAGAGATAAAAGATCATGACACTAATGTAACTCTCTTGATTCACAATCATATGGTAGAGAATGAAGTTCTGTCTCAGGGTGTTCATCATAACATGGTCTCCTGAGATCAGAATAGTTTAAACTCTCCAACTAGCATGCACTATCCAAAGATGAATGGCGCTGAGGCTAGGGACATAGGATTCTGCCTTCTACCAAATCAGACCATTGGCCCATCTTGCTCACTATGGTCTACAGTTACTGGCAGAGACTCTCCATGGTTTCAGAAAAGGAGTTTCTCTCACCTGAAGACACCAGGGAATGAACCTGGGACCTCCATTCCAGGCAGCTGTGGTGTAGTGGTTAAGAGCAGTAGACTTGTAATCTGGTGAACCAGGTTTGCCTCCTCCTCCCACTGAGTTACAACTTTCCCCCAAGGAAGAAGCGCAAGTGGTGCAGGAGCATAAAGAATCCCCAAGGCCTAAAACTGAATGCTTGCAGGGGTTAGACATCAGTTCCTCAGGGAAGGAACGAAGGAAAGCTATCTCTGGTTCCTTCCCAGCTCCCTGGTCATTTTTCTTCCATTCATGACTCCTAGAAAGAGGCTGGCTACTCAAGAAGAAGAAGAAGAGTTTGGATTTGATATCCCACTTTATCACTACCCGAAGGAGTCTCAAAGTGGCTCACAATCTCCTTTCACTTCCTCCCCCACAACAAACACTCTGTGATGTGAGTGAGGCTGAGAGACTTCAGAGAAGTGTGACTAGCCCAAGGTCACCCAGCAGCTGCATGTGGAGGAGCGGGGAAGTGAACCCGGTTCACCAGATTATGAGTCTACCGCTCTTAACCACTGCACCACACTGGCTCTCACAACAATTATTGGTGCTTTCTGGACCTCCTCAGCTTTTTATGTCAATGAAGGTTCAGAAAGCAGTTGGGGGCTGGAAAGGACATTGGGTGGCTGCTGCTACTACTCTGAATTCTTCTCATACAGCTATTGATCCCTGATCCTCCAGATTATGTGATCTTCCCCTATTGCCCTGCTGTATCCCAACAGCGTGAGAAGATTGGGAAGGTTGGAAATGATAGATAGATAGATAGACAGATAGACAGATAGACAGATAGACAGATAGATATGATAATACAGCTCTCTTGTGGAACTTTCAGAAGACGTTCCCTCTGCTGGAATCAACTTAGAAGGCCATGTGATAATACACTTTACAAGCTCATCTGTGAGAGATGCTCTATAAGGAACGTTCTGTCTTTTCAGAGACATCTCTTTGAGACAGAGAGGAAGAAAGGAAAGGTGAATTTATTTATTTGGACATCATTGTATACTGCCCAATAGCTAACATTCTAATGTTAATTTATAAGCCATAAAGGAAATTAAAACAAACAAGGAACACATAATCACCCACACCAAACAGGTAAACCATATAAAACAGCATGAACTAGCACTAAAAGTTCTGTAAGATAATAGAAGGCTCTTCATCTAGTGCCCAAGGACTGTAGCAAGGGCAGCAGGCGAGCCTCTGTGAAGTCCCGTAACTGGTTTGTAACTCTTTTCCAGTTCATTTATGAGAAATGTGCTTTTGCCACAGCTGGGGAAGAGTTAGCTTACTAGTTTCAGAACCACGGACAGCAGATTGCAGCCTCCCTGTTTAAACTGTTGAGTCCGCTGTTTCCTCTGCCGGATTTATAGGGTAGCCAGCTCTACATATCACAAACAGTTCTGCAACCACTAACAAGAGTTGAAAAAAGTTTTATTTCATGCCAGCCCCTGGTGAAATTCAGGTAACTGGAGCAGTTCGGTGCTGCATCTACCAAAAGTTATCACATCCTGAGAATGTGTGGTGCGGTTAAGCAGTTGCTGAGCTTCCGTCCTGCAAGATAAATAGTAATAATGACGACTCTTTCAAATGCCCAACCAGTAGTTCATGCAAAAGCCCTTTAAGATAGGCCAATATTATTTCCCACTCGTTTCAGATTTGAGTTTTCCCTCAGGCCGCTTAGATGGATTTCCCTGCTCAGTGCTATTTTCCTGGAAAAAGAGGTACCAGAACTCACCATCAGCGCCTCCCTTGTTGTCTTGTAATGGCAGTGGTGAGTTCTGCCTGGAAAAAAGCCTTGCCTCTACTTATGGCTCACAAAATAAGTCACATCATGGTGTACAAGCTCTTAAAAAAACAACAACTCTGCAGTCCCTGGCATGGAGTAAGATGGGAGGAGGGATTGCTCATTTTCTGTTATTAAATAGTGTGTAAACAAGTTATTACATGTGATGTGTTGTTGAGATGTTTTCAAAATATAATATAAAATATTTGTATTTATAAAATATAAAAGTGCAGGAAGTCAGGACTGTAAACGGTGAAGGAAAGCACGATTTTGAAAGAGAATGGAGGGCCGGAGTTTGAGATTTGATCCCTCCACACCATGGAACAATCGGACAGGAACCTCTGGGGCTAAATCACAGAGCCACCTCAGCACACATGCAGAGCATCTGAACATCCCAAATCGGCCACTATCCTTCAAAATTGGCCACTGTCCTTCAAAAGGGTGTTGCCTGCCTGCCCACAACACTTCAGGCTGAGGCTGAAATATAAAAGTCTGCAAAATAAGTTCTGAAAGATAAGGACATTTGGAACAGTCTGCTCATCTAGTTCAGCATTCTGTACTCCCAAGACTTCACTGTTCAATAAAACCCATCACTGTCTACAGGCTGGTCCAGATGTTGGTAAGCTTGTGTTATTACAGTTTATTGCACATACCACCCCACCCCCCAATTTCATGCAGGAATTCATGCATGAGTCAAATAGCTTGATTTCCACAACTTATTTAAAAGGGGGGGAGGAGTGGAGCAGTCAGAAATCCTGTGAGCCACACTTGTGTGCTCACACAACCTACAACATGCTGGAAAACAACAGACACAACAGCATCTGAACTGACCCTAAACTTTGACTATTATTGGAACATGCAGGTAGATAAATGCACATCTAAAATGTCAGGTGAGTGAGACAAATGCAGGTTTGGAAATTCATATCAAACAGGTATAGTCGAGTTCACTCTCGGGAACAAACCCGGTTTTTCTGCTACATCCCATGAGAAATGCCCATAGATAGGTACACGGTCATATGAATGCCTTCTCTGATACAAAGAGGATTGTGGTCTTATTTGGGGAAACAGAAAAAAGCCCTGATACAGGTTGGTGTGAAAGTTGTCCTCCACATCTGTAACCTCAATCCCAAATGCTTTATCTATTTTCTTTTAAGAATTTTTTTAAAGACCCAGAACTTGAAAATATTTGTGGTGCTGCACAAATGAATAAAAACAAAATGCGAAGTCTAAGCTATAAGAATGCTTTGTGAAACCAGCCTGAACAATATTTATCCAATAACACTATCTTGAAAAAAGCTGGTGGGGGAAAATATTGCTTTAAAAAAGTCTTAATGAGGCACCTAAGAGAAGAAATTGTTAGTGCCATACTAATTTCTTGGGGAAAGTGTATCCCAAAGTGTAGGTTTGCTACAATGCTAATACCCTAGGGACTTGCTAAATGGACCTCTGGGGAAATGTGGTACCCACAGGATGACATCACTTGATCTCTCACTCATTGCTTGGAGGTAAGAACCATTGGGTTAGATCCAGGTGGGAATCATAACATTGGAAGGATTTTCAAGGTCATCTAGTTCAACATCAATCCAGGGAATCCAGAGGTCAACAATCCCCAGTAGGGGACTGACCAGTCTCTGTGCTTGAAGACCTCCAGTGAGTTAGAGCCCACCACCACTTGTCAGAATTGATTCCATTCTCAAATTACTCAAACTAATTCATTTAACATAGCCTCCCCCTAAAATCAATAGAAGTTAGCTCTGTCTTTACTGAAGTCCCTCTGATTTCATTGGGAACTAAGATGCACTAACTAATCCTGAATTCCAACAATTGTTTTCCATGGAACCAATCAGGGGCTGCCAACCATTTTGGGCCCAGGGAGCCTCAAACTGGATGAATTATTGTGGACACCACACATGTTGCAACTCTTCTCTCCTAGCTTTAGCCCCCTTGCTCCCCCCAGCCCCCCAAAATCGCAACGCGACAATTAGGCTGGAAAAAAAGCTTTTGACTGGGTAGAGTCTTCTTTCATTGGATAAAAAAAAAATCCCCTCCATTTAGCTAACTATAGCTTCTTGCTTCAGACCTTCACTTCCATAAATGCCTCTTTCCCTGTTCCATGTGTAAGGTGTTTTAATTTTCTTTTGATTTCTTTTTCTGCACTGCCGAGACTAGTCCTTTTAAAAAAATGCAAAGTGTGAATTGTTGTCATCAGCTTCATAATGTTCATTGGGTTTTATCTTTTTTTTCTGCTCTCCACCAAGTTATTTTCAATGAAAGTCAGTGGCTGTCTTCCCTTGGACACTAATGAATGTATATATCGTTAAGTGGCAGAATACACAGGAGAGTGGTTGAGTTAAGGATTAGAGGGGATTTGGTAAAGCCTGTTTATTTTTTTAAAATGAGTTAAAGCATTTAATATTTTACCACCATTTACGTGGTTTTGGGGAACCAAGATTATGTCAAGATCTCATACCAAAACAAGCCAAAATCTGTCTGAGTTGAGCGTCTCTTCTTCCACAAACCATATTTTAGATGATACTTTAAATGTCATTTTAAATGTTTTATTGAAACATGTACTGATGAAAAAAAGAAACAAACACAAAAAACACAAAAAAACAAAATGTCATCTTGACAAAAGATTTATACATGACTCAGAAAGTATTTATTTCAATTTTGTACCTTTCCATTTTAATACATTATACTGTATTGACTCAACTGAGATAATATAAACAGTTCATTTTAATAATATCATTGCGTGTGGCTGATTATTTCTCTCCACCTGGTTCTTCCCGTGAATGCTGATAAGCTTCACAAGCCTCAGATGGGAACAAGTTCATTGCAGGTAAGGGGGGGAAAGGATATTAACCAAGAGGGGGGGATGAATCTGTAAATTTTGATTTCTCTCTGCTTCTCATTTTCCCAGTCTCAGATTCAGTTCTCTACATTTCTGTAGCATTTTGCCTTACAGACTTAACAATCTCATGAAAATTCATAAGCATTTCAATACAAATGTCTCCTAATAAACACACTTAGCGTTTGTATTAATAATAACGTAGAACGCCCTTCCACCAGATGTCAGGGAGATAAACAACAATACAATTTTTAGAAGACATCTGAAGGCAGCCTTGTATGGGGAAGTTTTTAAATGTTTGATGTTTTACTGTGTAGCGTATTTTGTTGGAAACCGCCCAGAGTAGCTGGGGCAACCCAGTCAGATGGGCAGAATACAGATAATAAAAATAGTAGTAGTAGTGTTTAGCAGCCACTGAGCGCCTTATGCTCCATGAAATAACACCCCTTTTAAGCTAAATTGGTGGCCATCACTACTTCTTGTTGGAACGGAGTGTTTAACTAAAATACGGTGGGGCAAAGTACTTTCTTTTTGTCGATTCTGAATCATGCAACACTCAGCTTTATTGAATAATCCGGAGTTCTGGTATCACGAAAGAGGGAGAAAAGTTTCCCACTATCCAATTGCTTTAAAAAGGTAAAGGGACCCCTGCCCATTAGGTCCAGTCGCGGACGTCTCTGGGGTTGTGGCGCTCATCTTGCTTTATTGGCCGAGGGAGCCGGCGTACAGCTTCCGGGTCATGTGGCCAGCATGACTAAGCCGCTTCTGGCGAACCAGAGCAGCGCACGGAAACGCCGTTTACCTTCCCGATGGAGCAGTACCTATTTATCTACTTGCACTGTGACATGCTTTCGAACTGCTAGGTGGGCAGGAGCAGGGACCGAGCAACGGGAGCTCACCCCGTCGCGGGGATTCGAACCGCCGACCTTCTGATCAGCAAGTCCTAGGCTCTGTGGTTTAACCCACAGCGCCACTCGTGTCCCTCCAATTACTTTACACAATGCACAGTTTTATGCACCTCTATCAGGTCCTCCTCTGATTCACTTTTCTAAACAAAAACACACAAAAAATCACCCTGATAATTCCAGTTGTCCTTTTCTGTACCTTTTCCAGCTCCACAATTTCTGTTTTGAGATGGGGTGACCAGATGTGTAGGAAAAACCCAAGTGCAGTCACACAATGGCGTTGCATAAGGACATTATGATAACGGTACAGTGGTTACATATGCTTCAGGTTACAGACTCCGCTAACCCAGAAATATTACCTCGGGTTAAGAACTTTGCTTCAAGATGAGAACAGAAATCGCGCAGGGGAAGCAGTGGGAGGCCCCATTAGCTAAAGTGGTGCCTCAGGTTAAGAACAGTTTCAGGTTACGAACAGACCTCCGGAACAAATTAAGTACGTAACCAGAGGTACCACTGTATTTTCAGTTCCTTCCCCAGGTGAAATCCTTACTGGAGGATTTGCCTTTTCCCACAGTTGGGCGCACAATGAATTCATGTTTTTATTGAGCTATCAGCTATGAAGGTCTTCTTTTCCTTCTCCAGTGAAAATAGGGTCAGCCTATTCCATAATTATATTTTTATTTCTACTCTGCCCATCTGACTGGTTTGCCCCATCCACTCTGGGTGGCTTCCAACATATATAAAAACATAACAAAACATTAAACATTTTTTTAAAAAACTTTCCTATACAGGGTAGCGCTGGGAGATATATCAATATATCGTCCAAAACTTGTTTCAAGTTCACATCGTGATAATTGTTTCATAATATTTGAGCTGGCTAAATACATTGTGAATCACAATGTGTGTAAGGGCTAGGCAATATCTGGTTTTCAACATCGCGATAATTCGCCAGCTAAACATCATGGAAACTCACCAGCTGAACATCATAACTCACCAGCTAAATGTTGCAATGTTATCAGCAGCTAAAACCTCACAATGTCACCAGCTAAACACTGCAATATCTTCTTTCGCGATCACTCGTAGCCGAGTAAGATTGTCTTCCATAAACACGGTTTTAACAACGAGTCCGTAAGTGACTGTGGAGGCCAATTCTGGATCCACACATCCTTCCACAGTGGGGACATAGGTTTCTGGGTGGGAGTTGATCACGGTGTGGATTTGCAATACGATCACCAGCTAAACATTGCAATCTGCCACAATGTAATAAGGATGGAACTATACAGAGGGGAACAGGACAATGTCCTGGCAACTGCTACTACAGTACATGGGGTCTAAAACAGATAAATGACAATATTATCAATCTTCACACACTCAGTTTCATTAGCAGGCAAGCCAAAATGCCTCCCAACAGGACTTTGGGTTTGGGGCTTGGCTACCAAATGGTGGTATTCGGGACAATCCAAAGTATGGTGATTGTTGTTTAGTCGTTTAGTCGTGTCCGACTCTTCATGACCCCATGGACCAGAGCACGCCAGGCACTCCTGTCTTCCACTGCCTCCCGCAGTTTGGTCAAACTCATGCTGGTAGCTTCAACAACACTGTCCAACCATCTCGTCCTCTGTCGTCCCCTTCTCCTTGTGCCCTCCATCTTTCCCAGCACCTTTACCTGAGGATTCTCCCAGCCCCAAAATGGAAAGACGACAAGATACCAACCTAAGAAGAATGGCAAGCCAAGCTTATGGAATATGCAGAAATGGCAAAACTTACGGGAAGAATCAGAGACAATGACAAGGAAAGTTTTTTAAAAGACTGGGAACCCTTCATGTTCTACCTACAGAAATACTGTAAAGAAATGGACTCACTAGGAGGGTTTGATTGAACACTTACAACTAAGAAAACAAGGCTCAAAGGTTAAGAAACAATAATATGAGATGCAATTGAGGGTAAGAGGTAATGATGATTCAGCAGAGGAAACACAGCCCAGAATAACTAAGGAGATAGTACAAGAATACTTGGCTAGTCTAGATGTATTCAAGTCTCCAGGGCCAGATGAACTGCATCCAAGAGTATTAAAAGAACTGGCAGATGTGATCTCAGAACCACTGGCAGTCATCTTTGAGAATTCCTGGAGAACAGGCGAAGTCCCGGCAGACTGGAGGAGGGCAAATGTTGTCCCTATTTTCAAAAAGGGAAAAGAGAGGACCCAAATAATTACCGCCCAGTCAGTCTGACATCAATACCAGGGAAGATTCTGGAGCAGATCATTAAGCAAACAGTCTGTGAGCACCTAGAAAGGAATGCTGTGATCACCAATAGTCAGCATGGATTTCTGAAAAATAAGTCATGTCAGACTAACCTGATCTCGTTTTTGACAGAATTACAAGCCTGGTAGATGAAGGGAACGCAGTGGATGTAGCCTACCTTGATTTCAGCAAGGCATTTGACAAGGTGCCCCATGATATTCTTGAAAAGAAGCTGGTAAAATGCGGTATTGACTATGCTACCACTCAGTGGATTTGTAACTGGCTGACTGACCGAACCCAAAGGGTGCTCATCAATGGTTGCTCTTCATCCTGGAGAAGAGTGACTAGTGGGGTGCCACAGGGTTCTGTCTTGGGCCCGGTCTTATTCAACATCTTTATCAATGACTTGGATGATGGACTCAAGGGCATCCTGATCAAATTTGCAGATGACACCAAACTGAGAGGGGTGGCTAACACCCCAGAGGACAGGATCACACTTCAAAACGACCTTGACAGATTAGAGAACTGGGCCAAAACAAACAAGATGAATTTTAACAGGGAGAAATGTAAAGTATTGCACTTGGGCAAAAAAAAATGAGAGGCACAAATACAAGATGGGTGACACCTGGCAGTACATGTGAAAAGGATCTAGGAGTCTTGGTTGACCACAAACTTGACATGAGCCAACAGTGTGACGCGGCAGCTAAAAAAGCCACTGCAATTCTGGGCTGCATCAATAGGAGTATAGCATGTAGATCAAGGGAAGTAATAGTGCCACTGTATTCTACTCTGGTCAGACCTCACCTGGAGTACTACTGTGTCCAGTTCTGGGCACCACAGTTCAAGAAGGACACTGACAAACTGGAACGTGTCCAGAGGAGGACAACCAAAATGGTCAAAGGCCTGGAAACGATGCCTTATGAGGAACGGCTAAGGGAGCTGGGCATGTTTAGCCTGGAGAAGAGGAGGTTAAGGGGTGATATGATAGCCATGTTCAAATATATAAAAGGATGTCCCATAGAAGAGGTAGAAAGGTTGTTTTCTGCTGCTCCAGAGAAGCGGACACGGAGCAATGGATCCAAACTACAAGAAAGAAGATTCCACCTAAACATTAGGAAGAACTTCCTGACAGTAAGAGCTGTTCGACAATGGAATTTGCTGCCAAGGAGTGTGGTGGAGTCTCCTTCTTTGGAGGCCTTTAAGCAGAGGCTTGACAACCATATGTCAGGAGTGCTCTGATGGTGTTTCCTGCTTGGCAGGGGGTTGGACTCGATGGCCCTTGTGGTCTCTTCCAACTCTATGATTCTATGATTCTATGAATAAATGGGGGAAATTGTGTACACTTGAAAACATTGGCAGCAGTAAGATAAATTAAACAGTGTAAATAAAGTTTTGATGGATGGAATAAAGGTATACTGAATGGTTTAGTTTATGTAAAATATGCAGGGATTTCAGATATGCAAAATAAACCGTGGAAAGAGAGGAAGGGAAGTCATTGATATTTTAAGGATGTTTAAATGAGTATTTTAAATTGTAAAACAGAAAAATTAATAAACTATATATATATGTCTCATTTGGATTCATTTTGGCTTGCCTGCTGCTGAAAGTGACCATGAGGTAATTGACAATATCATCATTTATCTGTTTTAGACACTTAAGTAGTAGCAGTTGTCATTGTCCTGTTCGCCTCCGCGTAGCTCCATCTCTATTATTGATACATCGCAATGTTTAGCTGGTGATACATCGCGATACTGAAAACCAGTTATTGCCCAGCCCTAATACAGGGCTACCTTCAGATTTCTTCTAAAAGTTGTATAGTTACTTATTTCCTTTCCTCGGGGGTCACATAACTCCATATCCTCCAACATTTTTCCTATGGAAATCGGGACATTCCAGAATCAAATCAGAAACCGGGATGGCTTCTATAAATCCAGGACTGTCCCTGGAAAATAGGTCTGTGATGTTAGGATCGCAGCAGAGAGCACCAATTTACCTTTAGTTCTCCAGTTCTTCTCAGTAGTTCCACAGAACTGGTGAGTATTTACTCATCGCACAATGCAAGGATGTGGGCTCATTGCTTACAGGCTAACAGATTGAGGTTGAATCCTGACAAGACAGAAGTACTGTTTTGGGGGGACAGGGGGCGGGCAGGTGTGGGGGACTCCCAGGTCCTGAATGGGGTAACTGTGCCCCTGAAGGACGAGGTGCGCAGCCTGGGAGTCATTTTGGACTCACAGCTGTCCATGGAGGCACAGGTCAATTGTGTGTCCAGGGCGGCTGTCTACCAGCTCCATCTGGTACGCAGGATGAGACCCTCCCTGCCCACAGACTGTCTCGCCAGAATGGTGCATGCTCTATTTATCTCCTGCTTAGACTACTGCATAGCACTCTATGTGGGGCTACCTTTGAAGGTGACCCGGAAACTACAACTAATCCAGAATGCGGCAGCTAGACTGGTGACTGGGAGTGGCCGCTGAGACCACATAACACCGGTCTTGAAAGACCTACATTGGCTCCCAGTACGTTTCCGAGCACAATTCAAAGTGTTGGTGCTGACCTTTAAAGCCCTAAACGGCCTCAGTCCAGTATACCTGAAGGAGCGTCTCCACCCCCATCATTCAGCCCAGCGCCGAGGGTCTTCTTATCTTTAAAAGACATCTGAAGGCAGCCTGTTTAGGGAAGTTTTTAATATTTAATGCTATGTTGTTTTTAACACTCGATTGGGAGCCGCCCAGAGTGGCTGGGGAAACTCAGCCAGATGGGCGGGGTATAAATAATAAATCATTATCATTATTATTGTTATTATTATTATACACTCATAGGGAGCTCTCTAAATCATAAGATGTCAGGGAACACACACCCACACAAATAATTCGTGCAAGGAAATGCCAGTTGTCCAAAGGTCTCTGAAGCGAATGCAGCTGGAATGGTTAGAAGCAAACCAGTACCAGGAGCGAGGAACGCTGCACAGGAATTTTCTAATCCAGCCAATCAGTGATCCAAGAGCTGCACAGCACTGACCTGAAAGAAGAGATGTCATGCATAAAAGGCCACAAGGAAAATTGGAAGTTTTGCAGCATCTAGAGATGAGAGACTGCGTGATGTAGGAAATGAACATCAGAGATACTGGTAAATACTGTTCGCATTTTTGCCAGCCTGGCTAGGGATCTAGCTGCCATTACCACGATTTGTGTTCCTGGCTGCCGCGCGTATCCTCTCTCCCAATCCAAGGTGTGGGAAGAAGGAAATCCCCTCTGCCTCCATCCCACCTGAGGTGTGACTAAATGCTAAAATGATCTGCTAATATTCTGTGGTCACTTTCAAAGCCTTTCTAGTGTCCTGGGCAACTTTCCGGGGTCACGTGTGGGTGGGTGGCAAAGCGGAAAGCAAAAGTGGGTACAGCAACAAATGTCAATCTTACCTTTGTACATTAGGCTATGCTATAGATACAGATACAGATATGCGCTGTGGTCTAAACCAATGAGCCTTTGGCTTGCCGATCAGAAGGTTGGCGGTTCGAATCCCCATGACAGGGTGAGCTCCCGTTGTTTAGTCCCAGCTCCTGCCCATCTAGCAGTTCAAATAAATAGGTACCGCTCCAGCGGGAAGGTAAATGGTGTTTCTGTGCGCTGCTCTGGTTCGCCAGAAGCGGCTTAATCATGCTGGCCACATGACCCAGAAGCTGTCTGTGGACAAACGCCAGCTCCCTCGGCCTATAGAGCGAGATGAGTGCCACAACCCCAGAGTTGTCCGTGACTGGACATAACAGTCAGGGGTACCTTTACCTTTTTACAGATACCTCACACCTCTGACCTCCAACCAGGCAAGCAAAAGGGATATTGAGTGCTCAAGGACACATTCCAGACAGGCAAAAACACTTTGGTGTTTGTTTGTTATACGTCCTGGGTTGCCTTGGGCAAGATAAAACGACTAAGAAATTAATAATATCTATCCTATCTAGTGTCCTGCATCCTGACTGCAATGGTGGCCAACGAGATTGGCCTGAGAGCTACAGGGGAGGCGAGGCTTTGGTGAAAGTGCGAGCTTCACCAGTTGGATTTTCAGCTGCCCAGCTGATAGCGAGCCAAGAGATAAGCTCTTGCATGGAGGTGCAGCGATGGAAGCGAAGCACCGCCCGCTGAATGTTAGCAGCGCAGCCGGAGGAAGAAGAGAAATCCAACAGGCAAAGACCAGCCCGGTTGAACTCCAGCCTGTTGAGCAGCAGCCGCTTTGAAACCCCGCAGCCTAACGCTGCGGCCGTCTACGCTACTGCCTGCTCCGCGCTCCGCGCAACAACGAGGGCGTAAGCGCCGCCGCCCTGTCCCATCCCTCCTTCCCGCCATCCCCGGGCGGCTCTCGTTAAGCTCAGGGGGTCCCTAGTTCTTCCTTCCTCCGCTTTCTTCCAATCAGGCGTCCATTTTAGACGGCCGCGAGGCGCGCCTGGCAGGAGCTAGGCCCCAAACGGCGGCAGATTGGTCGTCATCACCGCGCGCCAGCCTCTCTGGGAGGCCCCCTTCCCCCAAGATGGCGATGCTGGCAGAACGTGAGTATGAAACCGGCTGAAAGGACGGCAGGGAGAGGAATGAAGGCGCGGCGGAGCCCGCTCTTCGTCTCGCGGCCGTTGACGACGCCCCGTCACGCCAGGAGAGCCCCACTGGACCCGGCGTCCCCCCACCCCACCCCGCCCAGTCTCAGCCCCAGTCTCCTGCTCCCGACCGAGGACAGCCAGATGCCTCCGGGGCATAGCTGTCAACGTTTCCCTTTTCCTCATCATCAATCTTTATTACGGTCCAGAAACCCAACAAATCGTTACAAAGCAATGCACAATTCAGACAGCCTACCTCCAGGTTAAACAAGCATTTTGTTCAGACTTAAAGATAGGGATCATTGGTTCTTGCAACCACCGATAAAAACTTTGCCACTGCTAATGTTCTAGCGTTTGTCCGGTCTTCCAATAGGAACCTGACATAGTGAGCCTCTGATTTTCCCAGTTCAGCCCTGGCATGCTCATATTATTATAGAATCAATGTCTTGAGCACACGAGCAAAGTCTGTCCTGGTAGGGAACTCCTCTCAACCTGCCATCCAACACTGCAGAAGGAAAGACGTTTAGTCTAGCTTTGGTGAAAAGCCTTGGATAGTTTGGTACTGGCAGGTTTTTAATGTAAGATGTTAACTTAAAGACATGCCCATATTGTACTCCTACTGCTAGCGGGTACTCCTACTTTCTTTCGAGTAATCCTATTCGGAATAAGGGAATTTCCCTTTAAAAAAGGGAAAAGTTGACAACTATGCTCCGGGGTCCTCGCTTCCAAGTAGGGTTGCCGCCTGCCCTGCATAACTCAGAACTGCCCCATATTTCAGTATAGAATGCTGTGCGTCCTGTTTTGAGACAAATTTTGTCCTGTATTTCAGGCAGGGTGGATGTGATTTAAATCAAATCTATTTAAAACACTAGTCAGTAAATTTAATTTTTCTTCTTCTTACAGAAATACATTCCTGCTGGTATAATCTTAATACAGTGGTACCTCAGGTTACATACGCTTCAGGTTACAGACACTTCAGGTTACAGACTCCGCTAACCCAGAAATAGTACCTCAGGTTAAGAACATTGCTTCAGGATGAGAACAGAAATCGTGCTCTGGCGGCGCGGCGGCAGCAGGAGGGCCCATTAGCTAAAGTGGTGCTTCAGGTTAAGAACAGTTTCAGGTTAAGTACGGACCTCTGGAATGAATTAAGTACTTAAGCCAAGGTACCACTGTATTTACAACCAGATGAAGGTTTCATTTTTGGAATAATAAATTTCCAGAGTAGTTTTTACAGTTATATCAAAAACTACCGATTTGGTTATACTATTAGAAATATATAGGCAGATAATTATGAAATTATTGCTAACTGTTTATATCTGGACAACTTTTCTGCTGTACTTTATTGGAAGGAGAAGAATAATCATTTCCTTAATAGAAATTTAAACAATTTATTTAACTAAAACAATAACATTATAGCATATGTATCCATGTTTGTTAACTGATGTGATTAAACTTTTTTTAAAAAAAACAAACAAAACCCAACTTAGACTGAGTTTCAGCACACAGGAAAAACTTAAAACAAATCCTTATTTCCTGATGAATAGCCTTTGGACTACAATGTAACTTAAATATAAAACTATCTTTGGAAAGATTTTTTTCCTCAAAAAGCATTTTCTTTTTAAAATCCAATTTAATTTTTAAAAAAATCCGATTTAAAGTGATGGATTGCTTTGGAGTCACTTCAGCACCAGATTCGGGGGAAAAAATAAATCGTTCACCAACTCCCTACCCCACCCCACCCCGGCCTTGTCCTGTATTTTGCCAGAACAAAGGTGGCAGCCCTACTTCCAAGGAAGGAAGTAGGAAACTGGGAAACAAGGGGAAAGTGGCTCATTGAGGCCTGTGTTTTATGACGTGCTTTTTGTGTACACTGCTCTGATGTTTACGAGTCTGGTTTAAGAAGATCCCTAAAATTTAACAATTTTTCCCGACTTGCTGACAAGCTGAATAGGAGCAGCCCATCCTTGTTGCGGGTTCAGTTCTTCTGGACACGTCAACTGGCAGTCATTGCCACCTTGTGTAAGAGGTTCTGCTGCCTATTCTTACTCTGCTTATTTGTTTGCTCTGCAGTGCCCTAGCCCCTGTGTGAATTTAAAAGCCTAGAGGCAGTTAGTGGAAGGGCATCATGGAAGGAGAATGGTTTGTCAGTCCTGGCCAGGAGGGGAGAGGGAAGAGCAAGCCAGAGGGGAAATTTCTTTTCCAACTTTGGGGCTTAAATTAGCTTTCTCTCTCTTCTCAGCACGCAGGAAGCAGAAGTGGTCTGTGGATCCCCGGAACAGCGCTTGGAGTAAAGATGAATCAAAATTTGGCCAAAAGATGTTGGAAAAAATGGGGTGGTCAAAAGGCAAAGTAAGTCTGCATAGCCAAAAAATATATGAACGGTTCAGAAGTGTGTATCTGCCTTGTGCAAGCCAGAAGGAGATGTGCGCTGAGATGTGTGACAACGCTTCTTTCGTAAGGAGAAGGGGTTACCCTGGGATTGTAGAGCCAGTCACCGAGACGTGACTAACCACCTGATCAGTCCCCAGCCAAGCCACTTGCAGCCTTCCCTTCCCTAGCCTTCCATCTCCTCAGATAGAAATTGTGTTTTTCACCTGCTAAGTGAGTAACACAAACTGGTGAATTGTTATTTCCTTCTCTGACACACAGACATATGCATGCATGCACACACACACACACACACACACACACAGGTTTAATGAAATTTCAGCAGCTGGCATTGCTTTGTGTTTATGACTTTAGAAATGCATTTTTTATATTGCATTTTTACACTGCTCCCAGCTCCCATGGGAGGAAGGTCAGTATGGAAATGGAATCCATCACTGAAGGGTAGCTAACTCTGGCTCCATCCATCAACCAGGGGATTCAGGGATGCTGGTTGATGTCTCTCTCTCTCTCTCTCTGTGTGTGTGTGTGTGTATATGAGTTTGGCATGTGGTGTTATCACTGTTACAACCTGTTGTATGCCACCTTGGAAGGAACGCCATTGAAATGCAAGTTGGAAACCTTTTTGAGACAAATAAAATAATTTGCAAGGTGTTTCAGCCTCCTTTGGCTGATTTCATTACTCTGCTTCTCTTTCTCTCCCAGGGCCTTGGAGCTCAGGAACAAGGTAACACCGAACACGTCAAGGTCCAACTGAAGAACAACACTCTGGGATTAGGAGCAACCGCCAACCAAGAGGTGGGTGGAGTGAATGGAAACGAGGTCTACATCTGCTCAAATCAGGCACGAGCATTCAAATCCGCATTTATCTGCCTATCTTGGAATTCATATTGCGAGTTTTCTGTTCTCTGCAGAGCTCCAGATCCTCAGGGTTTACAGAAGGGGAATCAACCCTGTAAAATTAGCAGATATGCAGACGGGCTTGATTTGTATTTAAAGTTCACAGAAAGAGACTGACTAGTTCTTGTTTTGGGTTTGCACAGAATAATTTGGATTTTTGCACGAGTGCAGTCTGTCGTTTGGAATTGAATTAGATCGCTTGTCATTTTAGCAACTAGACAAACAGCTCTTTTCCAGCATCATACCAAGCCCAAGGTTACAATTAAGGAACTGTCGCTTGGTGTGATATCTCAGTTGACCAACCATGGTTTGCAGTCATCTGCCAATTTGGTTTTGAAATGATGATGGCTATGCTACCTGCACAGTAAAGGCAGCAACACTCCTGAATACCAGTTGCTGGAAACCACAGGAGGGGAGAGTTGCTCTTGTGCTCGCGTCCTGCTTGTGGGTTTACCTTTGTAGCACCTGCTTCACCATTGTGAGAATGGGATGCTAGACTAGATCACCATTATTGTTGTTGTTTAGTCGTGTCTGACTCTTCGTGGCCCCATGGACCAGAGCACGCCAGGCACTCCTGTCTTCCACTGCCTCCCGCAGTTTGGTCAAACTCATGCTGGTAGCTTCGAGAACACTGTCCCACCATCTCGTCCTCTGTTATCCCCTTCTCCTTGTGCCCTCCATCTTTCCCAACATCAGGGTCTTTTCCAGGGGGTCTTCTCTTCTCATGAGGTAGCCAAAGTATTGGAGCCTCAGCTTCAGGATCTGTCCTTCCAGGGAGCACTCAGGGCTGATTTCCTTCAGAATGGAGAGGTTTGATCTTCTTGCAGTCCATGGGACTCTCAAGAGTCTCCTCCAGCACCAGAATTCAGAAGCATCAATTCTTCGGCGATCAGCCTTCTTTATGGTCCAGCTTCATGGATCACTGCCTTGCTGTAGCGAAGGGGCTTGAATAACTCAGAGAAGCTATGAGCTATGCCATGCAGGGCCACCCAAGATGGACAGGTCATAGTGGAGAGTTTTGACCAAACGTGATCCACCTGGAGCAGGAACCGGCAAGCCACTCCAGTATCTCTGCCAAGAAAGCTCCATGGCCAAAGACAACAGATCACTATTAGCCTGATCAAACAGAGCTCTAATCACTTTGTTAGTCATGACTGCCAGTCTGGTACATGCAAGCAGTCTGGTACCAGAGACCTTCTCTGGTGCTTGTAGCATCCCCTCTACCCCCACAAAAAGGCTTAAGACAGACATATTGTAGCCAGTGGATTAGGTTGTGATATGTGTTTGGTTGTGAGTCCGTGTGGTGCCCACATCAGTTTTCCTGGTTTGCAAGGAAAACTGAACCCCCTCAAAGACCGGTGATCGTCTTGTGTGATATTTTGTAGGACAACTGGATCGCCCATCAGGATGACTTCAACCAGCTTCTGGCAGAGCTGAACAACTGCCACGGACAAGACACCGCAGGTACAGGAGTGAGCTATGAAAGGGCCCAGTGATTTGTTCCCATTGAATCAGCTACCAAATAAACTTATGCAATGCAATCCTTGGCCACACGAGGGCACTGCTGCCACTTGTGTGATTAAAATTGAAACCACAAACTACTCCAGTGGCCAAAATTATGGAAACCTTTTGGGAAAAGTGTATTTTCAAGGTTTGATGGCTCATAACACCTGATTGGCTCTCTAAACGCTCATGCTCACTGGCTACATTCAAATGGAGGAAAGCTACTGCATATCAGCCTAAGCAAGTTGTGCTTCCTTTTTCTGGTTATTTGGCTATAATGTTTGATAGAATATAGATAATTGAATTGAATATAGATAATTGAAGACAGGAGTTCCTGGCGTGCTCTGGTCCATGGGGTCACAAAGAGTCAGACATGACTAAATAACTAAACAACAACAACAAGATAATTGAACAAACTTTGTTGCATCACATTCTTCATTAAATTATCTTTCCATTGATACATAATTTTATGGTATTACTCCCAAACAAAAGTGGTGTTATGAGCCATCAAACCTCAGAAATACACTTTTCCCAAAAGGTTTCCACAATTTTGGCCACTAGTGTAGACACAGTCTGGCCAAACAGAATGAGAGGTGTGTATTGCTGAAGGGGTGTGGGAGCAACTTTTTAAAAATATTAACATTTGATTTAAAAAAATCTGTTCTAAAGAAATAAAGTAATACCGAGAAAAAAGATGGGAAGTGGTGGTTGGGAGACTAAAGAAGTGTATAATAAAATAAAAACAATTACAAAAAAATCAGTGAATATACTCCCATACATCCTTATATAAACTGATACGTTATTATCCAAATATACGGTATATGTAGATGTTAATATTCTACTACATTCTATACAAACTCCTTCCAAACGTTGTCATACTTATTCAAACAAAGTCTACGTCTCTAAGCAGTCCATTCATAAGTTGCAAGCATTGTCCTATTATCAATCCATTGATTAAATGGTATCATACATGTATATTCTTCCAGTTCATCAGTATCAGTCTTGGCCACCATTAGGGTACGCAGAATCCATTTTTTGTTGTCCCGGGAGTGACTTGAGTTGTGCCTCACTTCCTAGACTTGAGTTTTAGGAACATTGGAAGCTGCCTTATACTGAATCAGGCCATTGGTCCATCTTGCTCAGTTTTATCTACACACTGACAGTCAGCTGCTGTCCAGGGTTTAGGCAACGAGTCTCCCCCAGCCCTACCTGGAGATGCCAGGATTTGAACTCGGGACCTGGATGCAAGGCAGATGCTCTGACACAGAGCTCTGGCCCTTCCCCATAGACTAGTTTAGACCAGCCCTTTAAACACACAACACATAGCTGAGACATTGACCGACAGGCAGCAGGCTTGGGATGAGCAAAAGGTGGGAAAATATTGCACAACTTGGTGTACTAATTATAGAATTCCACAGGCTAGATCACGAATTGGTGTGAATCAAAGGAAGAACAGCCATTTCATCCCTGCTCAAATTCACCAGGGGCACAGTTCAGAAGTTAAGCTTTTAAAGCCCTAAACAGCCTCGGTCCAGTATACCTGAAGGAGCATCTCCACCTCCATCGTTCTACCCGGACACTGAGGTCCAGCACCGAGGGCCTTCTGGAGATTCCCTCACTGCGAGAAGCAAAGTTACAGGGAACCAGGCAGAGGGCCTTCTCGGTAGTGGCACCCGCCCTGTGGAACGCCCTCCCTTCAGATGTCAAGGAAATAAACAACTACTTGACCTTTAGAAGACATCTGAAGGCAGCCCTGTTTAGGGAAGCTTTTAATGTCTGATAGGTTACTGTATTTTAATGTTTTGCTGGAAGCCGCCCAGAGTGGCTGGGGAAACCCAGCCAGATGGGCGGGGTATAAATAAATTATTATTATTATTATTATGCCCTTTGCTGCTGAAGTTAATGTGGGAATCATAGAATTGTGGAGAGTTCTCAAGGCTCATCAAGTCTATCCCGCCGCAATGCAGGGATCGCTGCTAAGGAATCTCAGACTGACAGCCGTTCAACTTCTGTTTGAAAACCTCCAGTGAAGGAAAGTGTTTTAAGCAGGAAGTGTGAGGAGGGTTTCTCGGATCAGAAACCAAGTGAGATTCTGCAGAAAGCAGCGCATGTCTTTGCCTCATACAGCAACTTCTGCTTGTGTTTCCAGACGCCGCGTCCAAGGAGGAGAAAAGAACCTTTAGCCTGGAGGAGAAATCTAAGAGTGCCCGGAAACGAGTTCATTATGTGAAATTTGCCAAAGGTAAGGGAGAAAGCAAAAGGAGAGCAAAACCAGATCACCAGAGTCGTCTCCTGGACACAGCAACTGCTTGCAAGCAAGGATGCGGGTTTCCTGGGAAATGTTGAATCGGGGCTTGTTTGTTTTCTGGGAAATTTCCCCAGGCTTTAAAAATCAGTTGGGATTCATTAGAGCATATTTTGACCTCTGTTTAGTAAGCATAAGTCTGCCCTGTTCGTGGTATGTCCCATAGGCTGCAAAGGTTTTTGCTTTTGCGACTTCAACGTGCTTTAAACCTTACTCAGAACTTAACTTGGATATTACTTTTATCAGTAAACTCAGTGTTTATAAGACAACTCAACAGCACATATTTCCCTTAAATTGCTTAAATGTGAAGAGAAAAGATTTGAAGGCAGTTAACGTTCTAATTCAGCTCTGCTAAGGAGGTGTGCATTAGATAAATTGAGAGGTTCCTTAGGTAAATCAAGTTATCAGTGGATGGGGAGTTAATTACAACATTGAAACTACCCAGTTGAATTGGTATCATTCATTATGTTACTGTATAAAGCAGAGGCAGCCAATGTGATGCCTTCCAGATGTTACTGGACTACAACTCCCATCAACCCTTGCCAGTACGGCTGATGGTCAGGAACGATGGGAGTTGTAGTCTCATCTCCTCTGGTGGTAATCATGTTGCCTACTCGTGATTTAAAGGTGTTGAAATGGAACATTGTTGTTTCCAGTGCTTAGATCAGGGGTCAGAAAACTTTTCCAGCAGGGGGCCGGTCCACTGTCTCTCAGACCTTGGGGGGGGGGGCCAGGCTATATTTTGGAGAGAGAAAAATGAACGAATTCCTATGCCCCACAAATAACCCAGAGATGCATTTTAAATAAAAGCACACATTCTACTCATGTAAAGACACCAGGCAGGCCCCACAAATAACCCAGAGATGCATTTTAAATAAAAGGACACATTCTACTCATGTAAAAACATGCTGATTCCCGGACCGTCCGTAGGCTGGATTTAGAAGGCAATTGGGCCAGATCCGGCCCCTGGGCCTTAGTTTGCCTACCCATTCCTTAAGTATTAGACAAGTGCCATCTCTGTTGTCTGAAGCCCTTCCTCTTCTCCAAAGCCTTCATTATACACCTTTAGGCGCCAGGCAAAAAATGGATCCGGCCCAATTGCCTTCTCAATCCGGCCCACGGATGGTTTGGGAATCAGCATGTTTTTACATAAGAAGAATGTGTGCTTTTATTTAAAATGCATCTCTGGGTTATTTGTGGGGCATAGGAATTCGTTCATTTTTTAAAAAAAAAAATATATAGTCCGGCCCACCACAAGGTCTGAGGGTGAGTGGACTGGCCCCCTGCTGAAAAAGTTTGCTGACCCCTGGCTTAGATCGACAGTGCTGGCCACACTTAAAATTCATTGCTGTTATTTAACACTGGCAATTGGCCTGAAATTCTCTAAGCTCCGTACATATATTAAAGATATGGCAATCCCCGTCTGCTGGCTCTCAGTCAAATAAGACACAACACGAGAGGAAAAGACAATGAGGAGGGAAGAGGAAAGCAAGTGCTGGAGGAGCTGCTCCTTCAGCTAGTAGCCTTCACTAGTCCTCTGCTCCATGAATTTGCGCAGTCATCTTTTAAAGCCATCCAAGTTGGTAGCCATCACTGTATCCTGTGGGAGAGAGATCCACAGTCCTTTCCTTGTTCCGAATCCTCCAGCACTCAGCTGTGTTGGATGCCCGTGAGTTCTAGTGCCATGATAGTGCCTCTCTTGTTTCACCCCAGGAAAAGATCTCTCCTCCCGAAGCGAAGATGACCTGTCTTGCATTTTTGGGAAACGGCAAGCCAAGAAAACACAGGTATGGGACTCGTTTTGATTTCCCCCTCCTTTCACCTGCACTCGGTCTAGTTGCAAGTTGTCTTTCCCTGTGTACAAAATCCACATTAGGGTGACCAGGTCATCTGGACAAACTTGGCTTGCAATCCTGAGCTCCTTGGAGGAAAGTGAGGGACGTAAATCCAATCGATCAATCAGTAAAACAGCGGTTCTCAACCTGTGGGTCCCCAGATGTTGTTGGACTACAACTCCCATCATCCCTGAACTCTGGCCTTGCTAGCTAGGGGTGATGGGAGTTGTAGTTCAACAACATATGGGGACCCACAGGTTGAGAAAGGCTGCAATAAAATAACAACACTAATTAAACACATATTGGGATGTACATTTCATTGCACATGATAGGACCTAGAGTAAGTATGCATATAATTGCGCTGTTAAGTGGCATTGGCATGTTAAATCAGTTGCGCACAGAAACACACACACACACCCCTCTGCTGTGCATTGACCAGGCATAGGCACACTCGGCCCTCCAGATGTTTCGGGACTACAACTCCCACCATCCCTGACCACTGGTCCTGTTAGCTAGGGGTGATGGGAGTTGTAGTCCCAAAACATCTGGAGGGCTGAGTTTGCCTATGCCTGCCATTGACTGTGCAGGCAAAGCCAGGTCAGGGAGTGTCATTCAGATGTCAGGAGATTGACAGGATAGTAGCCCTGCTCAGCTGTCAGACGTGGCCTGTAGGGAATGAGGGGTCCTGTTCTGTGGCATAGGTAGGGGAAGGTTGCCAGCCCAAGGCTGGCAGGTGGAAATCAGTCCCAAATCTGGTAAATCAGAATGCAAAAATTATGGTTAAAAAAAAAACAACCCAGCTGGAAACATCTTACCGTTGAAAATGCATTTTATTTATTATAATTTTTCTAAAATTTGTAACACCGCTTGATTCAGAGGGGTTTGTGTAAAAATGATTAAGCAGTGAAATGACCGATAAGAAAAATTAACAGTAATTAAAAAAAAAAAAACCTTCCAAGAAGGGAAAGAAGATTAAGTCCCGACCAGAGAAGAATGGCAGATTAAGTTGATGGATTATTATGCCAAAATGGCAGAAATGACCGGAAGAATCAGAAACCGGGAAAACCAAAATTTTAGTAATAAATGGGGAATATTTGTGATTTATCTTAAAAAACCATTGTAAACAGTTAAAATTGGTAGTAGGATTGGAATAACACTTGTAGTTTAATGGTGAATTTTGGATAAAATGGAGAGAGAAAAGATTTGGATCATCATAAAAGATGCAGAAGGAAATGAATAACGATAGGACTCACAAAGGGTCCTGGACAAAGTCCAGGAGATTTTGTGGAATCTTGTCTTTATGTTGTACAGTGGTACCTCTGGATGCGAACGGGATCCGTTCCAGAGCCCCGTTCGCATCCAGAGCAGAACACAACTCGCGTCTGCGCATGCGTGGGTCACGATTCGCCACGTCCGCGTGTGTGACGTCATTTTGAGCTTCTGCTCGAGCGGAGAAACCCGGAAGTAACCCGTTCCATTACTTCTGGGTCACCGCGGAGCACAACCTGAAAACGCTCAACCCAAACCTACTTCAACCCGAGGTATGACTGTATGTTGGATACGTGTTTGTAACACTGTAATTTGAAAAATCAAATACTGTATTTTTTGCTCTATAAGACTCACTTTTTCCCTCCTAAAAAGTAAGGGGAAATGTGTGTGCGTCTTATGGAGCGAGTGCAGGCTGCGCAGCTATCCCAGAAGCCAGAACAGCAAGAGGGATTGCTGCTTTCACTGCACAGCGATCCCTCTTGCTGTTCTGGCTTCTGAGATTCAGAATATTTTTTTCCTTGTTTTCCTCCTCCAAAAACTAGGTGCGTCTTGTAGTCTGGTGCGTCTTGTAGAGCGAAAAATACAGTAATTTTTTTTTAAAAGCCCTTCCAAAATTTAGAATGAAAATACACTGAAACCAGATTAAAGGATGCACCAGCTTTCTATAAACACCAGGGTAGGCTCACCTAAGCAAACATGTTTCCAACAGGCACCGAAAAGAGCACAGTGAACCCGCCTGCCTGATATCAATCGGCGGGGAGTTCCAAAGCATAGGTGATGCCACACTAAAAGTTCTTAGAAATGGGTGTTATGTGGCACTTGTAACAGCGCCAGTTCTTCTGACTGAAGTAGCCGATTGGGCGTATGGGGTAAGGCGATCTTGGAAGTAAGCTGGTCCAAAGTTATTAAGGGCTTTATGTGCTGATAGTAACACCCTTGAACTTGGCCCGGGACCATTTTCTGTCACGGTGAGTCAGAGGGAGCCAACGCGTAGCCGTTCAGATGCTGCGGCCGTCTCTGAACTCTGAACAACCCCAGCACCCTGGGGAGGCGTCATAGCCCCTATAGAGAGCACCACGCTGACTACCCCTGCGTTGAGCTATTCATAGTACCGCGTGGAGCAGCTCTTTCTGATGCAGGTACCGTTTCCATCGCGATGGAATTTGGAGCTGTCGTGCTGGTGTAAATCAAATCCATGGTTGCAACATTAGCAGCGAGATTGCGATGAGTCACCTGTAGAAACTGTCACCGGTTGATAGGTCTAGATCGAGATCTAGGCCAGATTAATTTTCCTTTTTCCAATGCAGGAAAAAGTGTGTGTTTGTGTGTCGCTTATGTTTTGGGAGTTGAACGAGCGTATCTGACCTGATCCATAAATGAAATATTCAGCTTCCAGCATCGGCTGCTGGCTTGGGTGCCTTTGGAAATGGGGATTAGGCGGGTTCGCAGAGGAGGTGTCACGACAAGCCGATCTGCAGCAAAACATAGCCGTGTGGAGTTTCCCAGTTCTGGGTTCCAGCCAGCCATGCCCTGCTCCAGGAAACTCCGTTCTGTTACGACTCTTGCCTGCCTGCCCCCACACCCCCCAGTTTTCCTGCCCCACCTCTCAAGAAATACCAGTCCATGCCCACTGAATTTTCTCAGAACTCACTGGGCTAATCTGGAGTTCCCCCTCCCTTGTTTCGTATTTCTGAGAAAGCTTTAAACCCCGCTCCACCCCTGAGCACGTTTGTTTGATGGCTCCCAAGCCTGATAATAACTTCCTAGTCTAAATAACTCAGTTCGTTACAGCTAATAACACCAAGCTTGCAGGTTCGATCCCTGCTGCATATTCCTGCATTGCAGCGGGTTGGACTAAATGATCCCCAGGCTTCCTTCCAACTCTGAAATTCTGTGATTCCTCCTGTGTGGACAGTGCAGAAGATGTTTTGGGAGAAGCACTCGCTACCCCTTTCCCCCCCCAGATGTGGCCACATGTGGGTCTCTGTTTCCGTTCCTTGGAAACTTGGCACCAAACAGAGGGCCTGGTTATGAAGCCCTGGAGCACATCAGTTTCGGACCTGAAAGAGCAAGGGATTGCTGGCTGTGAGTGTCCCCGTATCTCTTCCGGCCGAGATAGGAAGAGTCCTGGTGTACATCAGGAACTGGGGTTCTTCTGACAGAAGGAGGCTCACCAGGGCTTCAGCCATCTCTGCGTTCGCTCTCTGGTCGCCTTGGGCGAACAGCTCACAGCTACTGATAGCAACTGCAACCCAAGCCTCTGGCTGGGACATCTTCAGCCTCAGAGCTTCCCCGCGGTCTCAGCTCCTATATCCTTGAAAGACTGCGATAACCGAGGGATTCATATTTTCTCTCTCTCTCTTTCCTTTTTTTCTCCGTCGCTTATCCAGCAGCTGCTTAGCCGGTGACACAACACTGACATCTCCCGCTATCTCGCTCCCAGCCCGTTGGGAAGCAGGCATGTCAAAACTGACCCTAACCCAGTGATGCTTTTGCTTTTGGGGAGAGTTCGGGAGAGGAAAGTCAGCCACAGAGAATCGGGTTTTCTTCTCTAAAGGACCATCTGCAGCAGGAACAGACTATTCCCCCAGCCTTGGCCAACTGGGTGCCCTTCGTGGTTGTGCTGATTGGCGTCATAGTCCCAAACCAGAGAGAGAGAACGGGCATAAGAGAGCCTGCAGGATCAGGCCAGTGACCCTTCTAGCACACCATCCTGTCCTCACAGTGGCCAACCAGATTCTTGCAGGAAACCCACAATCAGGATTCGGACACAAGAGCAACTCTCCCCTCCTTCGGTTTCCAACAACAGGGATGCAGAAGCTTCGTTGCCTCTCAGCTGTGGAGGCAGAACATAGCCGTAATGTTCTATGTAGTAGCCCTCGATAGCCCTCTGTGGATTTCTCAGATTTTCTGTGGCAGTGAGTTCCCTAGTTCAACTGCACAATCTCTGGGGAGCACCAGGTTGGCAAAAGCTGGAGTATAACACCGAGAGCCTCTCCCTTCCAGCAGGGGGCGCTAACTCTCCAGTCCCTTCACAGAGATGGGTTTGTTAAGTATTCCCAGCTTCCAGGGGTTTGCTGTGAATTTTTTTGTGGAGGGGAACACCTTGCGAAGGGTTGTTGTTTAGTCGTGTCCGACTCTTCATGACCCCATGGACCAGAGCACACCAGGCACTCCTGTCTTCCACTGCCTCCCACAGTTTGGTCAAACTCATGTTAGTAGCTTCGAGAACACTGTCCAACCATCTCGTCCTCTGTCGTCCCCTTTGCCTTGTGCCCTCCATCTTTCCCAACATCAGGGTCTTTTTCAGGGAGTCTTCTCTTCTCATGAGGGGGCCAAAGTCTTGGAGCCTCAGTTTCAGGATCTGTCCTTCCAGTGAGCACTCAGGGCTGGTTTCCTTCAGAATAGATAGGTTTGATCTTCTTGCAGTCCATGGGACTCTCAAGAGTCCCCTCCAGCACCAGAATTCAAAAGCATCAATTCTTCGGCGATCAGCCTTCTTTATGGTCCAGCTCTCACTTCCATACATCACTACTGGGAAAACCATAGCTTTAACTATACGGACCTTTGTCGGCAAGGTAATGTCTCTGCTTTTTAAGATCCTGCCTAGGTTTGTCATTGCTTTTCTCCCAAGAAGCAGGCATCTTTTAATTTCGTGACTGCTGTCATGAAGGGTAGTTCCCTAGTTTAACAGTGCACTGTGTGAATAAGTCCTTTTCTCTGTGCTGAAGCTTCCAGCATTCATCTTCATAGGAGCCCAGGCCCTCAGGATATCATGGAATCATAGAGTTGGAATGGCCAGTGTAGTCCGGCCCCCTGCAATGCTGGAATCCCAACTTCTCAGCTCATCAGGAACCGCTTCTTACCGCTTGCAGTAAAACTCCTGAGAGCCAGGGTGGCACTGGGGTTGCAGAGCATCTGGGGGTCCAGTGCTCAAACCTTCAGTCTCCCAGGAAGCTCAGTGGGCAACGCTGGACCTCTTGGTACCTTTCAGCCCAAGCCTACCCCACAGCGTTCTACTGATGATAAAATAGAGGCAGGGGGTTAACAGCTTTGTTAGTTAACCAAATCATCACAATGCTAATTGCACGTGGGCAAGATACATACATCGGAGAGGAATAAAAATGTGGTTGGGGACCAAGAAAAGATGGTCAGCGCATTTCTTTTATTTTTATTTATTTATTCAATTTATACATCGCCCTATAAGGGACGCGGGTGGCGCTGTGGGTTAAGCCACAGAGCCTAGGACTTGCCGATCAGAAGGTCAGCGGTTCGAATCCCCGCGACGGGGTGAGCTCCCGTTGCTCTGTCCCTGCTCCTGCCAACCTAGCAGTTTGAAAGCACGTCAAAGTGCAAGTAGATAAATAGGTACCGCTCGGGCAGGAAGGTAAACGGCGTTTCCGTGTGCTGCTCTGGTTCGCCAGAAGCGGCTTAGTCATGCTGGCCACATGACCCGGAAGCTGTACGCCGGCTCCCTCGGCCAATAAAGCGAGATGAGCGCTGCAACCCCAGAGTCGGCCACGACTGGACCTAATGGTCAGGGGTGCCTTTACCCTTTACCTTTACACTGCCCTATACCCAGAGGTCTCAGGGCGGTTCACAAACAAAGACCACCACATATAAAATCAAACCAAAAACAATACCCCCCCCCCCGCCCAAAAAAGAACCACATTCAATAAGATCAACTAAAGGCCTGGTTAAAATGGAACTTTTTTGCCTGGCGCCTAAAAGTGTGTAATGAAGTCGCCAGGTGAACTCCCCTGGGGAGAGCTTTCCACAGATGGGGAGCCACTGCAGAAAAGGCCCTGTTCTCATGTTGCCACCCTCTCGAGGTAACGGCACACAAAGGAGGGCCTCGGAAGATGATCTCAGGGTCCGGGTAGGTTCATATGGGAAGAGGCTGTCTTCGATGCTGATTCTCTGGAGTTCTTACGATCCCAGCTCTTAATTGCTGGGATAAATAACTATTTATTAGGATTCACTCTTCTAGCTGACTCCCAAGTCTTTCCCTACAAAGGCAAATCTTCCTGTTCTTTCTCCCTCCCACCCATCTCGAGGGGGCTTAAGGCCAGCCAAGTATCATCCCACCGTGGACTTCCATTCCTTTCCCAGTGCCACGTAACACACACACACCCCAGCTGCCACCCCTCTTTTCTCTCCACCACCGCTAGCAAACGTCAGGCCTCGTTCCGGTCTGAGAACTTGCTTCCTTCGAGACAAATTGTGAGGCTGAATGAAGCTGTCATTAGTAAGCTCTATTGGGGGGGGGGCTGTATTCCTCCCCCCTTTTTTCCTTTTTATATTTTCTATCTCAAAACAATAGCTGTCTATCCAAGCGGACCTAAATAGGAAACGTCGACACCTATTCCTCCCGGTTCTATGGGAGACAATGAAGCAGTTGAAAATATTGATTGGCAATTAGACGTGTCTCTCCCGAGACCTCTGCCTCAAAAAGCCCAGAGCTCTCCTTGAACTTGGGACCGGGAATTTCCTTACATGGCTCCCCCTCTGTTTAGATCTCCTTGCTTGTAAGGGAGGAAAACACATGGCGTTAGTTCCTCTCTGGTTGGACTTCCTTGACCCCACCCATTGCACGCTCTCTCTGTCGTGTGTGTGTGTGAATATGCACAGACATGAACATGCATACGTAATATATTAATTTCTCCTCCGTTCCTTCTTCCGCCGTCCAGCTGTGTTTCCTGACAAAAGGCCTAATCACTTGCGAAAAGTGTTCCTGGAAGAGATGTAGGATTTGGGGGATAAGCTGTGGGTCAGAACTGACTAAACGTAATCCCGGCATTGTCTTGCAGCGAGAGGAAAGTGCCTGCTCACAGGGACATGTTAAAATAAGGAGCTCTGGCCTGCCAACAAACGCACCTGCCTCTTTCTTTCTTTCTTTCTTTCTTTCTTTCTTTCTTTCTTTCTTTCTTGAGTCCCTCCTTGCCATATGATCCTCGATTGGGAACCTCTTTCCTCTCAAGCATGTGGTCAGCAGCCTGCGTGGAAAAGTGACCCGTCGGATCCCTTCCCTTGTTTAGTCATGTTGAGTGGGCATTTTTCCGGATGACACTCTCTCATCTTAAGGCAATTTCCTGATTACAAGCACATTTTCTCGCTCAGGTTTCCTGTCCTGACTCACATTTCCTGGTGGTTGTCATAGGCATCAAGCAGGGACTCATAGAATCTTAAGAGTTGGAAGGGACCCTGAGGGTCATCTAGTCCAACCCCCTGCCCAAACACAGGGCTCGAACCCACAACCCTGAGATTAAGATTAGTTCTCTTTTTTAAAGAAAATGAAATTAAAAATACGTATGCATATATGAAGGGGTATTCAGTCAACCAAGCGTTGTGAGCCCTGCCAGTTTGATTAACTGGTGGTATTTGAAGAGGCAAAGAGGCTCATAAAACCGCTTCATGTGGGAACTTCCTACCAACTTCACTTAATGAAACAACCAGGAAGCGAGCCAACTCCTTACAATAACCAACTAAAGGATGGAAATATATATGTTTACATGTTACATGTTGTCTCTTATGTGTGTTGCCTGTTAAGTGTATGTGAGTCTGTTCCTTGCGTCTCTGTCATTTTAGAAATCTTTAAGGGGTTTGTGTTTAAAATTGGCCACAACATCCACAGACTGCCTTTCTTAAGTGTGCGTAGTTTAAACTGCAAGCTTGCTTCAAGTTTTAGTTTAAAGAAACCATCTTGGACCTGATCAACTTAAACATGGCATGTTTTTAACACTGGGAGCCGCCCAGAGTGGCTGGGGAAACTCAGCCAGATGGGCGGGATATAAATAATAAATTACAGCGGTACCTCGGGTTAAGTACTTAATTCGTTCCGGAGGTCCGTACTTAACCTGAAACTGTTCTTAACCTGAAGCACCACTTTAGCTAATGGGGCCTCCTGCTGCTGCCGCGCCGCTGGAGCACGATTTCTGTTCTCATCCTGAAGCAAAGTTCTTAACCTGAAGCACTATTTCTGGGTTAGCGGAGTCTGTAACCTGAAGTGTATGTAACCTGAAGCGTATGTAACCCGAGGTACCACTATTGTTATTATTCTTATATAAGAGTCCCATGCTCTACCGACTGAGCTACCCCAGCTGACAGTTGTGGGGGGCATCCCATTTGGCAGTGCATCAGCCATTGTGGGCTTGGAGCAATCGACTGTATTCCATGAGGACTAGAAAGCTGCCTTCGTTTTGGTTTTGGTTTTGGTTTTCCGTGGGCTCCATGGAGCTGGATAGAATCAAAAGGCCACAACATCCACCATGGGGTGTAGAGCATCGGTCTTGTTCCAAGATGGGTCATGACAGCAACACTACCCCCCTCCCAATATACCGTATTTTTTGCTCTATAAGACTCACTTTTCTCCTCCTAAAAAGTAAGGGGAAATGTGTGTGCGTCTTATGGAGCGAATGCAGGCTGCGCAGCTATCCCAGAAGCCAGAACAGCAAGAGGGATTGCTGCTTTCACTGCACAGCGATCCCTCTTGCTGTTCTGGCTTCTGAGATTCAGAATATTTTTTTTCTTGTTTTCCTCCTCCAAAAACTAGGTGCGTCTTGTGGTCCGGTGCGTCTTATAGGGCGAAAAATACGGTATATGGTGAAGGGTTAAGAAATTAACCCCCAAATGCACGCCTGGGGTTCATGTCCCTGGATGTCTTGAAAAGAAGGACAAATGCATGGAAGATTTCGACAGCTGCTATGCTCTGCCTCTGCAGTCAAGAGGCAGCAGTGCTTCTGAATACCAGTTGCTGGAAACGGCAGGAGGGGAGACCGCTCCTGTGTTCGAATCCTGCTCGTGAGAACAGGATGCTGGACTAGGTGGACCACTGGCCCAATCCAGCAGGCCTCTTCTTACGTTCTCACGTGAGCCAAATCCTGACCTGATCCAATCTTTTAAAACCTTTTGGTTAATCAGGAGAGAGTGAAATGGATTGCTGCGCAGAAAACTGCCTTCTCAGAACGTGCAGTTTTTGTTCCCTGTCTTCTCTCTCTCTCTCTCTCTCTCTATCTCTCTCTCTCTCTCTCTCTCTCTCTCTCTCTCTCCCACCCTTTTCCTTGGTGGAAAATCTCACCTCCAGCCATTCATTCCTTGGGGGGTTTGTTAGGGCCCAATGCGAAACTGAGGTGGAGAGGGGAGGGATGTGTGAGAGAGAGTTTGCTCTTTTTGATTTATCATCCTGCCATCCCGTTCGGTCACTTCTCTAGGCTAAAAGAGCCACGTTGGCTGTAATGTGTCGCCATTAGAGACCAAACATTAGCTGGGATAACCCATCATGGCTCACAGTGAAAAATGTCCCCTGATTGGCTAATTAATCAGTCAAAAGGGGAATGACACGACTCTTCGGGTTGAGGGACTCCTCTGCGGAGGTAAGCAGCCGCGTTGATGAATGGTTTCCCGGTAAATTCATATATCAAGAAAACTTAGTCATTTTTAACTGTGCTTTGCAGGAAAGCTGGCTTCCTCGTGGCCCCCCCCCCCACCCAGCACTGTTTCTTCTTCTTCTTCTTTTTCTCCTCTTCTAGCTTTTGCACTCCCCCCTTCTTCCCTTCCCACCCCCCCATTTTTTGCTGCCTTTGCTTCTTACGGCTTCGTTGGAACGTGAGAAATGGGGGGAGTGGGGCAGAAGGCTCTGTGGGGGCAGCCGCAGGAGATATTTTGCCAAGACAAGAGTGGGGAACTCTGCCCAGCCCAGCCCCATTTCCTGGTGGCAGAAGGGCAGGGGCACGTGTCGGCGGTGGGCGGGGCCAGAGACAAAAGTGGGAGGAGCAACTAATAGTCAATTTAACATCATTATTACTACTACAGTGGTACCTCTGGATGCGAATGGGATCTGTTCCGGAGCCCCATTCGCATCCAGAAGCGAACGCAACCTACATCTGTGCAGGTCACAATTCGCCGCTTCTGCGCATGCGTGTGACATCATTTTGACCATCTGCGCAAGCGACAATACCCAGAAGTAACACGTTCCGTTACTTCCGCGTCACCGCAGCGCGCAACCCGAAAATACTTATCCCAAAGCTACTTCAACCCGAGGTGTGACTGTACTACTAAAGGCAAAGGTAAAGGGACCCCTGACCATTAGGTCCAGTCATGGCTGACACTGGGGTTGCGGCGCTCATCTCGCTTTATTGGCCGAGGGAGCCGACGTACAACTTCCAGGTCATGTGGCCAGCATGACTAAGCCGCTTCTGGCGAACCAGAGCAGCGCATGGAAATGCCGTTTACCTTCCCGCTGGAGCTGTACCTATTTATCTACTTGCACTTTGACGTGCTTTCGAACTGCTAGGTTGGCAGGAGCAGGGACCGAGCAACGGGAGCTCATCCCGTCGTGGGGATTCGAACTGCCGACCTTCTGATCGGCAAGTCCTAGGCTCTGTGGTTTAACCCACAGCGCCACCAGCGTTCCTTCATTACTACTACTACCAAGCCCCTATACCTCAGTTGGTTAGAGCATGGTGCTGACAACACCAGGGTTGCAGGTTCAATCCTTGTATGGGGCAACTGCATATTCTTGCATTGCAAGGGGTTGGAATAAATGATCCTCAGGGTCCCTTTCAGCTCTACGATTCTACTGTATTAATTTATATCCCGCCTTTTTTCCTGGACCAGGACTGAAGGCGGCTTAACACTGATTTGAAAAACTCAGATAAAAGTACTAAAAGCGATTATTGCTTTCCTTTCGCTCTTATTTTTATTATGTATTCTGCATTGTTTTGTATTGTATTTCTGCATTGCGAACCGCCCTGAGCTCTTCGGATGAAGGGTAGTGTACAAATTCAATAAATAATAACGAGAAGGTGAAAAAAAACATTTTAAAAATGATTAAACTCTCAACACAATAAAAGCAGTACATACAATGAAACAAATCTGTTTAACATGCAGATAGAAAAAGCAGTGCAGCGCTACCAAAGCCCTTTCCATAAAATACAATAAAATAAAACAAAATAAAATAAAGTCAGTCCCCAAAGGCATGTTGGAATTAAACAGCATTCACCTGCCAGCAGAAAGACATCAAGGAGGGAGCCAGTGTCATAGCACTAGAACTCGTTGACATCCAGTGGACCTGAATGTTGGAAGATTCGGGACAGATAAAAGAAATGGCTTCTTTGCACATAGTTAAACCGTGGAACTCACTGCCACAGGACCCAATGATGGCCGCTTTCTAGATAGCTTTAAAAGAGGATGGGACAGATTCGTGGAGGAGAGGGCTACTAGTCAGGATGGCTTTGCTCTGCCCCCAGAGTTCTGCTTCTGAATACCACCTGCTGGAAACCACAGGAAGGGAGAAGGCTCTTGCGCTCATGTTCCGCTTGCAGGTTTCCCACAGGTATCTGGTTGGCCGCCGCACAGCAGGGGGTTGGACTAGATGACCCTCGAGGCGGGGGGGGGTCCCTTCCAACTCTACAACTCTGATTCTGTGGGCCATTGGCCTGATCCAGCCAAAGGCTCTTCCTGTGTCCTTAGGTAAAGGAATTTTGAATCTTTCTGTCTCTGCAAGGTGAGGCCAAAGAGGGAGCCAAGGAGCAGTGCCAGTTCCCCCCCTTGGAAAATGAAATAGCTGCTTCCACTTTTGACAGTTTGTACTTAATGCATCACTTGAGCTGTTGACTCCCTGACATGTATTCATTACAGCTCGGGCTCCCCCTGGTCGAACCCTTGCAGGCGGCAAAGCAATTTTCTCTCCCTCCTTTCTTGTTTTTATTTTTTTATTATTTTATAAGTAAAGGAGGTGGCTTGGAGGGGAGAGAACCTGGAATTTCATTTTTAAAAAAGCCAAAGGAATGCTTCACTGTATTTAATTGCCATGGATATTTCTCCCAAGGTTCCATGTCCGCCCTGCGTCCTTATCTATTGTTTTAACGAAATTGGCGTTCCATCCCCCCGATTAAATTCACTGTTCAAAGTCGCAGTGCTTTCAAATGTCCCGCTGTCTGCCAGGAGCCTTGGCACTTTGACCATACGACAGTCTCCGATAAATGGTCGTTACAACAAAAACAAGCCTTAATAAATTATCTTCATGAGGAGGTCGAGGTCCAGTATAATGTATATCCCCAGCATAGGAGATAAGAGTGTTTGGTCCAGGGAGGTCTTAGAATTCTTGCTGAGCTGGGAAGGTGGCTGGGTGATTGTTGTTTATTCTCAAGAGTTTCTACCTCACAAGGTTGTGGAATAACCCCGTGTAGGGTAAAAGGTCTGGGACACGGATGGCGCTGTGGGTTAAACCACAGAGCCTACGACTGCCGATAAGAAGGTCGGCGGTTCGAATCCCCGCGACGGGGTGAGCTCCCATTGCTCGGTCCCTGCTCCTGCCAACCTAGCAGTTCGAAAGCACATCAAAGTGCAAGTAGATAAATAGGTACCACTCCGGCGGGAAGGTAAACGGCGTTTCTGTGTGCTGCTCTGGTTCGCCAGAAGCGGCTTAGTCATGCTGGCCACATGACCCGGAAGCTGTACGCCGGCTCCCTCGGCCAGTAAAGCGAGATGAGCGTCGCAACCCCAGAGTCGGCCACGACTGGACCTAATGGTCAGGGGTCCCTTTACCTTTAAGGTAAAAGGTAAAGGGCCCCTGGACAGTTAAGTCCAGTCAAAGGCACAATGGGGTTGCAGTGCTCACCTCGCTTTCAAGCTGAGGGAGCCGGCATTTTTCCACAGACAGCTTTCCGGGTCATGTGGCCAGCAGGACTAAATCTGGCGCAATGGAACACAGTGACTGAAACCAGAGCACACGGAAATGCCGTTTACCTTCCCGCTGCAGTGGTACCTATTAATCTACTTGCACCGGTGTGCTTTCGAACTGCTAGGTTGGCAGGAGCTGGGACAGAGCAACGGGAGCTCGCCCTGTCTCAGGGATTCGAACTGCCAACCTTCTGATCAGCAAGCCCAAGAGGCTCAGTGGTTTAGCCCACAGCGCCACCCGCATCCCTATAACCCTGTGTACACCTCCATAGGCTCCTTGGAGAAGGATGCAGCCCACCTAACCTCTGAAGGCAGGGGCATGCAAAGAGTGGCTTGTGGAAAAGGACCTTTGTTGGAGCTTTTGAAGTGGACGTTGGGTGGCCATCTGTCATGGGTTCTTTAGATGTGATTCCTTCATTGCAGTTGGAGTCAGGATCTGTGATGATCTCAGTGCTTCAGCAGGTTCATGCCAGTACTGCGACTTCTTGAGTTGTTGGTTATACGTCACTGTTTGTTTTTATTCTAAGCCTTTTTGGCTTCATCTGGAGAAAGGTTCCCACAGCTACTTACAAAGATTAATAATGGAGAGTTCCCCCACCTTAGGCTTAACAGTCTAAAGCACACGGCACAAAAGGAAAGAGGTATTGGGAGGGAGGAGGAAAAAGGTAAACTCGGTCACCTATTCTTAGTTAAGCAGGCCAGCCTCTCTCATTGCATGCGATTCCAAACCTGCCTGTCTATCAATTTCTCTCAGTCACACACGTACATGCACGCCAGCCGGGTCTCGAGCTATTTCGTCCCCTTGGCCTACTTGCTTTTATATTTACTTATCTATAAACAAACTTAATTAAAGAGCTTTTGTCCCACCCTTCTGCTGAGAAAGACCCAAAGCGACTTGCAACCAAACTTCGCTGGAAAGCAAGCAGGCCAAGGGAACTAAATAGCTCGAGACCTGGCTGGCGTTACGAGCTCAGTTGGTTAGAGCGTGGTGCTGATAACGCCAGGGTTGCAGGTTCGATCCCCGCACAGGACAGCTGCTTATTCCTGCATTGCAAGCAAGTTGGACCAGATGATCCAACTCTATTGTGTGAATCCAGAGCAGCTTACAGCCGGCGAAGACAACATGCCCTGCCCTCAGTCTCGCAATCCGAAAACGAAAGCCATATGGAAACGAAAGGGATTGGGATGAAGCCAGTGGAGTCGTCCTGCTTCCCTTCTCTTCCTCTGCTGCACCCTGATGTTACTGCCGTGCACACTGAGGTGGGGGGCGCCGGGAGAGCGTGTGTGCGTTTTGCCCCTGCAGCCATTTTTGCCAGTTGCCATCCCGGGTGAGAATCAAACAGTGGGCTTTTCGTCTCTGCAGCTTGCCATCTTAAACCACCGCAGCGCCCCAGAGCTCTCAGTTCCGAGCCAACGGAGTTGTCCTGCTTCCCTTCCCTTCTGCAACCGGATGGAGGCGGCTGCTCTCCCAACACTCTCAGTAGCTTGCCCTCTTAAACCACCGTGCCACCCCAGAGCTCTCCACTCCCTTCCCCGACAGCCTGTTGTTCTCAGGCGAGGATGGCGTGGGTGCCAGCGAGGGGCTTACACAAACACAGGGAACGCCAGGCAGAGTGTCGCCATTTGTGTGCCAGGAGATCTGGGTGGCGGCTTGGCGCTAGTGCCCCTTGATTTATGGGCTTAGCCAAGCCTACATTTTGGGCGCCCCCTCCCTGAATTGCTGCCCTGTATTTTGTACTGGTTTTCCCAGTAGTGATGTATGGAAGTGAGAGCTGGACCATAAAGAAGGCTGATCACCGAAGAATTGATGCTTTTGAATTACGGTGTTGGAGGAGACTCTTGAGGGTCCCATGGACTGCAAGAAGATCAAACCTCTCTATTCTGAAGGAAATCAGCCCCGAGTGCTCCCTGGAAGGACAGATCCTGAAGCTGAGGCTCCAAGACTTTGGCCACCTCATGAGAAGAAAAGACTCCCTGGAAAAGACCCTGATGTTGGGAAAGATGGAGGGCACAAGGAGAAGGGGAAGACAGAGCACAAGATGGTGGGACAGTGTTCTTGAAGCTACCAGCATGAGTTTGACCAAGCTGCAGGAGGCAGTGGAAGACAGGAGTGCCTGGCGTGCTCTGGTCCAGGGGGTCACGAAGAGTCGGACACGACTAAACAACATTGTGTTCAAGCGAGGGCCCATAACTCTGTCCCTTGCCTTTAAATATTTGGAAACATGGGACTTGCCTTAAATCATTTTTTTCCGGGGTGGGGGCGTGGGCCTCCATCTCTTCTCCCCACCCTGCCTCAGAGAGTTGCCCTCTCCATTTCTTCACCCCCACTGCCCACTCCGCCTTGGCACAAAGAAGGACGCCTAAATAGGGCTTTTCTGTTCCTTCAGGAGAAATTAAGCATTTCTTCTTTTTTTAAAGCCTACTTAGCTTGTCAGCCTGGATTTATATTGTCATAGTTCACTAGGGAGAGATAATAGGGACGGCTTTGATGTTTGAAGCCACTGCCTTGCTTGGCACAGTGACCGTTTTAGCGAGCAAATGCTGGATCAGGCTACTTTTATTTATTTATTAAAAGTATATACTGCCCTTCCTCTGAAGGTCTTAGGACGGTTCCCAAGATAAAAATACAGGCTAAAAGCACGAATAAATAGGGGGAGAGAGTAACACACACACACACACACACACACCATTTAAAAGGCTGTGGATCAGCCAAATGCTTGGTTGAAGAGGAACATTTTAGGCTGGAGCCTAGAGATGTGTAACGACAAACCGCCCTGGGGAAGAGCGTCCCACAAATGGGAGCCACTGCAGAAAAGACCCTGTTCTCGTGTTGCTGCTCTCCAGACGGGCCTCAGAGGATGATCTCAGGGTCCAGGTCCTTCTCTCACAGTGGCCAGTCGGATGGCTGTGGGAAACCCGCAAACAGGATTTGAGCACACAATCCGCTCTCCCTTTCCCTCCAGCTGTGGAGGCGTTGTGGCTAGGAGCCATGGATGGCCTTCTCTCTGAATGACTCCATCCTCTTTTAAAGCCATCCAAGTTGGTGGTCCTTGCCGCCTCCAGTGGCAGTGAGTTCCAAAGTCCAGCTATTATTATCACTGTCGTATTTGTTTATATCCTTCCTTTCCCCCAGCCTGGGACTCCCGCAGCTGTTAAACTGCTAAGAGAGAACCCCACCGAATGTGGAGGGTTACTGCTGTCCCTTGGCATTGCTGATGGCAATAACGTTGTGCTCATTCACCCAAACGGGCAGCAATAACATGCGCACAGCCATGAATGCGCAGTTTTGCCCCCTGCGTTTATTTTACTGCTCTCCAAAGACAAATGCTCCTGCTTGCTCCCGAGTCTGGAGAACATCTCAAATTGGCCGGCTTCTCTCCTCTTTTCTTGGCTGGCTTTCCGAACTTTTCCTGTCCCGGTCTCCCAATATCTCAATGTAAACACACACAAACCGGATTCCTTTCGGGGAGCTGGCTGCACAGACCCAGCATACTTTCTCTTTAATCGCTGGAAAGGAAGGGATATTTCTCTCTTGTCTCTCTCTCTCTTAATGCTGTGTTCAGGGGCTGTGTGTTTCCAGGAAACAACCGGTTGCCTTAATGCCTGTGTGGACTGTGTAGAAAGAAGAAGAAAAAACCAGAACTGTAAAGTTGAAAGGGACCTTTGAGGGTCATCTAGTCCAACCCCTGCAATGCAGGAACTGCAACTAAAAAATTGCCGTCAGGTGGCCATCTAACCTCTGCTTAAAAACCTCCAAGGAAGGAGAATCCACCACTTTCTGAGGGAGACCGTTCCCCTGTCAAACAGTTCTTACTATCACAACGTCTAAAAGATATCGAGCATCAGAACAACCTGGCCACTATAAGGAAATTCTGCCCTTGGTACGTTCATTTTCCGCCTCTCCATTTTGACCCCATATCTGCACAAACTTCTTATCCCAAAATACAGAAGTGCTTTTACACTTGCAAGACTGGATGTTTTGCCATCTGCGGTACTCGGGGGTCGATTCCAAAAGATTCCGCCTGAGAAACGTCTTTGCCCCTGTGGAGATGGCAACACCAAAACAGCGGCACACATCCTCCTGTCTTGCGCTCTCTACAAAGACCTGAGGAACGAGATCATCACCCGACTCGTACTAACCATCCCAGGGCGCTCAACCACTGCCACAGTGTCCTTTCTCCTATCAGATGAAAATGAGCAGATAACAGCAAAGGTTGCTAGGTTCATAGCAGGGGCAATCAGAACAAGGGCCACTCATGGACTGCTGATTCAGGACTTTAAATTGTGTTTTTATATCAAATTTCCATTTCTGCGTATACTGTAGTGTTTTATTGTTGCTGTGGCCATTGGCTAATGCGATTAAAGTTTTTATCTATCTAAAAAAACCCCAAACAGTTCTTACCATCAGAAAGTTCTTCTTACTGTTTAGTCAGAATCTCCTTTCCTGTCATTTGAAGGGGCGGTGGAGACCTTTGTCATCGTGTAAAGTGTGGCAACGGAACTGCTGTCTCGTCAGAAGGAGGAGAAGGAAGGGGCAAGCCAGGGAAACGGAGTCCTTCGTAGAATCATAGATTTGTAGTGTTGGAAGGGATCCCTGAGGATAATCTAGTTCAGCCCTCTGCAATGCAGGAATCACAGCTAAAAAAAAATCCCTGACAGATTGCCACCCCAACCTCTCTTTGCAAACCTCCTTCCAAGGTAGTCCATTCCACTGCCAAATTGAATTGAATTTTATTATTACCGTCACAGACCAGTTCCGGCTCACTTACAATATCAGAAAAATCATAAAACACAACAGGAATGCATTGGATTGCAATTGGGTATAACAGAGACCATTCAGATATTGCGGCAGTTAAAAATATATGTTAAATCTTGATCACTAAAATATAACCGAAAACTGTCGTTTACAACCTTAGTCATTTTGGTAGTACAGCTTGTTCCCTGAGTTTTACGGCAGTCGCACAGAATTTGGCCACCCTTAGCATGATCTCTAGATCCTTGTCCTCTACCAGGAGTTTTAGACATTGAAGTTCAGACCCAATTGGAGATTTTTTTTTAACAGGAGTGATAAATACCAAGCGTATAACCCCGTAGAAACGGCAGCGTAACAAGACATGAGAGTTTCTACCTCCATCAAGTCGCTGGGGCAGACTCGTTCGATCTATGGTTTACCCTTGTATCTGCCCTGCAATAAGTCAGATGGAAGCACGTATCCACCACCTTCTGAGGGAGACAGTTCCACTGTCGAATAGCTTTTACCACCAGAAAGCTCTAATATTTAGTCAGAATCTCCTTACTTGTCAATTGAACTCATTGGTTTGGTTCCTACCCTCTGGGGCAGCAGAAAATGAGCTTGCCTTGTCTTCTACCTGGCAGCCCTTGAGAAATTTGAACAGTTTCAGCTCACTGTTGGATTCCCAATTCCAACATCAGCCCCGCTCAATGTAGCCTAAATGGCAAGGTATAATGGAACTTGCAGTCCCGTAACATCTAGCGGGCCACTCCGTTCCCCAGCCTGCTTTATGTTGCTTGTGGACATTCTGTGACATCACTGCATTGCAGCCAATGGCGAGGCAAGGCAGTCAAGTGCTGCTTGTTTGTTTATAAGTCAGCTCGTGTAGGTCTGTTGGTGAGCTATCCTGACCCTTGCGATGTCATAGAATGCCCACAAATATTCTGTGACTGAGCAGGAAAGGAACAGTCTTGAGGAGCATAGGAATCTCCCTATATATTGAGTCAGATCATTGGTCCATCTAGTCTGGTACGCGCAAATGTTTCCTTTCCTTGGTATTGGAGATCCTTCCAAGTAATAATAATAATAATAATTTTTTATTTATACCCCGCCCTCCCCAGCCAAGGCCGGGCTCAGAGCGGCTTACAAGCAATAATAAAAACAAGATAAATGATTACAACTTAAAAACAAAAATAAAATATAACATTAAAATAATGGAACATTAAAATATTAAAATGTAGCCTCATCGCAGGAAGAGAAGGAAAACAAAAAAGAGAGGGAGGGAGGGAATCAAATTGGCTCCAAGCCAAAGGCCAGGCGGAACAACTCTGTCTTACAGGCCCTGCGGAAAGAAATCAGATCCTGTAGGGCCCTGGTCTCATGAGGCAGAGCGTTCCACCAGTGTTGAAAAGGCCCTGGCTCTGGTTGAAGCCAATCTAACTTCCTTAGGGCCTGGGACCACTAGGGTGTTGTTATTTATGGACCTTGAGGCTCTCCGTGGGGCATACCAGGAGAGGCGGTCCCGTAGGTACGAGGGTCCTAGGCTGTGAGATTGAGATTGAGATAGAGATTGAGCGTGATTGAAACTGGTTTCGCATCCAGATCTGGGATCGCATTTCGATCTCGCCAGATCTTCAGAGGTGATCCAGTCAGTGCAGTTCAGAATGGTTGGCGAAAAACAGCTCCTCCATCTTGGTGACCGTCAGGCCAGATTGGGTGCCCATATCTAGTAGGAAAAAAGACATTGAAGATACGTATATTTGCAACACCAGCTTCAAATATTGCGCACTTTTAATATTCAAATGTCAAAGCTACATTATTCAAATTAGGATCCCTGTCTAAGGACCTTTTCACCTCATTTACCGTTCAGATGTTGAAAAGCAGGGCGGATAGGAACCACGAGCAAACCCCTTCGCTTTCTGTTGGCCAACGCGGCTTTGCCATACAGTGATTCTTCCATATCCGTTATCATCTTCATTAAAAAGGTTTGTAAAGCATGCAAAGCAGGCAGGCTTATGCAAACGAAGCAGTTTTGCTGACTTGCTTAACAAGGACTCCTCTTGGCATTGACTTCAAACGGCCCTGATCGCGGCTCTTGAGCATCACTCTGTGTACAAGTCTGTACAGTAAAAATAAAAATTGAGCCCTCCAGTTGGCAAGTCTTATCAATTAAATTAACACCAATTCCCATACCTTGCTTGGTACAGGGGAAAATCAAGTGGTATAGGACAAAAGAGATGCTGGAGATTTTTCAACCTGCCAGTCATGAGGACTGGAATTTTGATGTTTCACAGAACGCCTCCCCTCTGCTTTCTAAATCTCTCTTCGTCATTTGAAAATTGTCAGTGTGCATCCTCAATTTTTTGCTTGCTCCAAAAGCCTTGGTAAAAAATTTTTAAGAAAAACTTTCCGCTGATTCTCTTCCATCTTGCCTACACACGTATTCCTAATCATGCTTATCTATATAGTTTCCTTCCATCCTGCCTCTCCTTCGCTCGAGGCAGCTTGCAGATCGATAGAAACACAACAGCGAAATCCAATTAAAAAGCTAACAAACCCAGTACACCAAACCAAATCCAAATGTCAGCAAATCAAGCTGACATCAAGCTTGAAGGCCCGCCTTAAGTCTCAAACAGCCTTCAGGAAGCCAGAAGTGCGGAATGTTTCTGGAGATACTTTGGGAGTTTTTTTCTGTGGCTTCAGCCAGAGGCCACAGCAGAGAAGTCTCTGCTGTTCCACAGCAGCAAGTGCACCCATTACAGAGCCACCATCTTGGTCCGGGTACAAGGGTCCAGAGGTAGATTTAGGGCAGTGTGACCAGTTTCCCCGCACAGGGTGCTGAGCTGAGGGGCCTTCTCCCCAAAGACTGGTAAGCTCTTTCTTTGGAAAGGAGGTGGGGCTCTGGCAGGGTCCTAGAGCCCTCCCATCTCCTTCCCAAAGCCTACCGTATTTTTCGCTCTATAGGTCGCACCGGACCATAGGACACACCGGACCATAGGAGGGGGAGAACGGGGGGGGATTCTCCCCCTCTCTGCTCAGCGCCCCTTCAGCGAAGTGGGAGGAGAAATGGAGCCCCTTCCATTTCTCCACCCGCTTCGCGGAAGGGGCGCTGCGCAGAGAGGGACAACTGTGCAGAGCCTCTCCCGCGAAGCGAAGCCAGGAGAGCAAAGGGGTTCCGTGTGCACCAACCCCTCTCGCTCTCCAGGCTTCTGGCGGCTATCCGCAAGCCTTCAGAGCACAGCGGGAACTCCTGCTGCGCTCCAAAGGCTTGCGGATAGCTGCCTGAAGCCCCTGGAGCACAGCGGGGGTTCCCTGCGCTCCAGGGGCTTCAGGCGGCTTCAGCGAAAGCAACGCGAAGCCTCCGGAGCGCAGGGGGAGCTCTCCCTCTGTGCTTCGGAGGCTTCGCGCTGCTATCGCTGAAGCCAAGGAGCCTGCATTCGCTCCATAGGACGCACACACATTTCCCCTTAATCTTGGGAGGGGAAAAAGTGCGTCCTATAGAGCGAAAAATATGGTTGTTAGTGCTTGCCCAGCTTTGGGAAGGAGACGGGAAGGCTCCATGACCCTGCCAGAGCCCTCACACCTCCTTTCCCAAGCCCGGCACCTTGCTTTCCCAGCTTTGGAAAGGCACTGAGAGGGCTGAGAAGTGGGGCATCAAATTTTGGCTTCGCAGAGGGCGCCATATTACCAAGGTCCACCCCTGTTTGAGACATCTAAGCATGTGGAAAGAGTACAGAAATCCAAAGATATGCTTAGGTCAGCTCAAGGCCGACGTAAGGCCAATCTAATAAATAATAACAATAAATAATAATACTAATACTCTCCAAGAAAGGAGATTCCGATTCAACATCAGGAAGAACTTTCAGACAGTAAGAGCCGTTTGACAGTGGAATGGTCTCCCTTGGGAGGTTGTGGGTTCTCCTTCCTTGGAGGTTGTTTTTTTAAAAAAGATTTATTCATTTTTCTTTTTCATTCATTACATACATCTCAATTTCTTAACATTTATTACATATTCCTCCCTCCCTCCCCTCCAAGGCTTCCCCCAACTTCCGCTTCTGGTTTGTTTCTCTTTTCACCCACTTTGCTATCTCCTAACAGAAAAAGTTATTAATAACATAACATCAAGCCTAAAAACCTAAAAATAAAAGTAAATACACTATAATATTTCACTATTTTCTAATACTAATAATGTGAATGTTTATTTAAATCCTGCCGTCAAGTCTATTGACTTTCTTTGTTTCTGAAAATATAATATAAATGGTTCCTATTCTTTTTCAGAGTCTCTGTTGTCTTTTTCTCTTAGTCTATCTGTCATTTTTGCCAATTCTGCATAGTTCATCAACTTCTCTTGCCATTGTTCTTTCGTTGGTATTTCTCCAGTCTTCCAATTTTGTGCAATCAACATTCTTGCTGCTGTAGTGGCATACATAAATAAAGTCCTCATTTCTTTTGGTATGTCTTGGCCTAAAATACCTAGCAAAAAGGCTTCTGGGGTTTTTTTTACAAAACTTATTTTCAACATTTTCTTCAATTCATTGTATATCATTTCCCAGTAGGATTTTACCTTTTTACAATCCCACCACATATGATAAAACGTACCGTCTGTTTCACATCTCCAACACTCTTTCTTTTTGTTTTTATACATTTTTGCAAGTTCAACTAAATAAATACCATCTGTACATCATTTTCATATAATTCTCTCTCAATAACATACAATCTGTAAATTTCAAATTTACTTTCCACAATTTTATCCAGTCCTGAAATTGTATATTGTGTCCTACATCTTGTGCTCCTTCCTTGGAGGTTTTTAAGTTAAGGTTGGATGGCTATCTGTCATGGATGCTTCCCTTGAGATTCCTGCATTGCAGGGGGTTGGACTAGATGACCCTTGGGGTCCCTTCCAACTCTGCAGTTCTGTAATTCTAAGGCATCATGCAGCCTCTTGTGCAGGGCCTTAAGCAACAATGCACTCCGTCTTCTGCCAGCTCCTGTGCCCTGGGGGGTCACACAGCAGTGCCCCTGCCAGAACATCCTTTACAAGTTCATCTTTGGATGCAGCCCCTATATCTTCCCAGTGGAGAATGCCAAGGACCTGCAGTGCAGAGGGTTAATCTAGATGATTTTTGGGGGTCCCAGCTCTACGGTTCTCTGATTCCGTGGACCTATGTGAAATCAAAACCCTCTGATCTGTCATAAAAGCCTAGTGATGGGTCCAATTGTCATTCACACCCCATAATTTATCCAATTGACCTTTTCCCTAATAATCTTGTTATTTTTTTCACCATCAGTCCACATGGGAGCTCCTCCCTTTTTGGAGAAAGAAGGCTGGATATTTATAAAAACCCATAAACAAATGATAGATCAGTTCCAACAGATGGGTGGGATATAAATATAAAAATTATTATTATTACTAAGGGGAGATAGGGTCATTTGAAGAAGGGTTAGGTGAATTAAGAAAAACATGATGTGGCTCTGATTAATGTAGACATTTGTTTTGATTCCAGGCTATAGAAAACAATGAACGCTGTAAAGGCAAAATTTGTATTAGAGTAGATTGAATATTATGTTAAATGGACCATTCTTGATCCTGCTTGTAGAATATATTGTCTTTTAAGGAAATGAAATCTGAATCTTGAAATTCTGTTCATTGTGGGGGAGGAGGTTTGTGTTTATATTTACTGTATAACCACTGTTGTATTGCAGTTTGGAATGGGAAATAGAAAACTAATTTTTAACAAGAGAGGGAAACTGCTGGATATCAAGAGGAAGTTCAGGCCTCGGGAGCAGAGCGTGTTGTTGTGGTTCTGGGGGAAAGTCGTCCCCTCCAGATCAAGCGTGCTGAGAAACCACAAAGTCCACCCTTTCTGGTTTTAGAGGTGCGTGGGGAAATCGTTCACTTTCGACCGGCTTGGCCTCTTCCGCCCACCCCAGCCCCCCGCCGGCAATCTCGTTCGAGCAAGCGAAAAGCTTCCCTCGCCAGCCTTGGTGTGGTGCGTCTGCGCCGGGAGAGTAGCCGGAAAAGCCGATAAGGCTCTCAGGACAGAAGTCTTTGTCCTTATCTCGGCAGAGCACATGTGTGCATCCTTTTCCTGTCCTCGGATCGGGAGACGTAAACTGACCATCTCCCGACAGCCGGGACTTCAAACGGGGGGCCGGAACGTCTGCAAGGCGGGAGGGTTTTTTTTCTTCTCCCTCCCACCCACCCCACGACTTCAGAGGCCAAAATGGCAAAAGTAGGTCGCTTCTTGTTTTGGGAAGCAATTCAGAGAGCTGGCCACGGAGCAGTGAGACAGGGTGGTTCTTTTGTTTTGTTTTCGCTTTTTTGATCCCATGAAACTTTCTGATAATAACAGCCATGCCCGTCCAAAACTTTCTGCGTGTATATTTTAGTTTTGACCGGCGCAAATCCAAAACGCTGCCTTGCTGCAGTTTGTTTTTAAGACGTTTCCCAGGAAGGAAAGTTAAGAAGGCTGGCAAGGAGAGACTTTATATGCCTTCGATCTTCAGCTCAGATTGTGCTTAAGAGAGAGGAGAGAGGAGTGTGATTTCTTGGGAGGAGTTTTGCAGCAGTGACCCAGCGTTTAGGGACACTTGACCATCGAGGTCGTTTGGAGGCAGCGCTGTTTCAAACGGCTGTCAGGAACGTGCCAAGGAGAGGTTGACTGGAGCCTCTCACCAGGGCAGGACGTCCTGGGTGCCAAACATCTGAAAGCTGCCTTGCATGGCATTGGCACACAGGCCCCTTTAATTAATAATAATAATAATAATAATAACAATAATAATAATAAATTTATGTCCCACCCTCTCCAGCCGGAGCCGGGCTCAGAGTGGCTAACAACAATGAAAGTAACACAGTTTACATAAAATCACAATCAAGCATCTGAAAGCTGCCTTGCATGGCATTGGCACACAGGCCCCTTTAATTAATAATAATAATAATAATAATAATAATAATAATAATAATAAATAATGTCCCACCCTCCCCAGCCGGAGCCGGGCTCAGAGTGGCTAACAACAATAAAAGTAACACAGTTTACATAAAATCACAATCAAGCATCTGAAAGCTGCCTTGCGTGGCATTGGCACACAGGCCCCTTTAATTAATTAATAATAATAATAATAATAATAATAATAATAAAATTATGTTCCGCCCTCCCCAGCCGGAGCCGGGCTCAGAGCGGCTAACAACAATAAAAGTAACACAGTTTACATAAAATCACAATCAATTAATTAAAATACATTCTAAAATCAGTTCATTCTAAAATCAATTCAGCGTCAAATTAATGGCAACCATTGGGCTAGAGTTCTCTGAGGATTACAGAAGGAGGGGGTCAGGCTGCGCCTTGGCCAAAGGCCTGGTGGAACAGCTCTGTCTTGCAGGCCCTGAGGAAAGATGTCAAGTCCCACAGGGCCCTAGTCTCTTGTGACAGAGCGTTCCACCAGATCGGGGCCACAGCTGAAAAAGCCCTGGCTCTGGTTGAGGCCAGCCTAACCGCCTTGTGGCCTGGGACCTCCAAGATGTTTTTGTTTGAAGACCGTAAGTTCTTCCGTGGGACATACCAGGAGAGGCGGTCCCGTAGGTACGAGGATCCTAGGCCATATAGGGCTTTAAAGGTTAAAACCAGCACCTTAAACCTGATCCTGTACTCCACCGGGAGCCAGTGCAGCTGGTATAGCACCGGGTGAATGTGATCCCGCGGCGAGGACCCCGTAAGGAGTCTCGCCGTGGCATTCTGCACTCGCTGGAGTTTCTGGGTCAGTCTCAAGGGCAGCCCCACATAGAGTGAGTTACAATAATCCAGTCTGGAAGTGACCGTCGCGGGGATCACAGTGGCTAGGTCAGGGCGAGAGAGGTAGGGAGCCAACTGCTTAGCTTGGCGGAGACATTGGTGCGCCAATGTCTCCTTCAGCCTTTGCCCACCTGCCTGCCCCAAACATTTTGTACTATGCCTTGTAGGAGGGTCCTGGGTTTGAAAAGGAGAAACCTGCCAGTCCTGCTAGCTAAGATGCCCGGGGCTGAAGCTCTGCTCTGTTGGGTGCATTGTGCTGCCAGCCTTGTATTATTTGCGGGGACCTACCTTCGTCCTGATTTAGAATTTCAAACCAAATTTTCACAAAATTATAAATAAACAAAAAAACATAAATCATAACCTTATTAAAATTACTCTTATTAACATTGTTAAGTGACTTCTTCGCTTCCCCTTGGTTGGGTCTCAATGCATATCCATTTAACGGTTTCCCCAATCAGATTTCTTATAAACTTAACTTAATCACTCAACATCACTCTATTTTTTCCATTCAAGATTAAACATATTAGTTCATCACTTAACTTATATAAAATCCTAGGCCGATCTAGTACTTGCAAGCTATTTCCAATTAATTCAACTTAACATATTTAACTAAATAGTCATTAAATTTCGAACCATTCTTCCTGATACTCCTCCTCATTCTGGTCGCAGACTCTTCCGGTCAGGTCGGCTAGCTCTGAAAAATCCATCATGTTCATCTGCCATTCTTCTACAGTTGGTAATTCTTGTGTTTTCCACTTCTTAGCTAGTAAAATTCAAGCAGCAGTTGTGGCTTTTTGAGGCAGCATGGAAATGGATCACACAGCTAGATGGAATTCTTCTCTCTTCCACTCTTTGCAGGCCACTTTTTGGCAGCAGGTTGGGACTGCCTACCTGCCATCTGGCGCCGGCATGGGTCAAAACAAAACAATACGTGGACAAAGGCACTGAGCACAAGTAGAACCTTCAGGATTTGGCCGATGGCTCATCTGGTCCAACATCCTGTCCTCGCCATGGCCAACCAGGTGCCTGTAAACCCGCAAGTGGGATTCGAATACAAGACAAGCCCCTAAACTACTGGTCCTTGGCATAAGGTTGTTGTTGTTTAGTCATTTAGTCCTGTCCGACTCTTCGTGACCCCACGGACCAGAGCACGCCAGGCACTACTGTCCTCCACTGCCTCCCACAGTTTGGTCAGACTCATGCTGGTAGCTCCGAGAACACTGTCCAACCATCTCGTCCTCTGTCGTCCCCTTCTCCTTGTGCCTTCCATCTTTCCCAACATCAGGGTCTTTTCCAAGGAGTCTTCTCTTCTCATGAGGTGGCCAAAGTCTTGGAGCCTCAGCTTCAGGATCTGTCCTTCCAGTGAGCACTCAGGGCTGATTTCCTTCAGAATGGATCGATTTGATCTTCTTGCAGTCCATGGGACTCTCAAGAGTCTCCTCCAGCACTATAATTCAAAAGCATCAATTCTTTGGCGATCAGCCTTCTTTATGGTCCAGCTCTCACTTCCGTACATCACTATTGGGAAAACCATAGCTTGAACTATACGGACCTTTGTTGGCAAGGTGATGTCTCTGCTTTTTAAGATGCTGTCTAGGTTTGTCATTGCTCTTCTCCCAAGAAGCAGGCGTCTTTTAATTTCGTGACTGCTTGGCATAAGGTGCTTCCTACCAAGTCAAGCCATTAGTCCATCTAGGCTTGTGTCGTCTTCTGGCTGCCAGGCATCTTTCTATAGCCTCATTTTCGAGGGCCTTTCTCGGCCCTGCCAATTGGAATTCATCGACTGGAGATGCTGTTGTTGAAAGCAGCCCTGATGTCTACAGACAAAGGATGCACCACGGAAAACAAAGTTGTTATTATTATTTACTAAATTCTTATATTGCCCTTCATCCGAAGATCACAGGGCAGTTCACAAAAAAAAAAAAAACCACAGTGAGAACACAGAATACATAGTAAGGCAAATATAAAAGCAAAGCAAAGCCATAGCTCCTCTCCTGCATAACATACTATGATTTTGAGGTTATTGTTGTTTAATAGGTACCGCTGCGGCAGGAAGGTAAATGGCTTTGGTTTCCGTCACGGTGTCCCATTGCACCAGAAGCGGTTTAGTCCTGCTGGCCACATGACCCAGAAAGCTGTCTGTGGACAAACGCAGGCTCCCTCGGCCTGAAAGCGAGATGAGCGCCACAACCCCATAGTCACCGTAGTCACCTTTGCTATCGCCTGCTACCAGATCCTTTTTAAACTTGAGGCTCTAGGGGTTGAACTAGGACCCAGTAAGCAGGGGGAAAGAGCAGGTCCAGATCAAAATCAGCATACTCTTCCTTACCCACCAAGACTGACGCGCCTGGGCACAAGCTGTCGGATCGCAAGACAAAAGTTCAAAAGTTGGCCCAGGGATGGCATCGCCCTTGCAGAATGCCCCGTGAGAACTCCGTGTCCCAACAAGCCCTTCTATCTTCATCACGGGCAGCCGGCTTGGCTCAGATTTACGGCGCATTTCGTCGGGACCTGCCGGCTTCCCGGCCCAGCCGCACCTCCGTGCAAACACGGGGCCAGGAGCTGCAACTTCCTTTTGGCAAGGGACACCTGCAGTGGGTCCCCCAGGGGGGGCGAGCCTGAGGGTGTGCTTCCCTCCCCTTTGGGACAGAAAATACAAATTGAGAACAGAATGTTATAACAGCTCGAGGTGCTTGTCATTCTTGTAGCTGCTTAAGTCTGTCCCGTAACGCTGATCTACGGCCCAGTCCCAGGGACTTCCGAGCAACACACATGAGCAGCTCGATGCAATTCACTGCCACGAAACGTGGTTGAGCCTGGGGAGGGCAAAAGACAGGTGGGGACCTTGTGGCAGGTCTCTGGACGGTGTGAACACCAGACCTGCAAGGATTTCCGATGCCCAGCTGTTTACCGGGGACACCAGCAATATGACAGAGTTTTCACATCACAGTAAACTCTAATACAGTCATACCTCGGGTTGAATGTGCTTCAGGTTGAGTGCTTTCAGGTTGCGCTCCACAGCAATCCGGAAGTAACGGAGCGTGTTACTTCCGGGTTTCACCGCATGCGCAGATGCTCAAAATGATGTCATGCGCGGAAGTGGCAAAATGTAACCCGCACATGCGCAGACATGCCGTCGCGTCTTACATTCTATTCAGGATGCAAACGGGGCTCTGGAAAGAATCCCATTCGCATCCCGAGGTACTACTATAAATGACTTGTGACGAATGTGCAAGGGGCCCTTTTTTCCTAGCCATCAGGAGCAGCGAGCCACGGGCCTTGCAATTACAGTCATCTCCAAACCGGGGGTTGTGGTTTGTTTCGCTTCAAGCCAGCTGCGATGTTGAGACAAAGTGTGTACTAGGCTTAGCAGTCCCGGGTTTCTCTGAGCCAAGGGCCAAGCCAAGGAGGGGGAACATCTGTCGCCCTCCAGATGGTGTGGAACTATAGCTGCCACTGGCTGTAGCCAGCATGGCTGATGATCAGCAAGAACTGGAATTGAGGTCCAGCATTAGGACGTGCCATTTTAGGGAGTGAAACTTAATTTTTGCAAATTTCTTCAGGGGTCTTAAAAATAGGTTTTTGGGGTGTGGGGATTTCAGACTTGCTATGATTTTTGTTGGGACGCGCTGTGGGTTAAACCACAGAGCCTAGGATTTGCCGATCAGAAGGTCGGCGGTTCAAATCCCCGCGACGGGGTGAGCTCCCGTTGCTCAGTCCCAGCTCCTGCCAACCTAGCAGTTCGAAAGCACGAAGTGCAAGTAGATCAATAAGTACCGCTCCGGCGGAAAGGTAAACGGTGTTTCCGTGCGCTGCTCTGGTTCGCTAGAAGTGGCTTAGTCATGCTGGCCACATGACCCGGAAGCTGTACGCCGGCTCCCTCGGCCCATAGAGCGAGATGAGCGCGCAACCCCAGTGTCGGTCACGACTGGACCTAATGGTCAGGGGTACCTTTACCTTTTACTATATTTTTGTAAAGGGACAACATTTATCTTGGTGAGTCTACGTTTGGTGAAGAAGCACATAAAGTCCTGCATGGGACAATGACAATAAAAATATCGTATATATCGTATATCATATTTTTAAAAAAAGAAAACCAAAGTATTTTAATTTTACTCTCTGAAAGTGTCAAGAGCCCTGCAAAAGAAGGAAAACCACACAGCCAGCAGCTCTGGCTTACAACATTTTGAAGCAGGTGAAGTAATGTGCGTTACCGTCTAATGCAGTTGTTCTCAAACATGTCTTCTCTGGGCCACACTTTCAGAATAAAAATTGGCTCGCGCCAGACCAAATTTTTTGGAAAGCGAAAAAGAACAGCCCCTGGAGGTGCTTGATTTTATACACAGAATCCAACTACTTTATAAATATGATCGTGGGGCATCCAGAAAGTATAAAACAATGCAGCTACCGAAGAACCTGAATCCGGCCTAAAATATAAACAAGCCTCTTACATATGTACCTTAAGTATGTATACGAACTCAGCGAGAGGTGTGAGCTTTCTTTCACCGTGTAATCTCATTTATGTTAGGTCTAATTTGAGACAAACGAACTCTCGTTTCCTTATCAACACAAAGAAGCCTTTCTCTTTTCTGATCTTTCATGCTTGTCAGAGTTGAAAATCCCTGCGCACAACAACAGGTCATGGAAAAGTATGGAAGAATAGGCAGTGCACTTGAAGAGAGGCTTGAGTACTGCTTCTGGTCGTTTATCCCCCAAAAATTACAGTGGTACCTTGGGTTACAGACGCTTCAGGTTACAGATGCTTCAGGTTACAGACTCCGCTAACCCAGAAATAGTGCCTCAGGTTAAGAACTTTGCTTCAGGATGAGAACAGAAATCATGCTCTGGCGGTGTGGCAGCAGCAGGAGGCCCCATTAGCTAAAGTGGTCCTTCAGATTAAGAACAGTTTCAGGTTAAGAACAGACCTCCAGAACCAATTAAGTTCTTAACCCTCAGGTACCACTGTATTTTGATACTATACTACATTGATTGTCCTTGAATCTTCCCACCTGTCCTGCCTCCCTCTCCTGCCACGCCTTTTGACAACCACTGCTCTGAAGAGAGGTGGGCCTCTGGAAGACCACTGCACCCAGAGTTTAGGGTAAAAGGTAAAGGTACCCCTGACCATTAGGTCCAGTCGCGGACGACTCTGGGGTTGCGGCGCTCATCTCGCTTTACTGGCCAAGGGAGCTGGCGTACAGCTTCCGGGTCATGTGGCCAGCATGACTAAGTCGCTTCTGGCGAACCAGAGCAGTGCACGTAAACGCTGTTTACCTTCCCGCTGGAGCGGTACCTATTTATCTACTTGCACTTTGATGTGCTTTCGAACTGCTAGGTTGGCAGGAGCAGGGACAGAGCAACGGGAGCTCACCCCGTCGTGGGGATTCGAACCGCCGACCTTCTGATCGGCGAGTCCTAGGCTCTGTGGTTTAACCCACAGCACCACCCGCGTCCCTTAGGGTAGCCTTTCCCAACTTGGTGCCCTCTAAAACGTTTTGGACTTCAGCATCCATTGGTCCCAGCCGGCAGGTGAGATGCTGGTGTAGGTACATTACAACCGCATCTTACATATGTTATGGGATATACACAACCCCCTGCCTCGCTTGGAATTTAACTTGTGCCATTTCAACCAGCCAGATGCCAGGGGCTGGACAGAGGAGGGCTGCTGGTTTGCAGAGTTCTTAGGCTGGAAAGGGTAAAAGCTAGGAAATATTGGGGGAGCCTGGGGAGCAGCAGGAAGAAGAAGCCCTGGGGGAGAGTGAGCTGGCAGACTCAGTGTCTTTGAAGAGCATTCCTGAGCCCCCCTCTCCCAGAACTAGGCAGCACTGAGGGTGATGGAACAGAAAATTCAAAGGCAAAAAGCTCAGTTCAGCCGGCGCAGGAATGACGTAGAACAAGGGTAGGCAACCTACGGTCCGTTGGCCGGATCTGGCCCAATTGCCTTCTAAATCCAGCCCATGGACAGTCTGGGAATCAGCGTATTATTACATGAGTAGAATGTGTGCTTTTATTTAAAATGCATCTCTGGGTTATTTGTGGGACATAGGAATTCGTTCCAAAAATTTTTTCCAAAATGTAGTCTGGCCCCCCACATAGTCTGAGAGACAGTGGACCGGCCCACAGCTGAAAAAGGTTGCTGACCCCTGACGTTGAGTAAGGGAGACGGAGGGGGGTTGGGCTTTACTTGGAGCAGCACCATTATTTAATAGAGACTGTTCCTTTGTGTGTGTCTCTGTAAATACTGAATAAATTACGTGGTGTGGCTTAAGCCACAGAGCCTAGGACTTGCCAATCAGACTTGCCAGTTCGAATCCCCACGACGGGGTGAGCTCCCGTTGCTCGGTCCCTGCTCCTGCCCACCTAGCAGTTCAAAAGCACGTCAAGGTGCAAGTAGATAAATAGGTACCGCTCCAGTGGGAAGGTAAATGGTGTTTCCGTGCACTGCTCTGGTTCGCCAGAAGCGGCTTAGTCCTTCTGGCCACATGACCCAGAAGCTGTACGCCGGCTCCCTTGGTCAATAAAGCGAGATGAGCGCCACAACCCCAGAGTCGGCCACAACTGGACCTAATGGTCAGGGGTCCCTTTACCTTTACCTTTTAAGAACTCTTTTCGGTTATCTGTTTGCCTGCCACCGAGGGAGGGATCGTAATTCCCTGAAGCCTTGACACCAGCCCCGCAAGAGCATATGGTTGATATCACGGCTAAATGCATGTGAGATGCAATGTTACTGTATGGGCACAGGAGGTGCCAGTGGGTGCCGTGTTGGTGACCCCGATTAGGAGGTCCCGACATGGAGACCAGAGCTATAAGGAATTCAGGGCTACTGTCCGTAATCTAGTTGCTGCCACACAACTGTTCTGCCACAAGGACGAACTGAAAGCTTACCTCCACCCCCTGGGCAAGTTCTTAGCTCCCCAGGCTTTGCATCTGAACTTCCTTTGACACCGGGGTGCAAAAAACGAGGGCTCTGCCAACATATTCCTGGGTGAGCAACGGGCTGCGGGGGAGCCTCCGGGCTTTTCTCATAATCCCTGCTTCTCTCCCGATTCGGGATTCCAGCAAAACAGGAAATGCCTGTTGCTTCCACCCTCCTGACAGGATTGATCGGGTTGTGCAGAGTTAATTAATTCTACCGGCTACCCCACCCCACCCCCCGCTCCCAATTAACAAATCTGCTTGTTTTATTTCATGACGAACCAGATTATTTGTTGTTCTTCCTTGAAGCTTTTTTCTTTTTTCAAAATGAAATAAAACTTTTGGCACATATTCAGAACAAGGATGTTAAAAGATTGTGGATCTTCTTTTGCACATATTTATAACATGAAATAAAAGTGGAAAGAGGTATCTACAGCTAAACATAGAGGAACAAATTTGCATACAGAGATAATAAATTAACATCACAAATGGGTTTATGTTATCCTGTACCTTACTACTCCAGTACATTTTAAAAAAAATACTCGGTTTCTTAATCAATGCCTTGTTCTTGCTGCCTTTCTTATGTTTAACCACGCATACGATGTCCCTGATTTTAGTTATCCATTCTTTCGAGGATGGTGTTCTCAGTCCCCAAATAATAACGCTGGCAGCAGTTAAGGGATGTTGTGTTAATTCCCATTGATGTCGTCCCCCCTTGTTTGCCTAAATAAATAACTAAACGGATTGCCTTTCTCTAGTCTCCCTTCCCCGCCCTTCCCAGAGGGTAACCAACCAAAGTTCCCAGAGTTGCCAGTTATTCCCAATTTCAAAAGCCTAGTGCATAGTTTCCTCATCTCTCAGAAGCCAAGCCCTTCGCTTGTTGACACAGCTTCCTCCTATAATCTCCGCTGGAATCCTTTTCCGTCTTCAGGGTTTTTCCAGGCTCCTGATGGCATCATTTTTTCCTAAAGTCTTATCTTGGCCATCTCCTTTAACCCCATTCTTTTTATTTAAAAAAAAAAAAATAGTTTTACAGTTTAATATTCCACACATTTATCATATAGCAGAGAAATAATAAAAGAATCTAAATATCCCCCTACCCTATGACTTCACTCAACTTACCCTTCCGGTTCATTAAATGTTTATTACTTCTGCTTAATTTGTTTCCCCCTATTTCGTTAATCTTTTAATTAAATGCTCTTACGCTATATTCTTATCATTTTTTTAATACCATATTTTCTTTCCAATTATGTCTTACACTTAATTAATTTCCAAATTGTTGTTTCTTAATCTTTACATCCTTAATTGTAAGTGTTTACTCAAATCCTGCCAATGAGTCCATTTCTTTACAGTATTTCTGTAGATACAGCATAAACGGTTCCCAATCGTCTCTATTGTCATCGTCTCTTAAGTGAGAGTTTCGCCGTTTCTGCGTATTCCACAAGTTTAACTTGCCATTCTTCTTTCGTTGGTATCTTGTCGTCTTTCCGTTTTTTAACACCCCATACTTAAACCACCCGACTAGGGGCCTGTTAGTGCAAATTTCTTTTTTCTTTCTTTTTTACTTTTAATTCTGATTTTTCCTTCCTCCCCACCCCATTTCCTCAAGCCTTCCCTTCTTCCTTCCAAATACCCACTGGTTACTTGGCCAAATCTTCTGGACAGAGCAGTCTGCAAATCGAAACACTCAGCTGCCTAATGGCTTCATCAGAGGCTGCCTTTTACTGCTGGAGAAAACTGAGAAAGGCTATTGCTCCCTCTCCATTCATGAAATACCGTATTTTTCGCTCTATAACACGCACCCGACCATAACACGCACGTAGTTTTTAGAGGAGGAAAACAAGAAAAAAAAATATTCTAAACGAAACAGTGGATGTATGATTTTTGTGGTTCATGCTGTGGCCACAGACATGTGATCTGACGGTGAGTTTGGAGTAGCCCAATGCAAAAATCCTGAGGATCCATGTGGATCCATGCTTTGTAACCACGTTTTTGCACCACTACGGCCCCAGGCAACAGTGGGTGCGTGATTTTTTTTGCTGCAAGATGTAGCCATGGACATGCTATGTGATCTGATGGTGAAATTGGGGTGACCCAGTGCAAAAATCCTGAGGATCCATGTGGATCTGTGCTTTGTAACCACGTTTTAAGTGGGGAGGGAAGGAAAAGCACTCAAGGGACAAGGAGCACACGTGGGGTGGGTGGAGAAGGATGCTGCTAATAATGCAGAAGAGGGGTATAAGGGGAGAAGGCTCCTCTCCTCTCCCGCTTTGCTCCTTTAAAGCAAGCAGGCTCTGCTTTTCTTCCTCCTCCCTGCTCATCCCCGGCTTAGTGAGCTGAAAAACTTTGCTGCTATGTAGCGAGCTGAGTGGGGAGGAGAGAGGGACAGAGAGCCTGCTTGCTTTAAAGGAAGGAACCAACCAGACAGGAGCCGCTTACACTCATGTAAGCGGCTCCTCTCCTCTCTGTCCCTCTCTCCTCCCCACTCAGCGTCTCTTCTCCCGCTTTGCTGTTTCAAAGCGAGCCACGGAGGAGGGAAGGAAGGGGAACCATGGATCCTCTGCTCACGACTGCAGCAGATTCCCCCCTCCCCCCGCCAACCGTAGGCATTCCCTCCATAACACGCACAGACATTTCCCCTTACTTTCTAGGAGGAAAAAAGTGAGTGTTATGGTGCAAAAAATACGGTACCTTGCTTGTCTTGCTAGCAGACCAGCCAAAGGGATGGTTGCCTATAAGCATGCGCAGAGGGCTCTCGCCACTGAGTCCCCATTGTTGGCCCTAGTTCAAGTGAGACTTGGCAAATCACTCTTGCGGACAGACAATTGATTGATTGATTCATTGATTGATTGATTGCAATTATACACGACCTTTTTCTCTCCAAGGAGCTCAAGGTGGTTTTCTCCCACTCCTCATTTTAATCCTCATTTTAACAGCCCTGTTGCAGGGATTAAAATTTCACGAGGACGGGTTTCCTTTGACTTTTTCATTAATCCTTCACCAAGACGACCTCCTGTTCAGTTTCCTTTTTTTGAGAGGTGTGTTATCCGAAACTTTACCTTGACATTCCGAACCTTAAAACTGAGAGACTTAAAAATTAAGACAATAATGACTTCAAAAAGGATTGGGAACCTTTTAAGATATATATATATATATACAGAAACAATGCATTGAAATGAACTCACTTGCAGGATTTGATTAATACACTTGCAATGGACAAATACAAATAGTAAATACAAATAAGAACTAAGAGACTCAGTACAGATTAAGAAATAAGTTTATTTTATCATAGAAGGGATACAAAACTATATGCAGAACAAAAATTATACATTCTAAACCAGAAAGGGAAGTTGGGGGGGGTATATTGAGTATGTAAAATGTAATTTGAGTTTCTTGAACATTTTAAAATTTGTATAAAAAACTTAATAAAAATTATTTTAAAAAATAAATTTCAAAACCAATTGTTAAAATTGTTAGATTTTTTTTAACTCTGCACTGTTGCACACAGATTACTCATCCTCCTTGGGGAAAGATGACGATTCCTCAGCCTTCCGAGTGCTCAGTCATGCTTTGACTTGATCCATTTGGCTGTGGGTCGAGACAAAAGAGATCTTTGGATGGGCGAGATAGGCCTCTTCATCTTTCTGCCTTATCATAAAACAGGCCCTTCCATCCTTGGCTCCAGGTGTTCATTAGCGTCTTTGGCCATCATCTCTGTTGCTTGCGCCTCAGCATATTTCTCTGTCTTTAGGATCCCAAACAGCTACCGTGTCAGGAAATGTTTCTTAAAATGTGTGTCTCGTGTTAGCCAAATCGCCCGTTCGCAAAGGAGGCTTCCTACTTTCTGTCACGTCGCTGCCATTAGGTGTAATTGGGTCACCTTTGCACGCTGTCAAATGCCAAAACGCACATCAGACTCACTTGTCCTCAGAGGAGACATGCCCAGAACAGTGACTCATGCAGAAACACACTGTGTAGACGCCTTTGAGCAGGCTGCCTAGGGGAGGCAGTGCAATTAATTAATTTATTTTTTTTCCATTTGGGGAGCTGTAGTAAGTAATTAATGATTTGAAATATATACCGTATTTTTTGCCCTGTAGGACGCACTTTTTTCCCTCCAAAAATGAAGGGGAAATGTGTGTGCGTCCTATGGAGCGAATGGAGGCTTTCGCTGAAGCCTGGAGAGCGAGAGGGGTCGGTGCGCACCAACCCCTCTCGCTCTCCAGGCTTCAGGAAGCTATCCACAAGCCTTGGGAGCCCGCAGGAGTTCCCGCCGGTGCGCCCTATGGGGCGAAAAATACGGTATATTTTTCCTGATTAAATTTATGCCCTGCTTTTCCTCGCAAAGGAGCCCAGGGCAGCAAATAATGAATGATAATAAAGACATATTTAAACCGCCTTAGAAACAATTCTGATACAGATGCGGACTGCGAAAGATCTCAACTTACTATTGTTATTCTTAATTATTAATTTATACAGTGGTACCTCTGGATGCAAACGGGATCCATTCCGGAGCCCTGTTCGCATCCTGAAGCGAACACAACCCGCACCTGTGGGTCGTGATTCGCTGCGCATGCGCGTGACCTCATTTTTGAGCATCTGCGCATGCGTGAGCGGCGAAACCTGGAAGTAACATGTTCCGTTACTTCTGGGTCACCGTAGAGCGCAACCCGAAAACGCTGCACCCCTTTGTAAGTCACTTTGGGACTTTTTACACAGCAGACTGCTACTAAATTGAAATCATCATCATCATCAGATCATAAATCAACAGGCAGTACAGCAAAGGATTAGCACATAACCAGACCTGAGCGCTAATACCCCGAGACTGCCTGCATGAAGTTTCCTCCAAGAAGAAGCTCAAGGTGCTTTTGTCCCCCGTTTCATCATTGCAGCAACTCTCTCATGGGAAGAGCTGTTGGGCAGTGGAACGGACGCCCTTGGAAGTCTGTGGATTCTCCTCCTCTGGAGGTTTTTAAGCAAAGGTTGGATAGCCATCTGTCGGGGATTCTTTCGCCATGATCATAGAATCATAGAGTTGGAAGAGACCACATGGGCCATCGAGTCCAACCCCCTGCCAAGCAGGAAACACCATCAGAGCACTCCTGACATATGGTTGTCAAGCCTCTGCTTAAAGACCTCCAAAGAAGGAGACTCCGCCACACTCCTTGGCAGCAAATTCCACTGTCGAACAGCTCTTACTGTCAGGAAGTTCTTCCTAATGTTTAGGTGGAATCTTCTTTCTTGTAGTTTGGATCCATTGCTCCGTGTCCGCTTCTCTGGAGCAGCAGAAAACAACCTTTCTCCCTCCTCTATGTGACATCCTTTTATATATTTGAACATGGCTATCATGATTCCTGAGCTGCCGGGGGTTAGACTAGACAGCCCTTGGGATCCCTTCCAGCTCTTCATTTCTTGCCCAGCATCCAGCAGGTACCAGCCAATTTTCACCTGGCCAGCCTGCTTGGAAATAGCCATTTGCTGTACCTGCCTTGTTTCCATGGCTCCCTCGCAGGGAACCCTTCATGCGAGGCATTCCTGGCACCGCCCCGTCTTTTCCCAGATGATTGATGGTCTCCCACCAGTGTCCCCAAAACCGAATGTGCGAGTTTGTTTGGGGCCTGACACTGCCTTTACCTGTCTCCATGCCCCGCTGCCTTCATGCCCAGCGGCCCGTGGTTATTAAAATTCCTCTTCGATACAGGGGCCTCTGGCAGGCTTCCCTCTCTTCCAGGCCTCGCGGGTTTCTCTGAGCTCCAGTCTTGTGGCCAGGCCAGGTCTGGCGTTGGCTCGAAGGGAGTTAAAAGCCCTGTGTTCCTGTCAAAAACTGCTCCGCGCACCTCCTTAGTGGTAATTAATGTGTCTCTGGCCGGATTTGCAAAGGCGACTTTGAAAATGCATCTTGGCCTGTACAGGTTGCTTACGTGTGTCAGAGCAGTCTGTGGAGGGAGCGATCGGCTGGAGTTGGCAAAGGGGTGGCGGAGACATTTGTCATTGTGTAAAGTGTGGCGTCGGAACTGGTATGCAGTCAGAAGGAGAAGGGAGGGAGCCTTTCATAAAATCATAGACTTGTAGAAGAAGAAGAAGAAGAAGAAGAGTTTGGATTTGATATCCCGCCTTTCACTCTCTTTAAGGAGTCTCAAAGCGGCTAACATTCTCCTTTCCCTTCCTCCCCCACAACAAACACTCTGTGAGGTGAGTGGGGCTGAGAGACTTCAGAGAAGTGTGACTGGCCCAAGGTCACCCAGCAGCTGCATGTGGAGGAGCGGAGACTCAAACCCGGTTCCCCAGATTACGAGACTACCGCTCTTAACCACTACACCACACTGGAGTTCGAAGGGACCTCCAAAAGTAATCTAGTCCAACCCCTGAAGTGCAGGAATTACAGCTAAAGAATCCCTGAACAACCACTGCTGAAAAACCTCCTTGGGAGGCAGCCCATTCCACTGCCGAACAGCTCTTACTGTCAGAAAGTTCTCTCTAATGTTTAGTCGGAATCTCCCTTCTTGTAACTTGAAGCCATTGGTTCGAGAGTGGGAGAAAACAAGCTTGCTCCATCTTCCGTGTGGCAGCCCTTAAGATATTTAAAGATGGCTATCATATCTCCTCTCAGTCTCCTCCTAAACATACCCAGCTCCTTCAACCGTTCCTCATAAGGCTTGGTTTCCAGACCCTTGATCATCTTGGTTGCCCTCCTCTACACACGTTCCAGCTTGTCAACATCCATCCTAAAGGCATCGACTTTCAGAACCTCAGGGACACAGGTGGCGCTGTGGTTTAAACCACAGAGCCTAGGGCTTGCCGATCAGAAGGTCGGCGGTTCGAATCCCCGTGACAGGGTGAGCTCCCGTTGCTCGGTCCCTGCTCCTGCCAACCTAGCAGTTTGAAAGCACGTCAAAGTCCAAGTAGATAAATAGGTACCGCTCCGATGGGAAGGTAAACGGCGTTTCCGTGTGCTGCCCTGGTTCACCAGAAGCGGCTTTGTCATGCTGGCCGCATGACCCGGAAGCTGTAGGCCGGCTCCCTCGGCCAGTAAAGCGAGATGAGCACCGCAACCCCAGAATCATTCGCGACTGGACCTAATGGTCAGGGGTCCTTTACCTTCAGAGCCTCAGAATGTTCCTGTACCTGGATCAGGCCAAAGGGGACCACATATCGCCCAGCATCTTGTTCTCACAACGGCCAACCATAAGGCCATGAGCAGGACCTGGGTGCTTCATCGCTCTCCCTGCTTGTGCTTCCCAGCAACTAGTATTCATAGAATCATAGAATCATAGAGTTGGAAGAGACCACAAGGGCCATCGAGTCCAACCCCCTGCCAAGCAGGAAACACCATCAGAGCACTCCTGACATATGGTTGTCAAGCCTCTGCTTAAAGACCTCCAAAGAAGGAGACTCCACCACACTCCTTGGCAGCAAATTCCACTGTCGAACAGCTCTTACTGTCGGGAAGTTCTTCCTAATGTTTAGGTGGAATCTTCTTTCTTGTAGTTTGGATCCATTGCTCCGTGTCCGCTTCTCTGGAGCAGCAGAAAACAACCTTTCTCCCTCCTCTATGTGACATCCTTTTATATATTTGAACATGGCTATCATATCACCCCTTAACCTCCTCTTCTCCAGGCTAAACATGCCCAGCTCCCTTAGCCATTCCTCATAAGGCATCGTTTCCAGGCCTTTGACCATTTTGGTTGCCCTCCTCTGGACACGTTCCAGTTTGTCAGTGTCCTTCTTGAACTGTGGTGCCCAGAACTGGACACAGTACTCCAGGTGAGGTCTGACCAGAGCAGAATACAGTGGCACTATTACTTCCCTTGATCTAGATGCTATACTCCTATTGATGCAGCCCAGAATTGCATTGGCTTTTTAGCTGCCGCGTCACACTGTTGGCTCATGTCAAGTTTGTGGTCAACCAAGACTCCTAGATCCTTTTCACATGTACTGCTCTCAAGCCAGGTGTCCCCCATCTTGTATTTGTGCCTCTCATTTTTTTTGCCCAAGTGCAATACTTTACATTTCTCCCTGTTAAAATTCATCTTGTTTCATAGATAATTGAATCATGGAATGGTAACCCAACCCCCTGCAATGCTCCAACAAGGGAGGTAGTGCACAGATGTTGTAGCTAGTATCCTCCATGAATTTGTCTAAGCCTCTCTTAAATCCATCCAAGATGGTGACCATCCATGCCTCTTCTCCCTCCCCACGTATACTCTCAATGGCACATCTGCCCAGTAAGTACATGCCCCAGGATGCATTATCTCTTCACTGTATAAATTTATTAGTTTCCTTTAAAATTAAGCCAAACCCCTGCTCTGTCAAATACAATTTTCCACTGCCTTTGGTCTCACAGGCCCTTTTCATATATATTGTTTTCCACGTTCACGTATGAGGCGTTATGCAGTCGTCTGCCCTCCTGGCACGGGACTTGGGAATTAGTGTCCTAATGACGGAGAATATGCAGATTTGCTTCGTTAGGAGCAGAGCAGGGAAGCAGCTTCCTGCTAGACCTCCGCTCCAAATCCCAGTGCGACAAAAATAACATTGCACTTGAGATTCCAGGAGTGTTTCTTGGGGCACTTAAAAAAAAACTCTGGCTCATACTCTCCTTTAGAAAAAGGAAAGAAAGAAAAGATTTGCTTGGTCCCTGGGCTGGCCTGTGCCCAACTCTTAGGTGTATTTGTGGTCACAGGGCTTTGCCCCGTGAAACAAAAGCCTCTTGCAAGCCTTCACTAACTTGGTGCCTTCCATATGTTTTGGGCTGAGCCTGATGGGATTTGTAGTCCAAAAGATCTGAAGGGCATCTGGTTGATGAAGGCAGAGCGATTATTTTACGAGATGGAAGATGGAGCAATCTTGTTTTCTGCTGCTCCGATGTCCTTCACTGGAGGTTTTTAAAGAGAGGTTGGGTGGACCACCTCTCAGAGATTCCTTTTTCCAACGAAGGAGAGTCCCTCCAGAGCAGGAGAAAACAAGCTTGTTCCCTCTTCCATGTCACAGCCCTTCAGATATTTGCAGATATCTATCATTTCACCTCTCAGTCTCCTCTTACCCAGGTTAACATCCCCAACTCCCTCAGCCGTTCCTCATAAGTCAGTGAGATAGTGTGGATGTAGTATTTAAACAGATTTCTATTTCAATTCCAAATCAGTGTTCACCAATACCTCCTTCTGCTCTCCCCAGTCTTTTTACGTTAAGAGAGAGAGAGATAAAACTTGATTCGCATTAGCCAATGGCCATAGCAAGAGTAAAACATTACAGTATACGCAGAAAAGGAAATTTGAAATAAAAGCACCTGAATCAGCAGTCAGTTAGTGGCCCTTGTTCTGAATGCCCCTGCTATGAACCTAGCAACCTTTGCTCTTATCTGCTCATTTTGATCTGATAGAAGAAAGGCCATTGTGGCAGTGGTTGAGCGCCCTGGGATGGTTAGTACGAGTCGGGTGATGATCTTGTTCCTCAGGTCTTTGTAGAGAGTGCAAGACAGGAGGACCTGTGCCGCTGCTTCAGTGCTGCCATCTCCACAGGGGCAAAGACATTTCTCAGGCAGGATCTTTTGGAATCGACCCTCAAGAATCGCAGATGGCAAAACATCCAGTCTTGCAAGTGTAAAAGCACGTCTGTATTTTGGGATAAGAAGTTTGTGCAGATATGGGGCCAGAGAATCAAAATGGAGAGGTGGAAAATGAACATACCAAGGGCAGAATTTCCTTATAGTGGCCAGGTTGTTCTGATGCTCAATATCTTTTAGACATTGACCAATTAGACTGTTGACTTTAGTGGGGCCCTTTTTATGTTAATATTTTACTGGAGCAGTAAGTCTGCCATCTTGGATTTAGCCTAAGCAGCCTGCTGAACTGAGAAAGCACTTTCATTATGTACAGCTCTGAGAAGGTTTTGTGCAGGGGATAATCATTAAGGAAGGTTTATATGAGGCTTACTAGACTTAAATAATTGTAGAGTTAAAAGGCACACCAAGGGTCATCTAGTCCAACCCCCTACAATGCAGGAATCTCAGCTAAAGCATCTGTGACAGATGGCCATTCCAAATCTCTGCTTAAAAACCTCCAAGGAAGGAGAGTCCACCACCTCTTGTGGTCGTCTGTTCCATTGTCGAACAGCTCTCACTGCCAGAAAGTTCTTCCTGATGTTGGGTCAGAATTTCCTTTCTTGTAAATTGAATCCATAGGTTCAGGTCCTGCCCTTTTGAGCAGCAGAAAACAAGCTTCTTCCATGTGACAGCCCTTGAGATCCATGAAGATGGATCATCTTCTCTCCTATCTCAGCCTTCTCTTCTCCAGGCTAAACAATACCCAACTCCCTCAACTGTTGGAAGGCAGTTTGGCTCACTGACTTCATCTCTCTCCCCTTTCACTTCGCAGGCTACAGAATCTCCAAAGGAGGACCAGAAAGAGGAGGAGGACCCATCAGACGAAGTGGATTCTGGCAACACCGTAACCAGTGCCCTTACCGTTCAGGAGTATTTTGCCAAGCGCATGGCCAAGCTGAAGAAAGCCCAGCGTGAGGATGACTTCAGGACAGCTGAGTCTCCTCCAGCGATGGCTGAGGAGTCGGAGTGTTTGGTAGCCCAGCCCATGAAAAGAAAGTACCCCAAGCATGGTTGTTCTGAAAGTGAGGATGGCCTTGAAGGACCAGAGGCAAAATGCCCCAGGGATCTTGGCTCAAGTGAAGAAGTGGAGAAGCTCAACACCCAGAAGAAGAACAAGAGGAAGAAGAAGAAGAAATCTAAGCACTCCAGTCCTGGCGGTGGCAGCCTTAGTTGCAACGGATCTCAAAATGGCGCCCAAGAGAAAGGAAGTTGTGGCTCAGGAACTTCCGATGCAGAAAGCAATGACTCAGAACAGCCAAGAGGAAAGAGAAAGAACAAGCGCAAGCTAGACAGGGATGCAGGGGCAGATGTCAAAAAATTGAAGAAGAAGAAGAGGAAGAAGGAGACACTCTCCAGTTAACAGTTAATACACTCTGCAGACTGTTGACCTGGTTGAATTGTTGGTTTTTGGTTGTCCTAATGTATTAGCCAGGTGCCCCAATGTTCCCACATTCATACATAGAAGTAGGGAGGTTATCTCTCCCTCTTTCTCACACATGCACAAACACAAACCATGCATTGAAGGAACACACCAAGAGTTCTCATGAAGCCACATACTGCCCACCCCCTTCTGCCCTGCACAGTCACCTTGAATTTTCGGCAGGTGGGGGTGTGATAACCCCTCACCCTCTCAGGTTCGTTCAGCACAAAGGAGGGTCATCTGGACCCCCTGTGTTTTCTGAAGCAATCCTGGGCTCGTATTCATAGTTCCTTCCAACCCCCAACACACACACAAAATCACCAAAAGGAAGAGGACCTTCGATTCACCTTCCAAACAAGACAGTTAAAGTCAAAGGAGGACTGTTTCTACTCGGTTCTGGTTTTATTCCGGGCTCGCTTGATAACTTAAGAACCAAATCAGCAAGCCTTCAATCCAGTTGCTCCAGAATCCACTGGTGATTTCGGTGAATCGAATGAATTAACAAGAAACTCCTGGAAAAGAATATCAGTGGTACCCTGATTTCCACATGTTGGCAGATAAGTGATAGGATCAATACAGGTGGTTGTTTTGGACACACCTGTCCTGCCAGTGGGTGCTGCAGGCGGTCACCTACCTGAGCAAGGTGGTGGTCCCCGTCTTCTCAGTGGACCAACAGTAACACCCCAGACAGCACCAGGTGACTGGATGTTTCCACCATTTGCATTTTCCCACAATGCCCCTGGAGGTACACTGCCTCCAGGGGAATTGTGGGGAATTGAGACAGAGGCTAGACCCAGCTCTTTGGAACCACAATCTTTTTTTAAGGGAGCCCCAAGGCAGCCATCGCCACTGGGCTCTGCCAGGGCACTGGTACCCCAACTTTGTGCCCTCCAAATGTTTTGGACTATAACGTCCATCGGCACAGCCATGTGACACGGCAGTGCTGGCAGGGTCTGATGGGATTTGTAGTTCTGGAGGACACCAGGTTAGAGAAAGGTGACCTTGGCTCTTTGATTCTCAACACCCGCCATGACTAGGATTGTGTGTTCTGTTGCCTTTCAACACTCCTCCCAGCCTTTTCTCTTAATTATGAAATGCCTTGATTTACGACGCTTGGGTTGGCTTTTCCAGCTTGCGTAAGGACTCGCCATGATATAGGATGCCATAGACTCATTTGCTGCCACGTTGGCAGAAACCAATCACCCTACCAGGCTTCCGGAAAATGATGTGATGGCTAACCCAGGCGGCCTCTGTAACAGAGCCCCAAAGAAATGTCCCTGCAGAGATTGGACGGGGTGGGGTATCTGTTAATTAGTGGTTTGCAAAAAATCAAAAACCTGCATTCCTTAGGTTTTGTTGGCACACTTCCAAAGAGCATCAGGCCTTGAGTGCAGGCAATGAATCACTGCTAGCAAAACTCTGCATCGCTGCCTATTAATGCGTGAATCCAAAGACGCCCTTCAGCCTTGGTTGCTAACTCCAGATTGCCTGTTTGGGTAGTTGTGGGTTTCGGGCTCCCTTGCGAGCCTTCTAAAGAATGAAATGAAGCTTTGGGACGGAGGCCTTCTCCAATGGAATTTGGTGTGTGTTGGGTCGTTGTTGTTTTTTTAAGAAATAAAATCTCCCCCGTCTACACTTTGATCTCTGTTTTGGTGTCTGCGAAGCTTCATACGCAAAATGCAATTATTTAAACAAAGGGGAGCGCCAATCTCGGTGGAAAATCAGGTGCGAGACCAACACGGTAAACAGATCAAGCAAATGGGGTGTGTAAGAAGCCTGTGGCTGGTTTGGAAATGATCGGAAGATCACCGTATTACTCGTAATCCCTGCACACGCATGAGTACAGTCTGCTCTTTCGCTTTGGCGCATGAGATCGTAGCATTGCGGAGTTGGAAAGGACTACGAGGATCATGAAGTCCCAACTCCCTGCAATGTAGGAATCTTTTGCCCAACATGCAACCCACGACCCACATGCAACCCACGAGATTAAGAGTCTCATGCTCTAACCAACCAAGCTATTCCAGCTGTTAAAATACTTTCCTCCCTCACATCCCATGTTCATCACTGTTTCCTATCTGCTGCTTCCCTCTCGAGCAGCCAAAATACAAATTTGCTGTGGCCCGTCATGCATAACCAGGGATCCCCAAGGTTCCCTAGGAATCAAAATTATTCCTGCCGTGGCTTCCACAACCTGGTGCTCTCCAGAAGTTTTGAACTCCCGTCTGCTTTTGCCACCACGCTCCCTCCTGCCCCCTTTCTAGGCCAGTGCTTGCCACCTCCAATTTCTATAAGCTTGTACCAAAAGCAATTTTGTTTTGTTTTTAATCTGCGTACCTTTTCAGCACGTCAGAAAGGTGCATTGGCTAGATAGCTCCATTGGTTAAACTATGGTGCTGATAAGGGCAAGGTTGCAGGTTCGATCCCCGGATGAGAAAGCTGTATATTCCTGCATTGCAGCTGGTTGGACTAACTGATCCTCAGGGTCCCTTCCAACTCTACAGTTCTATGGTTCTATGATTCAGCCTTTCTCAACCTGTGGGTCCCCAGATGTTGTTGAACTACAACTCCCATCACCCCTAGCTAGCAAGGCCAGAGCTCAGGGATGATGGGAGTTGTAGTCCAACAACATCTGGGGACCCACAGGTTGAGAACCGCTGCCTTCAATGAAAGCACCTGACCAGCGCCTCCCCAATAAAGGGTGGGCCCCCTGATGACATAATAGGCTTAGTGGCCAAACAAAGCCTGGCCAATTAGTGAACCAATTTCTCTGCCTTGTTATGTAATCTGCCTGTATCCCTTACCCCTTCCTAGGGCTCAAGGTAGAAACTCGTTTTTTAAAAAATTTAAAACTGTATGACAGAGTTGTAGAATGAAATAAAAACAGTAAGCCATGACACAAAATTACAATCATGCTTCACCAAATATACGGTATTTAAATACCCCACCTGTAATGAAGAATGAGAACTTTCTGACAGTAAGGGCTGTTTGACAATTCTGCCTCTGGAAGTTGTGGACTCTCCTTTCCTTGAAGGTTTTTAAACAGAGGTTGGGTGGCCATCTGTAAGGAATGCTTTAGCGGAGTTTCCTGCATTGCAGGGGGTTGGACTAGATCATGGATAGGCAAACTAAGGCCCGGGGGCAGGATCCGACCCAATCGCCACCTAAATCCGGCCGGCGGACGGTCCAGGAATCAGCGTGTTTTTACATTAATAGAATGTGTCTTTTTATTTTAAATGCATCTCTGGGTTATTTGTGGGGCCTAGGAATTCGTTTATTTCCCCCAAAAAAATATAGTCCGGCCCCCCACAAGGTCTGAGGGACAGTGGATCGGCCCCCTGCTGGAAAGGTTTGCTGACCCCTGGACTAGATGAAACTCGGGAGTCCCTTCGAACTCTACAGTTCTATGATTCTATGAACCACTCTGCGAAACGTGGTTTTACATGCATTGGCAGGGGATATGGGGAGACCCCGTGTCAGAGCTCTTGTTTACCATGCAAAAACAAACTGTCCCAGGTTCATTTCCTCTCCAGGGTAAAGTTGCAAAAAACTGCTGCCAGACTGCACCGATTGCCTGACCTGGCCACATTCACACCATGCATTTAAGGTACTGTGATACCACTTAAAACCATCCTGGCTTTCCCCGAAGAATTTTGGGAAGTGTAGTTTTCTAAGGGTGCTGAGAGTTGTTGTTGTTGTTTAGTCATGTCCGACTCTTTGTGACCCCATGTACCAGGCACTCCTGTCTTCCACTGCCTCCTGCAATTTGGTCAAACTCATGCTGGTAGCTTCGAGAACACTGTCCAACCATCTCGTCCTCTGTCGTCCCCTTCTCCTTGTGCCCTCCATCTTTCCCAACATCAGGGTCTTTTCCAGGGAGTCTTCTCTTCTCCTGAGGTGGCCAAAGTCTTGGAGCCTCAGCTTCACGATCTGTCCTTCCAGTGAGCACTCAGGGCTCATTTCCTTCAGAATGGATTGGTTTGATCTTCTTGCAATCCATGGGACTCTCAAGAGTCTCCTCCAGCACCATAATTCAAAAGCATCAGTTCTTCGGCAATCAGCCTTCTTTATGGTCCAGCTCTCACTTCCATACATCACTACTGGGAAAACCATGGCTTTAACTATACGGACCTTTGTTGGCAAGGTGATGTCTCTGCTTTTTAAGATGCTGTCTAGGTTTGTCATTGCTTTTCTCCCAAGAAGCAGGCGTCTTAATTTTGTGACTGCTTTCACCATCTGCAGTGATCATGGAGCCCAAGAAAGTAAAATCTCTCACTGCTTCCATTTCTTCCCCTTCTATTTGCCAGGTGGTGATGGGCCCAGTGGCCATGATCTCCGCCCCCTCCAAAAAAAAGAAAAAACCCCACACATGCACACTTTTCTAAAACAGCATTTCATCCCCTCCTGTGCAAGAGACAGATCTCCAGTTGCTATCAACACAGTCTAGCTGCAGAGGTGTGTATGGATAAACTGGGGACATTGCAACTTGTGAATGGTCGTAATTCTTGCCATTAAGCAGAGGAAGATTTTTGCAATAATTTTTATTAAAGGCTTTCCAACATATTCTACAATAAGAAACAAACTAATCTGGAAAGAAATAGTACAGAACAATATGGAAAGAAAGCAGGAAAGAGAGAAGAAATAAAATAGTAACAACCAGCAAGATAGCAATGGTCCTAATAAAACACACAATTATATATTTATGTATATAGTTCTGTACCATCGTTTAATCTTAATTCTCAATCTTCGCACAGAGTTTCCTCCCCGCTCCCACCTGGGAGGGTTATGGGAAGATTTTCAAGCAATTGCACCTGCAGTTAGAAGACTGGCATCACCTGATGATAGGATGGGTTGAAAGTTCCCTCCTGACTGAGGAATCCACAGGTGGTGCCCACTTTGGTTTAAACAAAATAAAAAAATTCCTTCCAGTGGCACCTTAGAGACCAACTACGTTTGTTATGGGATGCGGGTTGTGCTGTGGGTTAAACCACAGAGCCTAGGGCTTGCCGATCAGAAGGTCGGCAGGTCGCATCCCCACGACGGGGTGAGCTCCTGTTGCTCGGTCCCTGCTCCTGCCAACCTAGCAGTTCGAAAGCATGTCAAAGTGCAAGTAGATAAATAGGTACCACTCCGGCGGGAAGGTAAACGGCGTTTCCGTGCGCTGCCCTTGTTCGCCAGAAGCGGCTTAGTCATGCTGGCCACATGACCCGGAAGCTGTACGCCGACTCCCTTGGCCAATAAAGAGAGATGAGCGCCACAACCCCAGAGTCGGCCACAACTGGACCTAATGGTCAGCTCATACCAATAACAAACTTAGTTGGTCTCTAAGGTGCTACTGGAAGGATTTTTTTATTTTGTTTTGACTATGGCAGACCAACACGGCTATAACTAGCACTTTGGTTTAATCACTCGTCAGTGATGAATGAGGGCTCTGATTCTCTGCAGACGAAGACCTTGACTCCCCGCAACGGTCTTCCACCCAGCTGCTGTCTTATGGGAAGGAAAGCGTTTTTGCACAAAACCACAACAGTGAGCATTAGGTTCCAAAGTCTGGAAATCAAACTGCAAGACTTGGCTTACAGCTCCATGTCATGGCGACCTGAGCGTGAATCCTATTGAATTTGGGTTTAATCAAACCGATCAAGAAAAGATGGATTGGGTGATCATGTGGGCAAGCTGGAATGAGCAGAGCTGAACGTTAAGGGCCAGACATCCTTGGATGTTGTCTGGTCCAACCAAATAGAAGCCCATGTTACCTTTTGCTCCCATTCTGCCTCTTGCATTTGTTTTCGTTGTTTTCCCTCTCTCAAAATATGTAAGCTCCATGGGGCAGAGGTCTCTTTTCCTACGGTTTCTCTGCAAAGTTCTAGCTACATAACAGCATCAGGCTGATGCTCAAAGATCTATCTAGTACAACATCCTGAATCCAAACTGCCACCTTATATTTAGAAAGCCCACAAGCAGGACATAAAATCACCGAACTGAGTCTTTAGGTAAATTAGCTTGAATACAAGGCAGATCGGAGCAGGAGTCTTTCGGATGCTACTAATCTCTCTCCATGGCCCTTGGCATCAGGACTTTTGCACCCTTACTCCCATTTCGTTTCCTGCTTTCAGAAAACCCACACACATATATACACAACCTTTGCTGAAATGGAACCATCCAGTTGATTTGGACTACAACTCCCATCAGCACCAGCCTGCCTCCTGAGGAGAGTGTTTCATCGGCAGAAAATCTTGCCCATATTCTAGCAACTGATGCAGAACAGCAGATGTGGCTAATGATAGCTCGGGATGTGTGTGAATCCTATAGAATTGAGCCTATAGAATCATAGAAGGGACCCCAAGGGTTGCCAAGTCCAACGTCCAACCCCTAGTAGTCTTCCAAGCTAAACCCCTAGCACAGCTACTATACGGGGCTCAGATTTGGACTGGTACTTTGGAAGCTGTTCAATCAAAGTTTCTAAGGCAGATTTTTTTCTGCGCCGCCATGCATCCCAAACGCATCATTGCGACTGGAGGCAAGTCTCCCTTCAGTAGAAGTACGGACTTGGCAAAGAACTCTTAACTTCTGGCTCCGCCTAAACTCAAATCCCCCGGGTTTACTATCCCTAGTACTTCAAGACTCCCATAGAAGTGCCTGGCTTAAAACCGTCTATCAAAAACTTCACTCTTGTGGCCTATTGCCACAACACCTACTCACTATGGGCCCCATCTCAATATCTAAAAGATATCGAGCATCCAAACAACCTGGCCACTATAAGGAAATTCTGCCCTTGGTACGTTCATTTTCCACCTCTCCATTTTGATTCCCTGGCCCCATATCTGCACAAGCTTCTTATCCCAAAATACAGACGTGCTTTTACACTTGCAAGACTGGATGTTTTGCCATCTGCGGTACTTGAGGGTTGATTCCAAAAGATTCCACCTGAGAAACATCTTTGCCCCTGTGGAGATGGTAGCACCGAAACAGCGGCACACGTCCTCCTTTCTTGCACTCTCTACAAAGACCTGAGGAACGAGATCATCACCCGACTCGTACTAACCATCCCAGGGCACTCAACCACTGCCACAGTGTCCTTTTTCCTATCAGATCAAAATGAGCAGATAACGGCAAAGGTGGCTAGGTTCATAGCAGGGGCAATCACAATAAGGGCCACTAACTGACGGCTGATTCAGGACTTTAAATTGTGCTCTTATATCAAATTTCCCTTTCTACGTATACTGTACAGTGGTACCTCTGGATGCAAACGGGATCCGTTCCGGAGCCCTGTTCACATCCTGAAGCGAACACAACCCGTGTCTGTGCATCTGCGGGTCACGATTTGCCGCTTCTGCGCATGCATGTGACGTCATTTTGAGCATCTGTGCATGCGCGAGCAGCGAAACCCGGAAGTAACGCATTTCATTACTTCTGGGTCGCTGCGGAGCATAACCTGAAAATGCTCAACCTGAAGCATATTTAACCCGAGGTATGACTGTAATGCTTTAGAGTTGCTATGGCCATTGGCTAATGTGAACAAAGTTTTATCTATCATCTATCTATCTATCTATCTATCTATCTATCTATCTATCTATCCAATGTCTTGCTATGCAGGAATCTCAGCTAAAGCATTCATGACAGATGGCCATCCAATCTCTGCTTAAAACCTCCAAGGAAGGGGAGTCCACAACCTCCCAAGCGAGACTGTTCCCCTGTTGAACAGCTCTTGCTGTTAGAAAGTTCTCGTTCTTCATTATGGGTGGTGGGGTATTTAAATTCCATTTGATATTTGGCGGAGTATGCTTGTGATTTTGTTGTTTCGTCCAACAGCCTGCTGTTTTTATTTCATTCTGCAATTACGTCTTAACGTTTTTAAAAGTTCTCTCTGTTCCTTACCTGGTGTAGGGGCAGGTGCGCTCTTAACATGTTTTCCAGGATTTAAGGTGAGATTTCTCACCTGGCCCTTCCTGGAGGTGATGGAGACTGAACCTTAGACTGAACCGTGTCCCAAAGTGAAGGCCAAGCACCTAGAGATTGGTCTGTCTCTGTTTTGGAATTCCTGTGTTGAACGTAATTAGACTAGATGCCCCTTGGCCAACTCTGTAATTCTGTCATTCTATGCATGTTGTAGGGGCACGGGTGGTGCTGTGGGTTAAACCACAGAGCCTAGGGCTTGCCGATCAGAAGGTCGGCGGTTTGAATCCCCGCCATGGGGTGAGCTCCCGTCGCTCGGTCCCTGCTCCTGCCAACCTAGCAGTGTGAAAGCATGTCAAAGTGCAAGTAGATAAATAGGTACCGCTCCAGCGGGAAGGTAAATGGCGTTTCCGTGCGCTGCTCTGGCTCTCCAGAAGTGGCTTAGTCATGCTGGCCACATGACCCGGAATAAAGCAAGATGAGTGCCGCAACCCCAGAATCGGCTACGACTGGACCTAATGGTCAGGGGTACCTTTACCTTTACCTATGCATGTTGTAAGAAGAGGGTCAAAATGGTTTGGAAAAGTTTCCAGCTCTAACTATCCCATTTTGCTCCGTGGGGGGGGGGGATAATAATAATAATAATAATAATAATAATAATAATAATATCAAAAAATATTATTTATACCCCACCCATCTGGCTGAGTTTCCCCAGAAACTCTGGGCAGCTCCCAATCAAGTGTTAAAAACAATACACTATTAAATATTAAAAACTTCCCTAAACAGGGCTGCCTTCAGATGTCTTTTAAAGATAAGATACCTGCTTATTTCCTTCACATCTGAAGGGAGGGCATTCCACAGGGCAGGCGCCACCACCGAGAAGGCCCTCTGCCTGGTTCACTGTAACCTCACTTCTCACAATGAAGGAACCACCAGAAGGCCCTCAGCGCTGGATCTCAGTGTCCGGGCTGAACGATGGGGGTGGAGACGCTCCTTCAGGTATACAGGACCGAGGAAGAGACCCTTCCTTCATGTTCTGAATCTACACCAGACCAACAGTGCCATGTAATTCAAAATCTTGCACAGTTCTGCTTCTTAGGACAGAGAGGGTTGCCTATCTTTTTGTCTCTCTGGTCTTTGGTAGTTTTCATTCAATAGACAGGTACACAGCACTCTGTACATGCCCAAAGTCACTCTGGGGCTGAGGGATCTGGTGACCTCTGGGTCACACTAAGCCTCAGGAGATGGAGGAAGAGGAAGAGATTAGCATTTTGCAGAGCATCCCTTGCCAAGCTCTTCTTGGAGGAATCCTTCCGCAAGGTGGTTCCTCCATTTCGAAGGATCCAGAATCTCAGAAACGGGTTTCTCCCCAGTCTCCCATAATCTTGGAGGTGGGGTCGGAAATTGAGGTGGGTTGCCTTTGCTTTTGTATGTTGGTTTCCAATGGGCTCTGGAGTGGGGATGGGGAGAGTTTGATTAGAATCGCCACCCTCTTATGTGAAGGCCCCAGAGGTGTGAGGATTCTCTGGGGCTGTTCAGAGGTGATGGAAATGGACTCTGCACCTGCTCAGGGGCACTGTCCTCCTGTCCTCACAACTGGATGTGTTCTAGAGTTGAACCCAGTCAGTGAAAACAGGGGCACTCGGCACCTATTCAAGGGCACTCTGCACATGCTCAGGGGTACTGTCTGCCTGGCTTTTGTTGTTTAGTTGTTTAGTCGTGTCCGCCTCTTCGTGACCCCATGGACCAGAGCACGCCAGGCACTCCTGTCTTCCACTGCCTCCCGCAGTTTGGTCAAACTCATGCTGGCAGCTTCAAGAACACTGTCCAACCATCTCGTCCTCTGTCGTCCCCTTCTCCTTGTGCCCTCCATCTTTCCCAACAGCAGGCTTTCCAGGAGTCTTCTTCCTGAGGTGGCCTGTTCCAGGGAGTCTTCTCTTCTCCTGAGGTGGCCAAAGTCTTGGAGCCTCAGCTTCAGGATCTGTCCTTCCAGTGAGCACTCAGGGCTGATTTCCTTCAGAATGGATAGGTTTGATCTTCTTGCAGTCCATGGGACTCTCAAGAGTCCAGCACCAGAATTCAAAAGCATCAATTCTTCCTTGACCTCCTGGCTTCACATTTGCCCTAATAAAATCCAGCCTGGCTGTGAAAAGAGGGGCGCTCTGCCCTTGCTCAGGGACACTGTCCCCCTGCCTCCCCCCTACCCACTTAATGGTTGGAAAGGAAGCTACCCGAGCCCTGGAGGCCCTTCCCCACGCCTCCCTCCCGACGGCGCCAGGCCCTCCTACCCCTCCCCGTGTTCTCTTCCTCCGGCGAGGCAGGCAGGGCGCGCCCGAGGCGGAGCCGGTCCCTCCCCAGGCGGCCCGGGAGGAAGCTCATAAATAGAGCGCGGCCGGGCGGAGGAGGGCGCCTGCCGGAGCGTAGTGCAGTGGATAGAGGGGGACGCCGCCCGTTTGCGCGCCCGCCTGCCGGGGACTCGCTGGTTCGAGACCCGCCAGCCGCCCTCCTGGCATGGCTTCGCTGCTGGGCTCATACGCCTGGTCCGAGAGACTGGAGTGCTCCGCGCTGGAGCTGCCCGACGGGGGCGCAGCATCCGCCGGCGCCGTCGGAGGGAGCCGGCCCGAGAAAGGGTCCCCCGAAAGCCGCATCCGACGCCCCATGAACGCCTTCATGGTATGGGCCAAAGACGAGAGGAAGCGATTGGCTGTCCAGAACCCGGATCTGCACAACGCCGAGCTGAGCAAGATGTTGGGTAAGGCAGACGCGGGAATGAGCGCGCGCGCAAGGAGTGCGGGAAAGAGCGCATCTCGCCATTCGAGTTTTGTTTTTTTAAAAAAAAGTTTTCAGGTTTGATTACTTTTTTAAAGCTTTAACATTCGGTTCTGTGTTTTTAGATCTCTCAGTTTGCTTTGCAGGCCGTCTGATTTAGCCGGCGCTCTGTGCGTAAAAATCCTTTCTGCGCGTAAAAATCGGTTCAGGGCGCGGGGTGACTGCCCAAAGGCACTGAGATCGCGGCGTTTAACAAGGAGGAAAGGCCTGATCCGGCCGCAGTTCAGCAACCTCTAAGCCCGTTGAGGTTTACTTGGTGGTCCGTTCCCGAGTTCCCATCAAAAACACCGACAAAAGAGCCCCGGGTTTGGCTGTCGCTTTGGAGTCAATGGGGACTTTGGAGTGATGGGGTTTGGTCGGCGCGCTCAGGAGTCGCTCCGAAACGGGTCCCTTTCCAATGGAAGTTCTTAGGTGGGGAAAATCCATCCGTCAGCTGCGTTTTGCTCAACCTATCGGATCGGGGCCCTCAGTATCTCGGAATCGGGAAAAGCCGGTGAAAAGGAATAAAGTCACTTTCTTTTTCACAAAAGATTTTCATTATCAGATTTCGTCATCTTTTTTAAAAAAAAAAGTGGGGGGAAGCGCGAGGATGGTGGGGTTTTTTTGCACGCGTCTCCCTATTTTTTATTCTTTATTTTGCTTAAAGCTACTTTAAAACCGTGCGAAAGTTTAAAAGATGCCTCCCTAATTCCCCACCCCCACCCCAATAAAATTAAAGCTAAATAAATAAATGACCGTGCTTTTTTATGATTAAGAGCTCACCTTTGCAAATAACCCGTTGGGCAGAATGAGATCAGTTTTCCCGGAATAAAGGTGAGGGGGAAAGGCCTAAAAATTATTGCAAACTTGACGTGTCGCAAATGCACACAATAAATCCGGGGGGAAATGTTTTTTTAGCTATGTTCTGTATGTATTGTTCTGAAAAGTGTCAACGACCTAATACTGTATAAACAATATCGTACATATTTTAGGGGAGGTGCTTGGAAAACTTTGAAAGCTCTCTGTTTTCTTCCCGAAGTAGTATTAAAGGGCAGGAGGGAGGAATAGCTATACATAACACCACTTTTATTTTTATCTAGGAAATTAAATTACAGCTTTATTTATTTTTAAATAAATGAATAGGGCATTTAAATTTGGTTTTAATGTTGGATACGGCACACCAAGAAGAATACTGCTGGATATATATATATATATTTTAAGGAATGAAGGATATTTAAATCATGTATAATTAAATAAAAAACAACACAACAGCTGTGATGTACTTATTCATATTTGTATAGTCGTTGTTTATTAAACTCATGAGTCCCTCAAGTAACCAAAAAGGTCTCCAAGCCACTGGCAACATATTTAAAAACATAAAGAAAGAGTAAATATTATACTAAAGTATAGACACATTTACACAGAAATGGATGTAATGATATAAAAAAAATAATAATACACAAAGCAACCCCCAATGATAGCAGCAAAACAAAACAAAAACAAAAACACACATTAAGAACAAGGAACAGCAAAGTGTCAAACAAAAGTATAAGGAGAAAAGGTAGCATCTCCAGGTATTATTTTTATTTTTTTATATGAGCACTACATGTTAATAAATATTTATTTATCATCTTCCTAGCCATGTTCTACATAAAAAGTGCCTAAAGCAATACACTGTGCTAAAACATTTTTTTAAAAAAAATAAAAGTTCAACAGCAATAAGGACAAAAAACACTTATAAAATCAAGATAGCACAAACATATTCAACACTTAAAGAAATTCAGCACATCCCGTATCAAGCACAAATACCAAAGGTTTGTTACACCCGCAATTGCTTGATCTGAATTCGTTCTTTTTCTGGGGAGGTGCAGAGAGACACTTTCCCTTTCAAAACAATAATTTTATTTACAATAGAATTTGGGATCAATTTAAAATCACATGTGGGAAAGTGGTAATGAGTAGCTAGCTTGCAGTTTTCAGCGCTGAATACTTTTCTGCAGCTCTAGATGTAACCATTTAAGCCACTTATCCTGAGTTTATGTGTCCGTTGGAAGCAAATTCCACTGAAAGGTGCATTAAGCGTTTAGTCGGAACCAGTTTTAAATAGAGCACAAGGAACATTTAAATATTTGCATCAGTATTTCAGGTTTGCGCTGCCTCACCCTGACCAGGCTGACTTAGAAATAAATGCCTCTGATTTCAATTGCATTTACTTCCAAGTAAGCGTATGTAAGGTTACAGCCGTAACTTGCTACGGGGTTGTGCAAGGGTAATCTGCAGGAATATCTGTCCTTGAAAACATTTTTATGCCCGTGATGCTTTTCATTTGATTTCTCAAATGCTGGAAATTCAGCCCATTTTCTTGGCGATCTTCATAACTATACAAACCTCTGTCCCACAGGTGAAGATCCTTTACCTGTAAATTAGGCTGCTGCCCCTTTCTCCCCACCTGTCCCCAGATTTTCAGCACCCTCTTGAAAGATGCTGTGCTCACAGTACCCATTGGGTTGCAATGCTGTGTTAGTTTCATGTAAGAGGCGATGCATCGAAATTAGCAGACGTCGCTTACTTAAAGGTCCATGAATTTCAGTGGGACTTCTTCAACTAAAACTTACTTCAATACAACCCACTTTCCCAAGCATGATTACAGCAGAGATTTATATAAGGTTCGGCCACATCGGAGGTTCCACGTTGAACCCCTTTCCTAAAAATTCCTGCCCTGGGTTTTCCTTTATCACAGCTGCCACGCAGCGCCTTGACATTTCCCTCAAGCTCGGGCGTCATGACCCCAAGATCTCTTTCCTGCGTAATCACTGCCAGTTCAGTGTATTGTTTTCATTTAGGGTTTGGTTTTATTTTCCTCCATTGTGGATCACTTTACAGCTCAGGGTGCTGAATCTCCTGAAGTCCCATTTTGCTGCCTGTTTCCCCAGTTTGGAGAGATCTTTTGGGGGCTCTTTGTGGTCTGTTCATGGTTTCGCGCTCCTGAGTCACTTAATGTTGTCTGCAGACCTGATTCCCACACCGTTCGACTCCTCGTTCTGCTCTCCATCACGCTGTGTTACGGAGGATCAAGCCCCAGTAACAATCTCTGCATCCGAAGGAAATTCCATCAATAGGAATACCTTGGAACACTGGGAATTCTACAGTTTTTTGGTTTTGAAAACAAGATCCCCCCAGAGTCTGTGACCAGACACTCTTATGCTGGTGATAAATGATACAAGCTGGACTTCATCTGCATTTTACATTAATTAATTTGCAGGTTCTAGAAGAATAGCTGCGCAGGAGCGAAAAGGGCTGAGGAGTTAACAAGGTTTTCATTTCTGTGGCACTTATCATTTCCATTGGTAGACAGCTTGCTATCTGAGATCTCAAAGAGTAGTTTGCAATAGATAAAGAAGTACAAACACAGTAAGTGCCATGAAATCCATATTATTATTATTATTTATTAAGTGTAAATCAAACGATCTGCCAGACAAAAATATATAAACAATATCCTTGCGCAGAAACACAAAATTAATACCAACACAAAATCAATACAAAAATCAGAGATCCTTACAAAGCAGCGTAATGCAAAATTTCAAACAACGTAACATGCAATATTCACATGACCTCTCAACCTCACTCCCTTTCCGTTCCTTGCAACCACTTTCCTCGTTTATTGCCACGCAGAAACCTTCAAAGGCAAGTTGAGGGTTGGGACTTTTGGAACACGTTTCTTGACCTGGTGGGGGAATCTGTGGAGGGCGACAGAATGGCAGAAACTGGTGCGGGGTGTGAGGAATAGGACTCTATTTTTTGTTTTTTTCTCTCTCCCTTTTAACTTGATTCAGAGCAGGCAAACGTTCAACAGGTACACCTCTCTCCCTGCTTCTCCAAGCCCAGCAAATTCTTAGCTTGTTTATCATTAATAGAACTATTTATTGATGCCTTCGCACAACAGACGCATCAGGGGCACGCAACGCTAATGGAAAAGAAAAAAATTAAAGCCACATGACAAGGCAAAGCGGTTATACTGATAATAAAACTGCCCCTCTTGAAATTCTGCCTGCGCAACTGCACCTAACAGCAGGAAAGGGAGAAAAAAAGAAAGGTGGCACAGGATGGGGAAGGGGGGGTGGAAAGAAATGATAAAAGCTGCTCACAGAGTCTGGGTTGTGCCTGCCGTTAGTCCTGCTCAGAGTAGACCCATTGAAATGAAGGGGGCTGAGGTTGCCCTGATTTGCATTGGACGGCAGCTTGCTCTGCTGTCATCCAGTGTTGCAGTCCAGAGTTTGGGAGCATAGCTGCCAACGTTTTCCCTTTTTAAAAGGGAAATTCCCTTATTCCGAATAGGATTCCTCACAAGAAAAGGGAAAAATTGACAGCTGTGTTTGGGAGAGAAGAAGGATCTGGAGGGAAGTCAAGGCAGGATAGAAACGGCACAGATTTGCCAAGCTCATGGTAAACATTCTTGCTTTAAAACGAAGTGTGGTGCTGATAATGCCGAGGTCGTAGGTTCGATCCCCATATGGGACAACTGCGTATTCCTGCACTTTCAGGGGGTCAGACTAGATGATCCTCAGAGTCCCTTCCAACTCTACAATTCTATGATCCTAAGCAAAATTTGATATTCCTTCCTCCTCCCCGCCCCAGGAGCATCGCTCAGCATTTAAAACATCAGGCTCAGATTCGGATTGGTGGATTTGCATGTGGGTTGATCGTCTGTCCTTAACCAAGTTGGTGTGCCTAATAGAAACACAGGCAGCTGTTTTATGCAGAGTCAGGCCACTGGGTCCATCTAGTATCGTTGACACTGACTGGCAACAGCTCTCCAGGGTCTCTCCCAGCCTTACCTGAACATACATACTGGGGAGTGAACACCCACTCAGCCGCATCTAAATTCACCTTTTGCGCTTTCTGCGATGCTGCAGATTAGAGTGGCCGAAGGTGCGTAAGTTCACCCACGAAAGCTTTTGCTCCTTGCGAGGAGGAGATGTTCCCTCTTGACATTTCCTTTTTCCTTCCTTGACGCAGCAACACTCCAGGAACAAAAGTGCTCTCAACCCACAAACCTGTCGATTACATTTGCGCTCGCTAATTAAATTAGCCCCGATCCGGCTATAAACAACGCCGGCCGTCTATTGCTGAATTATTTCAGATTTATCTCCCGACCTTCATCGATTTTGCTCCCTTCTGAAATTCTGGGTATACTGAGATGTTGGGCGATGGCAAAAGTGTGCTCACTCAGGAACATGTAGATGTGTAGTGGGTTTTAAGGGGGGATCGTCGGTTTGCTCTGAGCCTGCCAGCACACTTGGCAACTGTGGAAGTGGAGCATGCTTGGTGAAGTCCATTGAGTTCAATAGGTCTACTCTGAGTACAGCTAGCGCTGGACATCCCCCTGTAAAGCCTCAAAGTTGCATTTCCCAGTTTTCCAGGGGTGTGCAAAGAATCGCCTCTCCCCATATGAACTGACCCAAACCTTGTGATCAGCCTCTGAGGGCCTTCTTCATGTGCCACACAGTACCCCTTCCACATTTATAAGAACTTGATTGTTTAGTGTGGCAGCACCTGCACTTTGGAACTCCCTGCCACTTGAGAGCAATTAGGTGCCTTTGCTTTTCTCTTTTCGGCACCTGCCAAAAACCATTCTTCTTTAGACAAGCGTAAGACAGTTGAGGTGATTTCCAGCTGTTTTGAATTTTGTATGTCTTTAAGCATGGGTGTGAATTTTTCTCGGTTTTATTATTTCATCTTTTTGTAAACCGCTTTGAGGGTTTTTTTTTTATCAAGCAGTGTATGAAATGTATGAAATAAATGAATGGGTTGCACCAAACGAGCTGAATCGTTATTATTTAATTTGCGCAGAACAGACAATGTTAAATGCGTAGCATTGGCGGTGTAACATAATAATAAATTTTTATTTATACCCCGCCCTTCCCGGTTCAGGGTGGCTGACAACAAATTTAAAACACTTAATTGATGCAACAAAAAACAGCATAAAATACAGTATAAAATGTGAATAACAATAAATTCAGAATTCAAAAATAAATTTAGGGGGGAAATCCATCCAATAAACATTAGATGATCACCAGGGCTAGCTGGCTAAATTAGTTCTATTTGGGACAGTGAGGAGACCAGGGGAGAACATAAGCCAAAACTTTAAAATGATCGCAGTCCTCTGCCCCGAGCAGCTTACAATCGCGTTGCCAACAGTCTGACTGTAACAGGCACATAGAGGAGAGGACTGGAAAGGGAGCCAACATTAACAGGGGGTGACTGTGAGCCGGCATGCCGAGTCCGGCTCTCTGCAGCTCATGCTTTGCTGAATTTCCTCTGTGTGTGCCATCCTTAAAGGCCTTTTCCTCCTCCTCCTCCTTGCTCTCCCCGCAGGCAAATCCTGGAAGGCTTTAACCCTGTCCCAGAAGCGGCCGTACGTGGAAGAGGCCGAGAGGTTGCGGGTGCAGCACATGCAAGACTACCCCAACTACAAGTACCGGCCGCGGAGGAAGAAGCAGATCAAGCGGATCTGCAAGCGAGTGGATCCGGGTTTCCTGCTGGGGCACCTCTCAAGGGACCAGGACTCCGCGCCAGAGAAACACAGGGTGGCTGGAGAGAAAGACCGGCAGGCTGACTACTCTCCCGGTCCGGTGCTGCCCAGCCTCGGGAGATACCGGGAGGTTCAGAGCAGCGGCGCTGGTACCCCCATGGACACCTACCCCTACGGCCTGCCCACCCCCCCAGAAATGTCCCCCTTGGATGTGATAGACCCTGAGCAGAGCTTCTTCTCCTCCGCCTGCTCCGAAGACCCTTGCCGCTCCAACCTGCTCGGGGGCCCCTACTCTCTGGAGTACACCGGTGGCTCCCTGCAGTGCGGCCGCCCTCTGGGCCACCTGCCCATCTCTCAAACCGCCCACCCTGCTTCTTCCCCTTGCTCGGCTCCCCCCTCATGCAACTACTACCCCCCTCCATCTTTCCACCCGGCTATGCAGCCCCATGGCCTCCACCCTCACCTGGGCCAGCTGTCGCCGCCTCCTGAGCACCACCAGAACTTCGACAGCCTGGAACAACTGAGCCAAGCGGAGCTGTTGGAGGAGATGGACCGCGATGAGTTTGACCAGTACCTGAATGCCCCCGGACACCCGGAGCCTGGTGGGTTGGTGGTCAATGGGCATGTCCAGGTGTCTCAGGCGCCGGGCGGCTCCCATTCCTCCGAGACCAGCCTCATTTCCGTCCTTGCCGACGCGACGGCCACTTACTACAACAGCTACAGCGTTTCTTAGGCCCATGGGGCGAGATCAGCTCCACAAGCTGACTGAGGACAGGCTTTGGGGTGTTTTGCCGGATGATAAAAACCTGTGTGCCAGCTTTGGCCTCGCTCTACCCTTTCTCCTCAGGGTTTCTCTCCCCCGTCTGATCTGAATTCGCCTTGGACGTTGCCTGCTAGGCTTAAGGACTCCTAACATCTTAACTTCAGAAAGGCCGTTTGAAAGTTTTAGTTTGAAAGGCCTTTTCGGTTCCACTTCAAAGGGCCGTGGGAACCTTTTGATGGCCAGATGCGTCTTAATCAGGAAGCATTCTTGTCCCTCCCACTGGATCGAAGGGTCTACTCTGATTTTTAGGGTGATTGGAGGGGCAGGGGAACCATGCGGAATTCTTGCCACAATAGGGGCCTGAAATGCTTGGGGGTGCCCACGTTGGATTTGCAAACTGGAGTCGAAGATGGAGAACTCAAAATTGGCCTCTATGTTGATCTGAGCAGTTTCCTTCCCACCCTTTAACTCTCGCCCAGGCAGCAGGGGAACAAAAATAAATCTGGAAAGTGAATCTGCTTGGCTGCTCCTCTTGCTTCTCTAAGACAGCAATCGCCATAACCAAAGATGTTCTTGGGTGTAACGCCTTAGAACTAACTCCTAGGCCAACGGTGGGGAGACCTGTGTCCCTCCAGCTGTTGCTGGACACAAGCACCTTTGTCCCCTTCAGCATGGCTGGTGATCGGGGATGATGGGAACTGTATTCCGGCAGCATCTGGAGGGCCAAAGCTTTTCACCTCCCTGACCTAGGCGGCCCCTGTTAAACGGAGTGTGGTTTGTGCCTTGGTACCATCAGGCAAGGCTGGATCTACACCAGGGGTCAGCAAGGTTTATCTTGCCTGGGCCGGATCGGTCCCACGGAGATCCCTCCGTGGGCCAGATTGTGAGTGCGCACGCCTGTGATTTTTGGCGTGTGTTCGCCTGCAATTTTCGGCATCTGCCTCTGCGGAGATGTGATTTTTGGCACTGCGGAAGCGAGTCCCTGTGCCGTGTTGCGCTGATTTAGTGCCACACGCAAGCAGGCAGCTCCACAGGCTGCTTCTGGCCCATGGGCCTTAGGTTGCTGACCTCTGATCTACACCGACATGTTAAATGTCATTTCCCCCTACTGGAACAATCTTAGATATGTCATTCTAAAACGACACAGGGCATACTTGTCAATTAAAATGTTTTTCACCTCAGTCCCAGTCCCCCCGGTCAAATGTAAGTAATCCCCGACTGGTTACCGGTTACTACACTCCTCCGCTCCAGTTTCACATTTTAATTCTTCCTTCCTCTCTCTCTCCTTCAGTTCAGGGGAAACTGAACACCGCCCCTCGAATACCATTGGAACAGGGTGGGGTTGTCTGCTGGAGTTTGAATGGAGTAAAAAAATAATAAGTAAAACACAACATGGGGACATAGGAACAGTGTTTCACCGATAGAGCAGTAAAAAACATTTAAAAATTAAGTGATAAGAAAGACAAGGCAATGATGTGTTATGAACGTAGAACGTCATGTGTCCCTCTGAGTCATCGAAACCATTCCTTAACGATCCCTTGACGTTAAAAACCATGAGTGTAGATCCGCTTCAGGTCTTCGTAACAGAGTAATGCAGGAGGTCTATGCTCAGATTTCTGTCCTTTCATTCCTTTTCGTGGGGCTGGTGTGGGATAGTTTCTCAGGTTGAAGCCAGAAATAGCCCGTCAGAAGGGTACCTGCCACCAACTACAAAACCTCTTTTTAAAAATGATGTTAGTAGGACGAATATTCACACTTTGGAACCGATACCTCTCTCCTCCACTCCATAAAATCTGACCATCAGCATTGCAATAACTCCTTTGTAGATATGGACTTATTTGAAAGGCTGATTTTAGCACCTGTATTTTCAAACTGGGGAGCGTAGTTCATGTAGAAAGCAGTGAGGGGTTGGTTTGTTTGTTTTTAGGTAGGGCAAGATCCCTGAAAACGTAGCTGTTTCACCCCTGGGAGAAAGTGCATGCTTGAGTGATAAGTCATCAGGATTGCTGATCCCCAGAGCAATCACAGCAGCAGGAAGAGAAGGGATACTACAGGACTCCTCAATGATGGGTGCAGCATTTCTGGAAATAAAAAATAAAATGCAGTAATGCCACCAAGTCTCAACATGCGCCCTGCATCTTGGGAAACACAAAAATCCCTTAAGTGCGCCTTGTGAAAGGCAACCTTTGCATCATGTTTTTTTTTCCCCAGAGCAAGGGTGAAGTTGGTCGACTTCCAGGGATGTCAGTCTTTTATGCATGCATCTCCAGAATGACTAAGCTGCACAGGGAGAAATTCACTTCTGACGCTTGGCGCAGGATCCTTCCCTGGCGAAAGGGACCCACTCGGTTCTCCTCCATAGCAAGAAAGCAGAGAGAGAGAGAGCGCTGCTGGTCCAGCCCATTTGGGCCAGCATTCTGTTCTCACAGTAGACAACATGAAACCTGCAAGCAGATATTGAGCATAATACCACTTTCCTCACCTAGATGTTGTTGATGTTTAGTTGTTTAGTCGTGTTCCAACTCTTCGTGACCCCCTGGACCAGAGCACGCCAGGCCCTCCTGTCTTCCACTGCCTCCCGCAGTTTGGTCAGACTCACGCTGGTAGCTTTGAGAACACTGTCCAACCATATTTTCCTCTGTTGTCCCCTTCTCCTTGTGCCCTCCATCTTTCCCAACATCAGGGTCTTTTTCAGGGAGTCTTCTCTTCTCCCGAGGTGGCCTAAGTCTTGGAGCCTCAGCTTCAGGATCTGTCCTTCCAGTGAGCACTCAGGGCTGATTTCCTTCAGAATGGAGAGATTTGATCTTCTTGCAGTCCATGGGACTCTCAAGAGTCTCCTCCAGCACCATAATTCAAAAGCATCAATTCTTCACCTAGTTATTCTTTGACTCCAGTGCCTGGCATTCAAGGTTACACTGCCTCTGAACTTGGAGGTTCTGTTTAGATCATCAAGCCTTTGAGACGTCTGTCCTCAGTCAATCTGCCCTAAGCCCCTTCTCAGGTTCTTCGAGTCACTGGCAATGGTGGCAACTCAAGCAGTGAATGCTCAATGTTTTCTGTGCCTCCTGCAAAGAAGCATTTTATTTTGTCCGCCAGGAGTTGACTGCTCATCAGCCTTGCTTGGTGACCCCCAGATCTCATCTGGGAGGAGGAGGAGAAGGAGGAAGCAAATTTCTCCCTCTAACCCCAGATTTCTTCTCACCATGCATACTTTCTATAAACCTCTGTTTACATTTCATCAACAGATAGTACCGAATTAGGGTATTTTCAACGGGGACCAGTGCTTCAGAGCAGACCGTTTGCTAGGCAAGGTGAAGTTTGGATGCTCTCTGAGAGCCCTGACAGAAGTGACCTGGTGACCATCCAACTGTCTCCTCTAAGAAATCTTTCCCCCCCGAAACAGCTGCCCAATGATGGCAACAGAGAAAGTGGACACACCCAGAGAGAAAATCCCCTCTTTCGTAAGGCCAGAACTGACGGGCATCCAATGCAGCTGAATGTTGGAAGGTTCAGGCCAGATAAAAGGAAGCATTTCTTCAAGGAATGCCATAGTTCACCTGTGGAACTCCCTGCCACACGAGGCAGCTGTGGCCACCAACTTGGGTGGCTTTGGAAGAGGATTAGACAAATTCCTGGAGGAGGAAGGGCTCTTGTGCCCAGGTCCTGCTTGCAAGTTTCCCACAGGCATCTGACTGGCCACTGCGGAGGAGACGGTCCACTGTTCTGACCCAGCCAGCTCTTCTAAGGTTCTTAATCGGCCTTCCCTAGAAGCTCCCAGTCTTCCAAGCCAGCTCGTTCCATCACTTAATGCAGGCTTCCTCAACCTCGGCCCTCCAGATGTTTTGAGACTACAATTCCCATCATCCCTGACCACTGGTCCTGCTAGCTAGGGATCATGGGAGTTGTAGGCCAAAAACATCTGGAGGGCTGAGGCTGAGGAAGCCTGACTTAATGGCTCTCTTGGCAGTGACGTTTTTGCCCAAACCTTTTAATCCAAATCAAAACAAAAAAACTCCTTCCAGTAGCACCTTAGAGACCAACTAAGTTTGTTCTTGGCATGAGCTTTTGTGTGCATGCACACTTCTTCAGATACACTGAAACAGAAGTCACCAGACCCTAATATATAGTGAGAGGGTGGGGAAGGTTATTACTCAGAAGGGTGGTGGGAATGGGTGATTGGCTGATAGGTGTGGTAAAACAGTTGACGACTGTTAACAACTGCAATTGGTCTTACAGGAAAAAGCAAGGGTTGAGATGGCCAAAAATAGCTTTATCATGTATAATGAGATAAGAATCCAAGGTCTCTATTCAGACCAGGTCTCTCCATGGTTTTAAGTTTGGTAATAAGTTGCAATTCAGCAGCTTCTCTTTCCAGTCTGTTTCTGAAATTCTTTTGTAATAAGACAGCTACTTTGAGATCTTGTGTAGGGTTAGGGTTAGATCTTTCTCATCCCTTGCTTTTTCCTCACCCTTCTGATTAACACCCCCCCAACCCTCCCACTATATATAAGGGTCTAGTGATTTTTGTTTCAGTGTATCTGAAGAAGTGTGCATGCACAAGAAAGCTCATACCAATAACAAACTTAGTTGGTCTCTAAGGTACTTGTTGTTGTTTAGTTATTTAGTCGTGTCTGACTCTTCGTGGCCCCCTGGACCAGAGCATGCCAGGCACTCCTGTCTTCCACTGCCTCCCGCAGTTTGGTCAAACTCATGCTGGTAGCTTCAAGAACACTGTCCCACCATCTCGTCCTCTGTCGTCCCCTTCTCCTTGTGCCCTCCATCTTTCCCAACATCAGGGTCTTTTCCAGGGAGTCGAGTCTTCTCATGAGGTGGCCAAAGTCTTGGAGCCTCAGCTTCAGGATCTGTCCTTCCAGTGAGCACTCAGGGCTGATTTCCTTCAGAATGGATAGGTTTGATCTTCTTGCAGTCCATGGGACTCTCAAGAGTCTCCTCCAGCACCATAATTCAAAAGCATCCGTTCTTTGGCGATCAGCCTTCTTTATGGTCCAGCTCTCACTTCCATACATCACTACTGGGAAAGCCATAGCTTTAACTATACAGACCTTTGTTGGCAAGGTGATGTCTCTACTGGAAGGGTTTTTTTAATTTTTGTTTCGACTATGGCAGACCAACACGACTACCTACCTGTAACGAGAACTTTTAATCCAAATGTAACTGGGGGGGGGGCTTTTTCCGCCCCCCCCAGCTCCTGTGCTTTGTGCCTCTGGAACATCTTTTTCAGTATGGAGAGGAGCTGTTGTCTCATCTCCTCCTGCGTCATTTGTTTTTGTCCTGGTCAGCATTCATTAAATTAGATGGTAGGGTGACAAGCAAACCACTCCCTGATCCGCCACTCTGGGCCATTTCCACACTTCATGAAACGGCTCTTTGTAGGCCCAGCGTGGCAGATCAGGTCAGGGTGTGGCTTGTCATCCACAAGCACTCCTCCAGCTTCACGTTGCTTTGCACGACATGCCGTGCTCTCGGTGTGGCAAGAAAACCAGAGAGGTTTCCATGTCCCGGCCATCTGCAGCAGCCGTTGTGTTGCAAGTCGAACCATCCCATTCTTCTCTGAATCTAAACCAGGGTTTCTCAAACTTGGGTCTCCAGCTGATGTTGGTCTACAACTGCCGTCATCCCTAGCTAGCAGGATCAGTGGTCAGGGATGATGGAAATTGTAGTCCAAAAGCAACAGGAGGCCCAAGTTTGGAAAACCCAGCGAGGCTCCTCTTAGTTTCTACCGAGACGTGTTTGTCCTACGAAATGTGCAAGAGTTTGAATTTTGCAGTGCCACCCCTCAACCAAACAGTCTGTGCACTGTTGCATATATTAGGGAAAGTGCACCCAAAATGCATATCTTAGCAAAAAAAAAACCCACCACATTTTATCGGGGGAAGCAGCCTGCCGAAATGTGTACGTTACTCAAAAACTGGATGCAAAAAATGTGTTCATTCAGAGGAATTGGCGCTGAAGTGCGGATGAATTTTCATGAGGAATAATAATTTCAAAAATGCAAATTTCTGCCAGTGGAAAAACGAGAAAATGAAAAGATCCTTCCGGTCCTGCTTTGTATGTTTCATTTTGCGGTGCGCACGTGAGTTGCGCACTGAAAATGTGTGTCTTTTAAATTGGAACTTAAGGGGGGGGAAACAGGAATTATCTTTCCTTTGGCAGAGACGGCAGGCAAATTCTCACCCTGTCTCTCTAAAAGGGACATTTCCCATGTAAGCAGCTATGTTCTGGCAGCCTCTGTGGTCCAGCCTCTCCAAAGATTTTGCCATTTTGCAAGACGAGAAGTTGTTGTCCTTGTTTCTTCCCGCGATCCGGCGACTGCTCCCACACTGTTCCAACCCCACTGACGTGAGTGGGAATGCCATAGAGTAAATGATTTACGGCCCCGTCTTTAAAACTCACCGCCCAAGTTAAATGTGTGTCGAGGGTGCGGTTTCATGAGCAGACTAAAATTCGGGGGGCCTTGCAGAAATAGTGTGTCAGTTTTGCAGGCTGACGCTGCCAGTTGAAAAGTTCAGACGTTTCAGGTGTTTTGCGATTCATTTCAGAGGCTGGCTATTGGGATAGCATATTCTCAGAGATGTGATTCATTCGTGTGCTCCAGGGCTGAGTCTTGGCTTTAACTAGATCCCCTGACTGTGTGAAATTAATTAATTTAACAGCCTGTTCTGCACACACACACACACACACACCCAAGTAATCTTCTCCGTTTCACATCCAAACGTCTTCCTCATCGCTGGCACAAAGTCTCTGCAAAGCTTTGTTGGAAAGGATTCCACAACCTCACAACGCTCTGGTGTTTTTATCAAACTGTCACTGAAGGAAGATGCTTTTGATGTTTTAACTTGTCCCTTTCCCCGCATCAGTGTATCTCTGCCTGAAATGACATTGTACATATCTGCTTCACAGGATCTCCCCCTTGTCCACCATTTCTGGGACTTTCTTGTATTGGTGGAAATTGACTGGTTCCTGCTCCCTCCTTTGCTAATCAGTTATTTAATAGAGTTATTCTTATTGTAATGATTACTTAGCGGGTTTATATCATTCTTGTTTTTGTTTTTGTTTTTCTAATAATGTCCCTGAAGTGTGTGATTTAATATACAAATAATACTTATATATATAAAAATATATATAAAAATAAATGAATTAAACACCACAATGTTTAAGCTAAAACGTTCCTTTTAATTTTGCTTCCCTCTGTGATCTTAAGTGTGGACATTTTCCGTTGGCATAAAGTATTTAAGTTAAATAAATGCATTTTTATATGAAAATTGTCAATCTTTTCTGGAGAGCAGAAGGCTTGGGGAAGGTGGATTCTCGTTCCTTTATTTTTTCTGTTGTCACAGAGATAAAAGGCCACACACTACATTTGAAACACTGTTACTGAAATTCTTCTATAAAATATTAATAGAAAACAAAATTTAAAAGAAGAGAAATACATTTAAAGCGCTATAATGCCATTTTAAACAGATGTGGCACCCCCTAAAAAAGTTCTGGGAGCTGTAGAGTAATAGATACTGAAATTTGTTAGGATCCCCCTCCCAGAGTTCCCTGAGGACAGGGATTGATTGACAAACGACTCAGGGAATTGTAGCTCAGGCATGGGGTGGGGCTGAACAAGGGTTTCCTAGCAACTCTCAGCGCCTTTCACAAACTATAGCTCCCATAATTCTGTGGAGGAAGCCATGGCTGTTTAAAGCAGCGGTTCTCAAAGGGTGCGGCAGGAGAGGATGGCAAGTGTGGCAGGAAGATTCAAGGGCAATCAAAGAAACATTTAAACATAGAATTGTAGAGTTGGAAGGGACCGCTAGAGTCATCTAGTCCAACCCCCTGAAATGCAGGGATCTTTTGCCCAATGTGGGACTCAAACCCCCAACGCTAGTATTAAGAGTCTCAAGCTTCAGTGTAGTGTAGTAGTAGTTGCGTGGCGAGTTCCCGTCCCCCCCAGTGAAAATAAAGACACATGACACAATTATTTAAGGTTAATGGGCTAAATATGGCCACAACTTTATTGGTTACGGGTGATGAGCGGTATTGGCTTAGGCATTGGTCCTAACCGACTATATCCAACTCCAGCCTGTCTGCTTGAAGTCCGGGAAGGGTTAACCACCGGTAGGGGAGTCCTGCTGATGCACATCAACTAGGAAACCCCAGGGTCACCAAAAGGGGACGTGCCTTAGGCCCTCACCTCCATAGGCTTCGGACAGGGCCACGCCCCCCGGAATCCTGTAACGGAAGACCCTTCAATATGTGGGGCAGGTGATGGCGTTTCCTCCCCTCTTCCATCTACAAAACAATACCAATACCAATGCCTAATTGCCAATACCAAGAAAGTTGTGAAGATTTGCTATGAGGTAGGTGAAAACCAAGTGGCTGGTGCCAATTTGCCAAGTGGAAAAATTCCTACCAGGCCCCTCAATGGCGACCAACCAAGGTCCATAGCAAGGTCAAGGAACAAAAACCTTGTAGGGCAGGAGGGTGGGAAACAGGAACAGCTGGTAGGCGGGAAAAGAGGGAGATCTTCGGCCGCGCCTGCATTTAAATCAGGCGGGCCACTCCTCCAAGCCAGCTGATTGGTTGGCCAGGGGGTGACATGGCCAGGGATTCCCCCAATCGTGTGGGGACTGGGCTCCAGCCACCGCGCACATGGTGGGGCCATGACGTCAGCAATCTCATCTCCTCTGCAGGGCGGAAGTGCATAGTAATAATAATAATAATAAATTTTATTTATATCCCGCCCTCCCCAGCCAAAGCCGGGCTCAGAGAGGCTAACATCATACAAGTAAGACAGTGCATAAAAACAAGCGATCAATAAATTAAGATACATCCCACAATTAATTCAAACAAATTAAAATTAAAGTTTAAACTGGACAAGTGGCAATTTTCAGGTTAAAATTGAAGGCAGTTACCAACTGTATTATAAGCACCTGTGAGCGGGCTGGGAACCTCCTTCGTGCTTGTTCTTATACAAAGAGAAAATGAGTACAAGGAGTATAGCATCAAATTATTTTTTTGTTGTCTTTAGTTGTGCTCTGTGTTAGGGTTGCCATATTTCAGAAAGTGAAAAACCAGGACACCCCTGAATTGTTTAACTTTCCTTAAGGAAAACCCCCAAACTGTTGAGTTTTGTTTTGTTTTTTACAGAGACTCCGGAAAGACACAACTTTTGATTTACTTGCTTAAGATGCAATTCAAAGCACCTTTGAAATCCCAGTAATGTCCAAGAAAATCTGGATTTGTATGTTAGCCCTATTCTAAATCAGGCACTGATGGAAGTTTCTTCTTTTCATTTTCCGATGTATTTCTTGCCCCGCCCCCCCAATTGATGTGGCACAAGCAAATTTTTATTCCGAAAGTGTAGAGTGGAGAAAAAAGTTTGAGAACCAAGTGATATCATTGTGTTTTAAATGGATGGTGTGGATGAGGCCTAAGTTCCTTACCTTTCAGATGCGTAAAGGTAAAGGCACCCCTGACCATTAGGTCCAGTCGTGGCCGACTCTGGGGTTGCGGCGCTCATCTCGCTTTATTGGCCGAGGCAGCCGGCGTACAGCTTCCGGGTCATGTGGCCAGCATGACTAAGCCGCTTCTGGCAAACCAGAGCAGCGCATGGAAACGCCGTTTACCTTCCCGCCAGAGCGGTACCTATTTATCTACTTGCACTTTGACGTGCTTTCGAACTGCTAGGTGGGCAGGAGCAGGGACCGAGCAACGGGAGCTCACCCCGTCGCGGGGATTCGAACCGCCGGCCTTCTGATCAGCAAGTCCTAGGCTCTGTGGTTTAACCCACAGTGCCACCTGCGTCCCTTTCAGATGCATAGCTTCCCCCAAATAATCCAGGGAGCTCAACTCCCCACCAGTGCCACAAAGCTACAATTCCCAGCACCCTTAACAAACTACACTTCGCCGCATGCTTTGGACGAAGCCATGCACTTCAAATGCGCTTTAAATGTATGCTGTGTGCATGACACACACATACAGTGGTACCTCAGGTTAAGAACTTAATTCGTTCCTAACCTGAAACTGTTCTTATCCTGAAGCACCACTTTAGCTAATGGGGCCTCCTGCTGCCGCCGCGCCACCGGAACACAATTTCTGTTCTCATCCTGAAGCAAAGTTCTTAACCCAAGGTACTATTTCTGGGTTAGCGGAGTCTGTAACCTGAAGCGTATGTAACCTGAAGCGCCTGTAACCCAAGGTACCACTGTATTCACAAAACTTTAGCAAAGAGGGAGGATGTTCATGGGATTTTCTCTCTTTGGATGCATTAACACTGAATCACCTCAGCCTAGAGGGAAGTACCAGCATCAATTAACTTCAGCAAATTATAGATTCATAGAATTGCTGAGTTGGAAGGGAGCCTGCAACGGAGGAAGGAAGTCCTTCTGGTAGGACTGTTATACGTCCATGTTTTCCCAGACGTATACGGGATTGACCCACTGGAGAGAGTGTCTGGGTGAAATTTCAGAAAATCTCAAAAAAATCTGGGGAAACCCAGAGGTACGGCAGCCTTACCATATTGGAAGTGTTGTGTTTTTGTTGAATTTCCTTAAAATAGCTGAATGAAAAAGTCCATTCCAATTATAATAATATAATAAAAATAATGTATTGTTTTTACCCCGCCCATCTGGCTGGGTTTCCCCAGCCACTCTGGGCGGCTTCCAACAAAGTATTAAAATACAGTGGTCTGTTAAACATTAAAAGCTTCCCTAAACAGGGCTGCCTTCAGATGTCTTCTAAAAGTCTGGTAGTTGTTCTTCTCTTTGACAAATCTGGTGGGAGGGCGTTCCACAGGGCGGGTGCCACTACCGAGAAGGCCCCCTGCCTAGTTCCCTGTAACTTGACTTCTCGAAGTGAGGGAACCGCCAGAAGGCCCTCGGCGCTGGACCTCATTACTCTTTTAGAGATTTTTTGGGGGGGAGAATCTCAACAACTGTCCCCCAAAAAGCTCAACAACAACATCAAATTATTTATAACCCGCCCCAGGCACTCTGGACGGCTCCCAATAGAATATTAAAAACCTGATAAAACATCAAACATTAAAAACTTCCCTAAACTGTCCCCTTGGAACTGGCAGAGAGCATTATTACTCTAGGTGCATTTATCCACAACTTATTTTAATTGTTCAGTTCAACAGCACCCCCTCCCTCACATACACACAGCCAGGGAATACTGGAGAGCCACAACGGAGCAGGGTTGTGGAGGAGATCTTCCCGGAAAGTTTCCTTCGCTGCTATTTACGCCCTTGGTTCTCCAGATGGAACAAAAGCGAAGTGCATGTTAAAAGCGATGGTCTGGTTTGCTTGTTTGTTTATTTCATAAAATTCATATGCCACTTGGTTGTCATAAAAACCTCAAAGTGGGTTACGGAGAGAATAAAGCAAGTAAATAGTTAAAAACATTCCAGGGAAACAAAATCAGCAATGAAATAAAAACGGATTAAAACACACGCCAACGTTCTACACATCTGAGTAGACCTATCTAAACAAAAATGTTTTTAGCAGGCACCAAAGAGCACACAGCTTGATATCAATAGGCGGGGAGTTCCAAAGTGTAGCCACTGCCGGACTAAAAAATGATTTCTTACAAACGTGGAACAGGTATTATGTGGGACTTGCAATAGTGCTGGTTCTGTGGTGATGGCAAGAGGTTATTACCGTACTTTTCCGTGTATAAGACTAGGTTTTTTTTACTCTGAAATACTGTTCAAAATCTGGGCTCGTCTTATACATGGATAGTATCTCCCCCCATTTTCTTAAATCGGAGTCCCCCAAAATATGGGGCGTCTTATACATGGGGGTGTCTTATAGACGGAAAAATACGGTATAGCCCCATTGAAATGCATTGGGGATGCCTCTCTTACTTCATCTGCCAGCCCTAGGAACTGCTGCGGAAGGAATCGCATTAAATATCGAGCAATTCTGAGAACATGGGAAACCTCAAGAATGCAATGCAGAGGCGGTTTGTCGATCTGCGTTCGTGTGTTGCTTTGAAGAGGGTTTATGCAACTGCTGGGCGGTACGATGCTATCTTCGTGATAAAGAAGCTATCGACATCTTTTGCCTCACCTGCAATCGAGGCACTTTGAATGAGCCTATTCTGCATCTTAGGTCTGGGTAGAGAAAACCAGCGGTTGCCAAATAGTTCATCCTCCCTGCCCCCCCCACGCCCCCCTGCTAAAAGGCACCCATCAATCAACAAGCCGTTGATAAACCTGGCGGGCTGATGATTGCGTCTCAACCTTTGCGAAGAGCAATCTAACCGCACCAACCCAATTAAGCCCAATCAAGTAATGATAACGTTACAGGTCATAAAAAAATGATGACATGTTTGGACATTGCTTCCAAAAGCATTCCATGTGCACATCAGAGCATCAGAAGAGACTGCAGGATCAGGCCAAGGGCCTGTCTTAGTGCAGCATCCTGTAGACCAGGCATTTCCAAACTTGGTCCTCCAGCTGTTTGGGGACTACAGTTCCCATCATTCCTGACCGCTGGTCCTGTTAGCTGGATGATGGGAGTTGTAGTCCCAAAACAGCTGGAGGGGCAAGTTTGGCCCTGCCTGGTGTAGACAATCAGATGCTTCAATGGGAACCATTCAGAAATGAGAGCCTTGCCCTCACAGCTAAAAGCCACTTCTCCAAACTAAAAAGCGGCAATTGCGTTCCATCGACCGCCCTTCTCCCCCCAATCTCAGGGAAAATCCATGCCATGGAACTGAGGTGGGTTAAACTGGCATTCCCTGGGGACTGGTAGCTGAAACCCTACTGCTCATTTCACAGCAGGGACAATGGTACCATCTCCCGGGAAGTTGTCCTAAATGGCCTCGGCCCAGTATACCTAAAGGAGCATCTCCACCCCCATCATTCTGCCCAGACACTGAGGTCCAGCTCCGAGGGCCTTCTGGCAGTTCCCTCCCTGCGAGAAGCCAAGTTACAGGGAACTAGGCAGAGGGCCTTCTCGGTGGTGGCGCCCGCCCTGTGGAACACCCTCCCATCAGATGTCAAGGAAATAAACAACTATCTGACTTTTAGAAGACATCTGAAGACAGCCATGTTTAGGGAAGGTTTGTTTTTTTCCCCAATGCAAAATTACAACAAAAATTACAAACACTGAATCCAAAATAAAACAGTGCAAACAAGGGGGGGAAAGCAAAACACAAGAGAAAAAAACAGACAAACAAAAAACAAAAGCACACTTCTACAAATAAAACCATATCATCATTCTAATCATTATGTACATATACACATATTGACTTCCTTCCTTTGTTCTAAGACCTCGAAATTTTTACTCTTTCTAAATTGTTGTGTCTAATGTAGATTACCTCTATCTTTATACTTTTTGCACCATTTTTCTCTTTCTTTAACCCTGCAAAGCTTCATTCGTTACATACCAGTATGCTTACTCCAGGGGAGATTTTAATGTTTGATGTTTTATTGTATTTTTAATATTTTGTTGAAAGCCGCCCAGAGTGGCTGGGGAAACCCAGCCAGACGAGTGGGGTATAAATAATAAGTTGTTTGTTTGTTTGTTGTTGTTGTCAATCTTTTTCTCAGCGGGGGACGTGGTGTATGTGTGTTATGTTAGCATGCAAGTCTGAGTTAAACTGCCGCTTTTATTTTGGAAAATAAAATCCAAAACCCTGTTAACAAAATAGCAAAACAACTTTTGGGTTCTCCAGAAAGAGTGGAGGATTGACAGGGCTCAATGATCAGCTTGTCTAGAAGTCAGATGTTCCAAGGAGGGCTGGGAAGTTGCTGTCCGCAATGAGGCCTTCGTGATCCTAGCGAGACAGAAGAGAAGAAGCTTTCTCCCTCTGGCACATTTTTGCAGCGGCTGCTCTGCTATGAAGCAATTAAAGGCAGCGCCTTCCAACAGTGAGAGCCACAAAGAGGGAGGGAGACAGGATTACCTGTCCAGTATGGTGTAGTGGTTAAGAGCGGTGGACTCGTAATCTGGTGAACCGGGTTGGAGTCTCCGCTCCTCCACATGCAGCTGCTGGGTGACCTTGGGCTAGTCACACTTCTCTGAAGTATCTCAGCCCCACTCACCTCACAGAGTGTTTGTTGTGGGGGAGGAAGGGAAAGGAGAATGTTAGCCGCTTTGAGACTCCTGAAGGGGAGTGAAAGGCGGGATATCAAATCCAAACTCCTCTTCTTCTTCTTCTTCTTCTTCTTCTTCTTCTTCTTCTTCATGTGTATGGCATGACCCACCAGTTGGGCTGGAGAAGAAATTCAATTCAGTTCACGCTGACAGTCAATCATACCCAATTTGCAATTTCCAAGACAACCCACAAACCAAAACACAGCCATCTTCTGAAATCCCCACTTCTCTGAATTTTGCAATGCAGTTCTCCAGCCAAGCAAAATTGCAGATAGTTGGGTAAAGTGTGCATGTTGTTGTTTAGTCATTTAGTAGTGTCCGCCTCTTTGTGACCGCATGGACCAGAGCACGCCAGGCACTCCTGTCTTCCACTGCCTCCCGCAGTTTGGTCAAACTCATGCTGGTAGCTTCGAGAACACTGTCCAACCATCTCGTTCTCTGTCGTCCCCTTCTCCTTGGGCCCTCCGTCTTTCCCAATGTCAGGGTCTTTTCCAGGGAGTCTTCTCTTCTCATGAGGTGGCCAAAGCACTGGAGCCTCAGCTTCAGGATCTGTCCTTCCAGTGAGCACTCAGGGCTGATTTCCTTCAGAATGGAGAGGTTTGATCTTCTTGCAGTCCATGGGACTCTCAAGAGTCTCCTCCAGCACCAGAATTCAAAAGCATCCATTCTGCGGCGATCAGCCTTCTTTATGGTCCAGCTCTCACTGCCATACATCACTACTGGGAAAACCATAGCTTTAACTATACGGACATTTGTCGGCAAGGTGGTGTCTCTGCTTTTTAAGATGCTGTCTAGGTTTGTCATCGCTTTCCTCCCAAGAAGCAGGTGTCTTTTAATTTCATGACTGCTGTCATGTGCATATGTCAATGCAAACAACATGCATACATGCATTAGGGATGATTGCTGTGCAAAAATGCAAAAGAAGAATTGCATGCAACAATGCATACATTTGAAACGCTCGTGAATTTTCACGATGACTTTTTAAAAAGAAGTCACAAGTTCAGTAGTACCCTCTGGGGTACTACTTGCAGAAGCTCATTTGAATTGTCAGGGGCTGCACCAAGATCCCTGAAGCTAGAGGAGTGGAAAGTCTATTTTACTTTTAAAAAAATAAAAAATTACCCATAATTCAGGTCCATCTGCAGCCGATATGATTGCCGTGCAGACTGCTGTGTTAGTAATCATGAGGCATCATTACATCACCCTTCCCGGATAGCCGCTGGAACATGGCCCGTGTGTGTGAGTCCATCCCTGGAAGATCATTTCCTTGAATCTTGAGAATCGGGTAGTGATTTCCACCCTCCCCCCCCCAATACCCTTGATTGCCAGCCCCAGAATTTCGGGAGTTAAAACCCTTGTCAGCCAAGAAAGGAAATGTTGTGGATGCTGCAGCCTTCGGATCAGGACCCTGCAAAATACCTGCTCATAAGAGGAGCAGCTTAGTTCTGATTTTAGAGTAGGCTGCAAATCGTGTTGCGTTCCTGCAAATCGTGTTTTCTGCTGCTCCAGAGAGTGGGGCGTGAACCGATGGATTCAAATTGTAAGAAAAGGAGTTTCCAGCTAAATCTCAGAAAGGACTTTCTGCTGGTAAAAGCTGCTTGACAGTGGAGCGGATTCTCTCACTGGACTCTCCTCCTTTCCTTGGCGGTTTTAAAGCAGAGGCCGTGGGCGCTTTAGCTGAGATTCCACAATACACAAACCACAACAGGCTGAAGGATAACAACTGTGGAAATTTTACTGGTTATTTCCTATCGTAAAGGTCTAGCCCAATATGTGCAACATATACAGTTCATATGTACGGTGTATAACTTATGAGGCTAATTCCAATATAAATTTATTTCTTCTTTTCTTATCTTTTCTTACTGCTGCTTCTTGTAGGTTCCTGTGTAACACAATCCTTAGGTTACTTACAAGAAGTAACTTACAGGAAATAACCAGTAAAATTTTCACAGTTACAGTGGTACCTCGGGTTAAGTACTTAATTCGTTCTGGAAGTCCGCTCTTAACCTGAAACTGTTCTTAATGCCACTGCGTCATTGGAGCATGATTTCTGTTCTCATCCTGAAGCAAAGTTCTTAACCTGAGGTACTATTTCTGGGTTAGCAGAGTCTGTAACCTGAAGCGTCTGTAACCTGAAGCGTCTGTAACCCGAGGTACTACCGCTTTATCATTCAGCCTGTTGTGCTCTTTGTATTGTGACAACTGTATATGCATAGCAAGGTATGGAACTTGTTTTAGCTGAGATTCCTGCATTTCAGAGGGTCGAACCAAATAATAATAATATAATATTAATAAATTTTATTTATACTCCGCCCTCCCTGGCCAGAGACGGGCTCAGGGTGGCTAACACCAGTAAAATTACAGTAAAAACATAATGGGGGGGGGGAAGCCAATTTAAAATACAGGGTAAAATGCAATTTAAAATGCAGCCTCATTTTAAAGTAGCCGATAAATCAAGACCATAAGGGGAGGAAAACATAAGGGTCAGACTGAGTCCAAACCACAGGCCAGGAAGAACAGCTCTGTCTTGCAGGCCCTGCGGAAAGATGTCAAGTCCCGCAGGGCCCTAGTCTCTTGTGACAGAGTATTCCACCAAGTCGGGGCCAGTACTGAAAAGGCCCTGGCCCTAGTTGAGACCAATCTAACCTCCTTGCAACATGGGACCTCCAAAATGTTGTCATTTGTGGACCTTAAGGTAAAGGCACCCCTGACCATTAGGTCCAGTCGTGACCGACTCTGGGGTTGTGGCGCTCATCTCGCTTTATTGGCTGAGGTAGCCGGCGTACAGCTTCCGGGTCATGTGGCCAGCATGACTAAGCCGCTTCTGGCGAACCAGAGCAGCGCACGGAAACGCCGTTTACCTTCCCGCCAGAGTGGTACCTATTTTTCTACTTGCACTTTGATGTGTTTTCGAACCGCTAGGTTGGCAGGAGCAGGGACCGAGCAACAGGAGCTCACCCCGTCACGGGGATTCGAACCGCCAACCTTCTGATCAGCAAGTCCTAGGCTCTGTGGAATAACCCACAGCACCACCCGCATCCTGAAGGTCCTATAATTCCATGAAAGAGGTCAATCTTTATCATAGGCCTCTCAAAGCTGTGTTTGCGGCCACCTCTGGGACAAGTCCACTAGGCGAGACATTAGCCGTACAGATCCTCCTGCTTTCCCAAGTCAGAAAACTTTCTCCTGCTCTAATCTGTTAGGGAAGGCAATATATTTTCCCCGCCTCGAGCTGCAGAGGCAAGGCTCCTGCTGTGCAAAAGGAGAAGGAATCAAGGCACGACACTCGTGTTTTCCTGCCAGATCTTGCCACTGAAGGTGGCTTGGGCTGCCGAGGCGAAGGAGCGGATGTATCCAGAGCTGTTTCCTGCCTGATAACAGAAGCCGGCCCCTCAAGCCGGATGTTATGAGCCCTGGTGCTGCCTTCATGTTTAAGCAAAGGGCCGAGGAGGAGAAATCACGGCTTGTTTATTCTTCGAGAAAAATAGCCGCCCCCTCTTTCTCTCTCTCTCTTTCTTCCTCCTCATGAACACACGTAGAGGGGCTGCCTTGAAGGCACGGGGAAATAAATGGTTCTGTTTGGATTTCTCTCAGTTCCTCGTTTTGCCCCGATCTTAGATTCTGCATTACTTTGCAAACTGGGTTGTTTGAAAAAGTGCCCTTGAAAATCCACCAGCCTTTTAGCATGAATGTCTCTCCCAATAACACACATTTTTGTACCAACGTCCTTACACAGATTTTGGAGAAAGCTCTCCTCTTTGTCCTGATTTTTGATGCTTGAGGTGCAATGCTGTTAGAATCCACCTCATTTGCATGGTTATAAATTGTTTTTAATTTTGTTTTTAATGCTGTAACCTGCTTTGGGACCTTAGGGTGAAGGGGAGGTAATAAATACAGCCAGACCTCTCCTTATGTCCGCCTCCGCTTCCGTCCATTTTGCCCAACGTCCACGGCAAACCCAGAAGTAACCAGCAGTTTTGCCGCTGGTCATGCATGCGCAGGAGCGGCGATCACCGTTCGCGCATGCGCATCACCGGCGGTTGCTGCCAGCGCCTGCCCACAACGGCACCTCTCCCAACAACCCATTTCAACCTCTGGACGGACCTCCGGAATGGATTATGGTCGCAGGTAGAGGTTCCACTGTAAATAGGTAAAGGTAAAGGACCCCTGGACAGTTAAGTCCAGTTAAAAGTGACTATAGGGTTGTGGCAGGATGCAGGTGGCGCTGTGGGTTAAACCACAGAGCCTAGGACTTGCCGATCAGAAGGTCGGCGGTTCGAATCCCCATGACGGGGTGAGCTCCCATTGCTCGGTCCCTGCTCCTGCCAACCTAGCAGTTTGAAAGCACATCAAAGTGCAAGTAGATAAATGGGTACCACTCCGGTGGGAAGGTGAACGGTGCTTCCGTGAGCTGCTCTGGTTCGCCAGAAGCGGCTTAGTCATGCTGGCCACATGACCCGGAAGCTGTAAGCCGGCTCCCTCAGCCAATAAAGCGAGATGAGCGCCACAACCCCAGAGTCAGTCACGACTGGACCTAACGGTCAGGGGTCCCTTTACCCTTTACCTTTATAGGGTTGTGGCGCTCATCTCGCTTTCAGCCCAAGGGAGCCGGCGTTTGTCCACAGACAGCTTTCCGGGTCATGTGGCCAGCAGGACTAAACCGCTTCTGGCGCACGGAGGACTGTGACAAGTGCCAGAGCGCAGTTAAAACGCCATTTACCTTCCCGCAGCAGCGGTACCTTTTTATCTACTTGCACTTTGACGTGCTTTCGAACTGCTAGGTTGGCAGGAGCAGGGACCGAGCAACAGGAGCTCACCCCATTGCTGGGATTTCAACCGCCAACCTTTCAATCAGCAAGCCCGAGGCTCAGTAGTTTAGACCACAGCACCACCCCTGTCCCTTAATAAATAAATAAATAAAAATAATGTGCCCCCCCTTTTTTTGCAAAGCAATTTTTATAATCCCCAGTGGAGATTTGAACCTTGGTCTGCAAAGTCTCAGTCTGACACTATAACCAGAACACCACACTGTCTCTGCTAACCATGATACTATACTGCAAGTTATCACAGCATCCTGTTCTTACAAGACACATAACTTGCAACTTGAGCACGCTTCAAATGAGCGATTTCAACTTTATGTGATTGAAGGTTGGCCAGTTGAATTTTTAAAAATATATATATATATATATATATATATATATATATATATATATAATTTATATACCTCTCTATACCTGTAGAGTTCGGGGCAGTTCACAACACACACAAAATACAAGATAAAAAAAAAACCACACACCACAAAATACATAATAAAAATAAGATTTGGATAACGTTTAAAACTGCATCGGATGTCCATCTGCCAAAGGCCTGGTCAAATAGGAACATTTTTGCCTGGTACCTAAGGATGTTTAGGGACACGGGTGGCGCTGTGGGTTAAACCACAGAGCCTAGGACTTGCCGATCAGAAGGTCAGCGGTTCGAATCCCTGCGACGGGGTGAGCTCCCGTTGCTCAGTCCCTGCTCCTGCCAACCTAGCAGTTTGAAAGCACAAAGTGCAAGCAGATAAATAGGTACCGCTCCGGCGGGAAGGTAAACGGCGTTTCCATGCACTGCTCTGGTTCGCCAGAAGCGGCTTAGTCATGCTGGCCACATGACCCGGAAGCTGTATGCCAGCTCCCTCGCCCAGTAAAGCGAGATGAGCGCCGCAACCCCAGAGTCGGTCACGACTGGATCCAATGGTCAGGGATCCCTTTACCTTTACTTTAAGGGTGTTTAATGAAGGTGCCAGGTGAACCTCTCTGGGGAGAGCGTTTCACAAATGGAGAGCCACCGCAGAAAAGGCCCCGTTCTCTTGTTGCTGCCCTCTAGCCGTCTCATTGAGGAGACACATGAAGAAGGGCCTCAGAGGATGACCACAGGGACTGGGAAGTGGCGGTCCTTGAGGTATTGCGGTCCTGAGCCATTTAAGGCTTTATAGGTCAAAACCAGCACTTTGAATTGGGTATGGAAACTAATTGGTAGCCAGTGCAGTCGGACCAGGATCGGTGCAATATGCTCAGACCATCTTGCCTTGGTGAGCAATCTGGTTGCTGAATTCTGCACCAGCCAAAGTTCCTGAGCTGTCTTCAAGGCAGCCCCATGTATAACGCATTGCAGTAATCTAACCTTGAAGCCTAGACAACAGTAGTTAGGCAGTCCCTGTCCAAATAGGGGCATAGCTGGGCCACCAGCCGAAGCTGATGGAAGGCGCTCTGGGCCACTGAGGCCACCTGAGTCTCAAGCGAGAGCAAAAGATCCAGGAGCGCCCCCAAGCTATGAACCTGCTCCGTCAGAGGGAGAGTAACCTCACCAACACCCTAGAGGTCCCGGGCCCTAAGGAAGTTAGATTAGCCTCAACCAGAGCCAGGGCCTTTTCAACACTGGCTCCGGCCTGGTGGAATGCTCTGTCTCATGAGACCAGGGCCCTGCAGGATCTGATTTCTTTCCGCAGGGCCTGTAAGACAGAGATGTTCTACCTGGCCTTTGGCTTGGAATCAGCCTGATCTCTCCCCCCACCTTTCCTTTCTCCTTCTGTGATGGAACCCCTATTTGGGGACTTCCCTGGCTTTTTTCTGGCCCACGTAGGACCAGTCTGGATAGTTGGCCTTGGTGAAGATTTGACATTTTCATCCCCAAAATGTTTGAGTTTCTACTGAAATGAGGCTGCATTTTAATGTTGCATTTTAATCTTGTTTTTAAGTTGTATTTCAATCAATTGTTTTTATACCTGGTGTTAGCCGCCCTGAGCCTGGTCTTGGCTGGGGAGGGCGGGGTATAAATAAAATTTATTCTTCTTCTTATTACCCTCCGAAGCAGCAGAAAACGACAGGATCTTCCACGGGACAGCCCATCTTTGAAGATGGCTATCATGTCATATCACACCCTGAAGTCTAAGGGCCAATTCCCTGGGGAATAATGTCTCTTCCTGGAAGTTCTTCATGCCGTAATTAACAAGGCTGGCTAAATCACAAAGGTTGCTCCTCAATTACCTTCATTAACTGCGGCATCACTGTTTGAACACAGCCTGGAAAAGAGAAGACTCAAGGGAGATAGGATAGCCATCTTCAAATTCCTCAAGGGCTGTCACATGGAAGATGGAGCAAGCTTGTTTTCTCCCACTCTGGAGGGTTGGACTCGAACCCATGGCTCCAAGTTACAAGTAGGGAGATTCCGACTAAACATACGCAGAAACTTTCTGACAGCAAGAGCTGTTTGACAGTGGAACTGACTCCCTTGGGAGGTTGTGAATTCTCCTCCTTGGAGGTTTTTAAGCAGAGGTTGGGTGGCCATCTGTCAGGGATGCTTTAGCTGAGATTCCTGCCTTGCAGGGGGTTGGACTAGATGACCCTCGGGTCCCTTCCAACTCTTAAGATTCTATGAACGTATCCCCATTCAACTGATGCTTCTTTCATCTATGATATTTCCATCGTATTAGTTCCTCTCCCCACCCCTCAACCACAGACCTTTCCCTCTTATTTCCAGTAAGTTCTGGGTCTTGGGGACCCTGTCATGGTGATCACATCCCTCCCTATGAGCTCTGGGGAGAGAGTGGGGGTGTTATTTCCTAACCTTGGATCCTAGAACAATAGACAAGTAGGATCCTAGAATGCAACACCTGGTTGGCTCGCAGGAAAAGACCAATCAGGCTCCAGGAGGAAGTGAATCAGCCTATTAGGCTGGTAGGACCGTAGAATGCAGCAACGGATTGGCCTGCAGGAAAAGACCAATCAGGCTCCAGGAGGAAGTGAATCAGCCTATTAGGCTGGTAGGACCGTAGAATGCGACAACGGATTGGCCTGCAGGAAAAGACCAGTCAGGCTCCAGGAGGGAAGCAGAATCAGCCAATCAGACGGGACTCATTGTGTAAATAATGTATATAAAAGTCTGAGGTTTGGGGGGCAATTCAGTCACTGTTTTACACGCTGCAATAAAGAGCATGAAATCACTACAGGACTCCGAGTATATTTCAAGGACATTCGTCGTCTTGCCGTGGTCTCAGGAAGGAAATTGCCCAATCTGCTTGGATTCAGGGCACCAGCCCCAAACGATGTCTGATCTTCCCCTGAAACCCCATGGAAGGCGAGAGCAAGACTCCCGAAAATATGGCTCAGAAGTCGAAAGCGATGGATAGGGTGTTTGGGAAGGGTGGGATCTCCAAGGCTGACTTACCTTCCTGTTTGATTTGTTTACGAAAGGGCAGAAGCGAGAGGTTCCTAAAGAGGAAGACCTGAGCGGAATGAGAGGTTAAATGCCACTGGATTTGCTTAAAATATCTGGATTTGTTTTACGTGCTTTTAAATAGTGTGTGTATGTGTGTGTGTGATATTTACTCCCTACTGCAACATAGTGTGCCAACTCGCTTACTTAGATTTCCAAACATTCTCCCTGAATGCTGAAGACTGCATAATAACAATGCATTGAAATAACCAGACCGATTCAGTTTACGTTGATTACACCCCCTCCAACATTTCTCCAATGAAAATAGGGAGTCCTTTTCCATCCCCTCCAACATTTCTCTGATGAAAATAGGGAGTCCTTTTCCATCCCCTCCAACATTTCTCTGATGAAAATAGGGAGTCCTTTCCCATACCCTCCAACATTTCTCTGATGAAAATAGGGACATCCTATTCCATACCCTCCAACATTTCTCCGATGAAAATAGGGATGTCCCATTCCATACCCACCAACGTTTCTCCAATGAAAATAGGAACGTCCTTTTCCATACCCTCCAACATGTCTCCAATGAAAATAGGGACGTCCCATTCCATACCCTCCAACACTTCTCCGACGAAATCAGGGACATCCGAAGGAAAAGCAGGGCATTCTGGGATTAAATCAGAAACCGGGATGGCTTCAGTAATAGAGACATTTGGAGGGTCTGTGGTCAGTATGTGTGCAATTGGGATTCTGTGCCCATTATCACCCACAGATGTGGTCTATCCCTTTGGATGGGATGTGTCACATTTTGACAAATACCCAGCCATGCTCCGTGTGCAGCCAGAAGCTGGATCGGGACCAAAGACTGTGAACTAGCAAACAGGGCTACGCCGGCTTAAGCAGACTGTTTTCAGGATTGCCTGCCAGGGGGAACTCAGAGGGCTATTTAAAACAATGCCCCCCCCAAAAAAAACCCACACTCCAGCTTGAGTTGAAAGAAATATTAAATGTTTTAGTTTATTTGGAACAGTAAAGACAGAGGGAGCTCATGATGAACGCCTTTGCAGCATCCAAAACAGTCTCTTCATCCTTCCATAGGCCTGGCAGGAAGAATTTTTGTTGAGAAAGATGGAACGAAAACCTCTGATGTTTTGGTGAATGTTGCATCTACATTTAGGTGCACACATCTGTTTGGGTTTCTTTGTAAATCTCTACCCCTGTGAACAAAGAGACTTCGGCTTTGTTCTCAGTGAGGGAGTTAACCCGTGTTTGGACGAGACAGCTGAAGGCTGCAAGTTGGAGGGGTTCGCGTGAACGAGGGAGAGAAAATTATCTCCATGGAAATCCAGCGTGTCAGAGAGGAAGGCAAGGGACTTCCCCCCTGACGCGCAAGTTTTCTATGGGATGTATCTGAAGGAAAGTGAGGTCCCACCTGCAGTCTGAGGTGGGGAAGCCCCAGGCACAGATTTACTGTGGCCCTGAGAATCCTCCTCAAGGCCAGAGGATGAAGAAGACCTGAAAAAGAGAAGACAGGCATGGGATTGAGAATGTCAGGACATGCCTGGGAGAACCAGAACACCGTCCTCACTTCTTTTTCTTCTTTGACTTCTCGTCTTTCGCAGCCTTCTGCGCCGCCTTCTGCGCCTTCTTCTCCGCCTTCTTCTCCTTCTCTCTCTCCTTCTCCCTCTCCTTCTCCTTCTCCCTCTCCTCCTTCTCCTTCTCCTTAATCTGAGCCTCCAATATTAACTCCTTCAGCTTCTTCTGCTTGCTGGCCTTCCTCCCATCAGGGCTGTAGGGTGGCGGGTAAGGGGCAGGCGGGTTGAGGAGCAAGGCCTTCTTCTGGAGCCGGAGCTGAAGGATTTCAAAGGTGGCCTGGATCTCGTTCTGGATGATATCGTGAAGGCTCTGGACCTGGGCCTTAATCGCTTCTCGGACAAGAGACATCAGAGTCTGGAAAACAAACACAGGGCATTGTGGCTTCTGACATTTCCGCTAGACTTAGAATGAACCTGGGCTTGCTGCCTGGGCTTCCAAAATGGTTACCTAGCACAGCAAGGTCGTTTGAGGTTGTTGAGCACCTCAACCTCAAATCGTTATTGGCATATACAGTCGTACCTCGGGTTACAGACACTTCAGGTTACAGACGCTTCAGGTTACAGACTCCGCTAACCCAGAAATATTACCTCTGGTTAAGAACTTTGCTTCAGGATGAGAACAGAAATCGTGCAGCGGTGGCAGCGGGAGGCCCCATTAGCTAAAGTGGTGCTTCAGGTTAAGAACAGTTTCAGGTTAAGAACGAACCTCCAGAACAAATTAAGTTCTTAACCCGAGGTACCACAAAATTCTGAAAGCTTCAGCGCAATAAAATCACCCGGCAAAATCGGCACCTAACAATTAAAATGCTGTGGTACAGCATTCGCAAATCCTTATTGCATGCCGCAGAAACTTGGCAACCATCTCCATCTTAACGTGTTCTCCGAGATGTGGAAAAAGGAAAAAATGGGACATTTCCAGATCAAATCAGAAACTAGGACGGCTTCTGTGATTCCTGGACTTTCCCTGGAAAATCGGGACACTTGGAGGCTATGCACCCCCCCCCCCTTTTCACTGTTAAAATTAGATTCCCACGCCTGCTTGCAAAACAGGTGCATTGTAAACAAACATGGCCGCCGCCGGCCGCCATGTTTGCCCCCGATATTTGCAAGGCCTGCCGCTTCTCAGCAACTAGCTCTGCAAAGGTTTTGACCTTGCGCATTCCGAGAAACCAGGGTGGAGCTTGGGAACTGGCAAGCAGGCCGGGGAGGGGCCGGGGAGAGAGTGTGGGGGCCAATGTGGGTCAGGGAGGCAACGTTTGTGATACTTGTCAGCAGAAGCCGTCAGGCAGCTGTGAGGACTGGCCTCTTGCCAAGCTCCCAGGAGCTGATCGAGGTTGGAGGAGAGCCATCAGATCTCGAGGACGTCCACGGCAGCGGGACCCAATCCCAGGAACCGGGAACGATGGGTGCTGGGGTTTTTCCCCCATTTGCGCACAGGGTGGTACGCTGAACAACCCACTGAGCGCTCCAGGATAGACGTCTCGGCTCGAGTTCAAAAGGTGACGTTCTCTGAACTCACCCGCGGCCGTTTCTGGCAGCGCGTTGAGGAGCACACGTGTAAGCATTAATTGCCAATTAATTCCACTCCGTAGATGGGCTGGCAGTAATAGTAAAAACACGTCGGAGTTTCATTTGGTTTCCTCAAACAGTGCGCTCCCAGGCAGGGAAGCAAGTCTCGGCAAGGAGGAGATTTTCCATCTCGAGGGCGATAAGACGCGTCGCAGCTTGATTATGCAGATCAGGGCTGGGGAGAAAGTTTTGGACGAGGCAGCCACAGATGGAACTCTGATGTGCTGTCAACAGGCTGCCGGAACCGGGAGACCCAAAGGCCGTAGTTTTGCAAGGAGTGGAACCTGTGGTGCAAACTGGGATCGACGCACTAGATCCCGAAGTGAGAAGTACCACACCCTGGGGGCTGGTGGGATTACCTAGGGGGCTGCAACGAGGCAAGGGGAAGACAGGGAGATGCTGGAGGTTTGAATCAGGGTGCCAACGGCCACTAATCGCTACTGCTAGAGGAAGTGAGCTCCTGAACCCCAGTTGCCAGGAACTGTAGAGTCAAGTTCCAGATGTTACTATTAGCATAAAGGGGTGGCGCTGTGGGTTAAACCACAGAGCCTAGGACTTGCTGATCAGAAGGTCGGAGGTTCGAATCCCCGTGACGGGGTGAGCTCCCGTTGCTCGGTCCCTGCTCCTGCCAACCTAGCAGTTCGAAAGCATGTCAAAGTGCAAGTAGATAAATAGGTACCGCTCCGGCGGGAAGGTAAACGGCGTTTCCGTGCGCTGCTCTGGTTCGCCAGAAGTGGCTTAGTCATGCTGGCCACATGACCCGGAAGCTGAATGCCGGCTCCCTCGGCCAATAAAGCGATATGAGTGCTGCAACCCCAGAGTCAGCCACGACTGGACCTTTACCTTTAAAGGTACCCCGACCATTAGGTCCAGTCGCGAATGACTCTGGGTTTGAACCGCCGACCTTCTAATCGGCAAGTCCTATGCTCAGTGGTTTAGACCACAGCACCACCTGCATCTCTTTACTATTAGCATAGAAAGACGTTAACAGCTGGGGGCGACCTTGTGCACAAGATCGTCTTACCCCGACAGGTGCCCACTCGACCGCTTCGATCCACGGAATTGCCACTACAATTGCCACGCAATACCCCGGCCCCCATTTGCTGGCTCTTGGTCATTTGGTGCACTTTGGAACTCCCCGCCTATTGATCTCAAGCAGGCACCTTCACCATATTCTTTTTGGCATCTGCTGAAGGCATTCCTGTTTAGACAAGCCTACCCAGATGCTTAGGGACGCGGGTGGTGCTGTGGGTTAAACCACAGAGCCTAGGACTTGCCGATCAGAAGGTCGGCGGTTCAAATCCCCATGACGGGGTGAGCTCCCATTGCTCGGTCCCTGCTCCTGCCAACCTAGCAATTCGAAAGCACGTCAAAGTGCAAGTAGATAAATAGGTACCGCTCCGGCAGGAAGGTAAACGGCGTTTCCGTGCGCTGCTCTGGTTCGCCAGAAGCGGCTTAGTCATGCTAACCACATGACCCGGAAGCTGTACGCCCCAAGCTCACCTCTTTCTCCAGGGTCGCCGTTTGCGTCCGGACGCTCCTGTAGACCTCCTCCAGCATGTTCTCCCTCTCTTTGCACAAGGTTGCCCTGATCCGCTCCATTTCGGCCTGTTTTTCCTCCTCCGCTGCAGAGACTGCGGCCAGCTCCTGCTGGTACTTCCAGGCCCTGATTTCCGTACCCCGCCTCAGAGGCAGGGGCTTGGGGGGAGCGTAGACCTCCAGGCTGGCAAAGGTCTGGCAGCGGTCCCTCTCCTGAGCCAGGACAAACTGGTGCAGCCCGTAATGTTTGATGAAGGTGTTGTGGAAGTAATCGCAGACGGCACGCAGGTGGAAGTCCGGAAGAGTCACCCGGAAGGCAGCGAGCTTCTCCTGCAGGAGTTTGATGGCTTGTGAGACGGGCAGACCTGGCGTAGAAGGGAAGAAATTCTGTTTTTTGCATTTATACCACACCTTTTTTCTCCCCTAAGGGGCTCAAGGCAGCATACAAGGTTCCTCCCCACCCCCCATTCAATTCCCCCCCTCTAATTTTTATTAAATGTTCTTTTTACATTTTAGAATATTCATTTAAACAACTGTTATGTACTGAGTTGAATAGGATTCAGAATGCAGCAGTCTGATTGGTCCTAGAACAATGCAGCAGTCTGATTGGTCCGCAGGAGCCACCCAATCCAGCTCCAGGTGGAAGTAAATCCACAACCTGATTGGCCTACAGGTGAATCCCGGAATTAGCCAATCACGTGGGGCCCATTGTGTAAATAATGTATATAAAGCAGACATTCTGGGGGAACTTCCATTCCTCCTCACTACTATGAGCTGAATAAAGAGGATGAAATCCACACTTGACTCCGAGTATATTTCAACAACCTTAAAATGTTGATGACTTCCCTTCGTCTCTTTCCGTGGTTCATTTTGTGTAACATAAATCTAAAAGCCTTTTAAAACAGTCATATACGACACGTGCATTACAGGGAACCGTTTTAAACTCTCTTCACATATGGAGTTGTTTTTAATCGCTTTTTACGTTTTTTCCCCTGTGACGTTGCCTTGAGATATTTCACAGGACGGGATCCTTGGATGGAATCAAATAAACCGACAGTATCCAGATTACGGATTTAATAAATAACATTGTGGTTTTTAATTCCTTTGTGGGGAGCTTAGAGCAGCTTACCTGTGCCTCTCAGGCTGGTTTCTCGGGCTGCAAAGACGACAATTTGATGTTTTGCTTATATTACTCTATTTTTAAAAAATCACTGCGTGTAACTGTGTTAAGGGGTCTGAGGTCACAGCCCCAAGCAGCTCACAATCGGAACTGGGTGCCAGAGAGGCATCCACAAGAAAAAGTGTGTGGGGAAAGGGGCAGGAGGAAATTGGAGGGGGCGGGGAGAGGATGCGATGACACCCTTTTAGGGTGACCATGGCAATGCGTTATATGTAGGGCTGCCTCTGGAGACGGTTTGGAAACTTCATGTTATGTACTGAAGTTCTCACCCTGGGCCAGCAGGGGTATACTGTAGATAGTTTTCACTCAGGTCCGCATATGCATATAAGGAATTGAAAGTGACGTTCAGTGATTGGATAGTTACAGAAAGTTGTTACTGTTGCTTTGTAGTTGAGCTCTATATAAGCAGGCTGGCTGAACCCTTCTGTTCTGTTCTGGCCTATGAATAAACAAGAGCTGTCTGAAAAATCGCTGTGTCGTCTGATATGTTCATCCACAACTTAACACTTCAGCCAGTGCAGATTTCAGCGGCCAAGTTGCACAACAGAGCAAGACAGTCTGAGCATATTACACTGATCCTGCACTGGCTACCAATTAGTTTCCGGGCCCAATCCAAAGTGCTGGTTTTGACCTATAAAACCTTCAATGGCTCAGGACCGCAATACCTCAAGGACCACCTCTTTCCATATGAACCTACCTGGAACCTGAGATCATCTTCTGAGGCCCTCCTTTGTGTGCCTCCTCCTCTAGAGGGTGGCAACACGAGAGCAGGGCCTTCTCTGTGGTGGCTCCCTGTCTGTGGAATGCTCTCCCCAGGGAAGTTCGCCTGACGCCTTCATTATACACCTTAAAAACGTTCCTTTTTAACCAGGCCTTTGGTAGACCTGATTGACATCCTATACCCTTTTAAAATGTGGCTCTTTTTGGGGAGTGGGGGATGTTATTGGGTTGTTGTTTTTATTCTGATTATATATATTGTGATCTTTTCTGTGAACTGCCCTGAAACCTCCTGGTATATGGTGGTATATAAACTCAATAAATTAATAATAAAAATAATGACAGAGTACAGTGGTACCTTGGTTCTCAAACTTAATCCGTTCCGGAAGTCCATTCCAAAACCGAAGCATTCTAAAACCAAGGCTCACTTTCCCATAGAAAGTAATGCAAAATGGATTAATCTGTTCCAGACTTTTAAAAACAACCCCTAAAACAGCAATTTAACATGAATTTTACTATCTAAAGAAGCCATTGATCCATAAAATGAAAGCAATATTCAATGTACTGTACTATAAAATAAATAAGATAGTACTGTAGATTATATATATATATATATATATAGATAGATAGATAGATAGATAGATATTCCCTTACACACACTGATGATAGTCATTGTTTGGATGGGGGGCTTTTATCCATTTCTGCAGTCACACAATCAATCAATCAATCAATCAGTCAATCAATCAATCAATCAATCAGTAGCTGAAATGGGTTCCACACAGTCACAAAAACAAGTCACAGAAATGAAGTCACAAGCCACAGTCGCAAAAACAAAGTCACAAGTCACAGTCACAAGTTAGTCCCATAAAATGAAGAACAAGTCACAGTCAAAAAACAGAAAAAGCCACACAAAGAAAAACTTGTACTTGTCCTATACATTTTTGCTGACAACAAATTTATTTATACCCTGTCCATCTGAATGGGTTGCCTCCTTGAGAGTTGTGTGTCTGGGGGGGTCCTCCACCTGCCTAAAAGAGGCAATACTATCTATGTGACAACAGCTGCCAGGATGCTCATAAAAATTGGAAAGGGAGAAAAATTCCATCAATGAAAGAATGGCAAATTAAAATTTGTGAATATATACATCTGGCAAGACTCACAGCATTCATAAAGGGGACAATCGGACCCAAAATTATTAAAAGAATGGGGATGTGCTAAAGAGTATATGTGAAAACATTGTTCTGGAGTAAGTATATCGGTATGTAACGAATGAAACTTTGCAGGGTTAAAGAAAGAGAAAACTGGTGCAAAAAGTACAACGATAGAGGCAATCTACATTAGACACAATTTAGAAAGAGTAAAAATTTCAAGGTCTTAGAACAAAGGAAGGAAGTCAATATGTGTATACGTACGTAACGATCAGAATGATGATATGGATTTATTTGTAGATGTTTCTTTTGTTTTGGGGGGGGTTGTCTGTTTTTTTCTAGTGTTTTGTTTTGCTTGTTTGTATTGCTTTATTTTGGATTCAATGTTTGTAATTTTTGTTGTAATTTTGCATTGAAAATAAAAAAAAATTAAAAAGGGGTGGGGGAGAGGCAATGATAAAAGCATTCCTTAAAAAATGCTCCCTGGATTCGGAAAATCCAACTAATTACCGGCCAGTTGCTCACGTTCCCTTCTTGGGCATGGACCCTGAGTGTGGGGTTGTGGGTCAGATCCAGGCTATCTTGGAGGAAACCACTCTTCTAGACCCATTTCAACTGGGGTTTGGGTTTTGACATGGAAATGCCTTTGGTCACCCTGTGTGATGACCTTTGCCGGGAGAAATATGCTGGAGGAGACTCTTGGGAGTCCCATGGACTGCAAGAAGATCAAACCTCACCATTCTGAAGGAAATCAGCCCTGAGTGCTCACGGGAAAGACAGATCGTGAAGCTGAAGCTCCAAGACTTTGGCCACCTCATGAGAAGAGAAGACTCCCTGGAAAAGACCTTGATGTTGGGAAAGATGGAGGGCACCAGGAGAAGGGGACGATAGAGGATGAGATGGTTGGACCGTGTTCTCGAAGCTACCAGCATGAGTTTGACCAAACTGTGGGAGGCAGTGGAAGACAGGAGTGCCTGGCGTGCTCTGGCCCATGGGGTCATGAAGAGTCGGACACAACTAAATGACTAAACAACAGCAAGTGTCCCTTGAAATCCTGCTCGGTCACCCAGCGGTTGTCAATATCATTGAACATGTTATTTTCCCAGAGCGGCTTCCTACATGGATGGCTGTCTCCAGAGGGCGGTGCTTGGGGAGTGTTCTTCTGCCCCATGGAGTCTCCGGTGTGGGGTTCCACAGGGTTAAATTTTAACACACACACACACACCCCCGCATGAAACTGCTGAGTGGGGCCACCTGGAGTCTCAGAGCGCGTTGCCAGCAACACCTTGATGATCCTCAGCTCTGCTTCTCCTTGACACCTGCAGGTGTGGCAGAGGGTGTGCTAGACTGAAGTCTGGCCTCAGCAATGGACTGGACGAGAGCCAACAAACATTTATGCTCAATCCGGGCAAGATTGAAGCACTATTAGTGGGTGGCTCCCTAGACAGGATGGGCAGGGTGTGGCCTGCTCCAGATGGGGTTACAGTCTCTCTGAAGGAGCAGGGACATAGCTTGTGGGTATTTCTGGATCCACAAAAAAGCTCAGATGACTTTGGTAGGGCAAAGAGCCTTCCATCAGCTTCGGCTGGTGGCCCAGCTACACTCCAATCTGAGCGGGCATAGCCCAGTTTCTGGTGTCTATGTTCTGGCAGTCTTTGCATTAGTTTTCATGGAATCTTCTTCTTCTTCTTCTTCTTCTTCTTCTTCTTCTTCTTCTTCTTCTTCTTCGGCAATCCCTTATAGCTGAGTAAGATTGTCTTCCATAAACACGGTTTTAACACTGAGCCCATAAATGACTGTGGAGGCCAATTCTGGATCCACACGTCCTTCCACAGTGGGCACATAGTTTTCTGGGCAGGAGTTGATCACGGTGATGATTTGCCAAGCATGCCTTCCTCTTAGCACGTTTCTCCATTTCATCCTGAGTTTGAGTGTCTTCAAAGTCCATGACACCTTTGGTAAAGGTTATTCTCCAGCTGAAGTGCTCGCAGGCCAGTGTTTCCCAGTTGTTGGTGTTTATACTACATTTTTTTTAGACTTGCCTTGAGAGAGTCTTTCAATATCTTTTGTTGACCACCAGCATTACACTTCCCATTTTTAAGTTTGGAATAGAGTAGTCACTTTGGAAGACGATAATCAGGCACCTGCCCAACATGACCAGTCCAATGAAGTTGACGTTGAAGAATCATTGCTTCGACACTGGTGATCTTTGCTCCTTCCAGTACACTGGCATTAGTTCGCCTGTCTTCCCAAGCGATGTGTACAATTTTTTGGAGACACCGTTGATGGAATCTTTCGAGGAGTTGGAGATGGCGTTTATGGTCCCCGTTTCACAAGCAAACAGTAAATAGAATCATAGACCTGTACAGTCAGAAGGGACCCAAAGGGCCATTAAATTCAACCCCCTGCAATGCAGGCAAAACTTTATACTTATGCTTGTGCAGACGCCCATGGGATCTGGTGTGTCAGATGACCCATCTCCATCACTGGCTGGGAGTGGGACTGACAGGAAGAATCTCAAACTCCTGCCCCCTGCCCGCATTACTCCCAAATATTTCCATCTCTGCAGAAGAACCTGAGGTGTCTCAAGAGGACAGCAGACATCTGGGAGCCAGTATTTGAACAACATAGCAATTAATACTGAGCAATATTTATCTAATGGGATACTACAGCTGACATCATTTATTATCTCTCCCATTTTATATTTAAAGGCTCTTGTCTCAGGGCGGGTGGCGATGAGAGATCCTTGTTCCTTTCGGCTATTGTTTAGAGAGCGACGTTGAGTCAATAAGGTGGAGCTGTAACGATCCCAATAAATATGGATTTGGGATTATATTGGCTGCAGAGAGAAGAAGGCGGCTGCCTTCTGTCCGCAAGGCTCGAAACAAATCAAGAGTTTGAGAAATGGTCTCAAGGCAAACAATGAGACGGTCATTTTCGCAGCTGCTTGTCCCCTGTCCTTTATTTTTTGATGCACTGGTAGCACCAATCATTTCGCTCAACAGGAAAGAGCAGGCAAATGAACCTCTGCTCGTTTTAGATGCCTAACCTAAAGCTTATCTTGTCCACAATCACGAAAAAAGAATAACATTGGAGCACAGATTCCACTAAATGTAAAATACCGCAGCTTCACCAATTTTAGGCTGGCTAAGAAGTGTTTGGAATATTGCTCTGGTTACCAAGGCTGTGTGCTTTTTGAGAAGTTTTGCTTCAGGGAACAGAATGATTAGATTACTTTAAAACTGATTCTTTGCAACATCGTCGTCGTCCTCAATAGCTGTAGAATTACTTGGAATAACAAGTTTCAGGACGAAACAGCAAAGAGTCTTGTGACACCTGAAAGGCCAGCAAATTTATTATGGCACTTTCGTGGGCTTTATGCCTACTTCATCAGATTCATGGGTTCTTATCCTGAATTACACACACAAACACACACAGTTATGGGGTGTGTGCAATTGTACACGGTGGGTTCAGAAGGAAATGAAAGGCAGAAAATTATAGGTGGTGATAATTACCTTATAATAAGGGCCATTAAAAAACAGTTGTTGATAACGCAGACATCTTGGCATCGGTAAACCAATTAAGGCATAAAGTGTGATTAAAATCGATTATGCTGATTCAATACACAAGGGAACCTCTTGCTCTGGTGCACATCCAATGACTTTATGCTGCAATGTGACTTAGTTCAGTGACCTTAAGGTCAGCTGCAGAATATTTGGGGAGGCTGAAATGCCCGCTTCCCTGATTAATAGTATTATATAAATTATGAGGGTGGCGCTGTGGTCTAAACCACTGAGCCTCTTGGGCTTGTCGATTGGAAGGTCAGAGGTTCAAATCCCCGCGACGGGGTGAGCTCCCGTTGCTCTGTCCCAGCTCCTGCCAACCTAACAGTTCGAAAGCACACCAGTTCAAGTAAATAAATAGATACCACTGTGGTGGGAAGGTAATTGGTGTTTCCCTGCACTCTGGTTTCCGTCACAGTGTCCCATTGCACCAGAAGCAGTTTAGTCCTGCTGGCCACATGACCTGGAAAGCTGTCTGTGGACAAACGCTGGCTCCCTTGGCCTGAAAGTGAGATGAGCGCCACAACCCCATAGTTGCCTTTAACTGGACTTAACCGCCCAGGGGTCTTGCCTTTACCTTTACCTATTTAGTGGAACCTCTACCTGCGACCATAATCCACCTGGAGGTCCGCCGGAGGTCAAAACAGGTCTCTGGGAGAGGTGCCATTGTGTGCAGGCACGGGCGGCAATTGCCGCTCCTGCGCATGCGCGACCAGCAGCAAACCCACCGGTTACTTCCGGGTTTGCAGTGGACGTTGGGCGAAATGGACACAAGCGTCCAGGAGTCCTTTACCTTTCTTTTTTTTAACCTTATAAATAATTTTATTACATTCGCATACCCCCCTTCATCCGAAGATCCTGGGGCAGTTCACAACAGAAAAAGCTGTGTTGTTTTAATTTGTGTGAGCCACCTTGAGTCCTGGTCTTGGGGAAATGCAAGATACAAAAAGATATCTCAGGAGTGGAGCTCCTAAGGAGGTTGGATGGTGCCTTGCACCACTGGTGGAGAAAGGAGGGTGCAGTGGGGGGTGGTCCGCCCCGTGTGTCATCCCTGAAGGGGGTGACATCACCACCGCCACCGCACCCCTGGGACACGTGCCGGCACACGCCCATGGGATGCGTGCCGCCACCGGTGCACCCCTCTGGGACATGCGCCGCCACTGCCACACACCCCTGGGAAGCTTCCCGCCGCCAGCACACGCCCATGGGCTGCTCTGGGTGCCAGAGTAGCTAGCTCCACCTCTGCCTTGTACGCCTCCTTCCAGCAACTCCTGCAGCCCATCTGGTTCCCACTCTGTTGTTCTGCTTTCCTTTGGACCACATCCGCGAGGCCAAGAGGGGAGTCTTGTTGTCCGAGCAGCCCAGGACCTCCATACACACTGCCCAGGCATGTGTAAGGTCACTTTGGTGCTGCAGATGCAGCAACTGACTTCATCCCCGGAGGCTCACTCCATTGTCTCTCGAGACATGCGGGTACCAAATCTATCTATCTATCTATCTATCTATCTATCTATCTATCTATGTATCGATCATCTATCTATCCCCTGCCTTTTTTACCCAACAGGGACTCCAGGGACCTTACAGATACAGCAAGAATTTAACCTCCTTCAGGATTTAACCTCCTTCCAGCAGGCCTGTGAAACAGAGCTATTCCGCCTGGCCTTTAATTTGAATTCATCCTGATCTTTTATTTCCCTTCTCTTCCCTCCCCCTCCCCTTTTATGAAGATCATCCGCTCTGAGACCCCACAGCTAATTCTCCCCTGGCCTCCTCGCTGGCCCAAGTAGGACCAATTCAGCCAGCTGGCCCTGGGGATTTTCTAATTGATTTTTATTGTTATTCATGTTTTTAAACTGTATTTTATGCTGCTTTGATAATTAAGTGTTTTAAAGTGTTTTAAATTTGTTGTTAGCCGCCCTGAGCCCAGTTTTTGAACCGGGGAGGGCGGGGTATAAATAAATTATTATTATTATTATTATTATTATTATTATTATTGAAGGAGAAGAACAACAGCAACAACAATCCTGGTTCAGTCGGCAGAGCCTCTTAACCTCAGGGTTGTGGGTTCGAGTCCCATGTTGGGTGAAATATTCCTGCATTGCAGGGGGTAGGACTAGATGACCCTGAGGGTCCCTTCCAACTCTGCGCTTCTATGGTTCTATGGTGAAACAATTTTTGTTGTTGTTTAGTCGTACCCAACTCTTTGTGACCCCCTGGACCAGAGCACGCCAGGCCCTCTTGTCTTCCACTGCCTCCTGCAGTTTGGTCAAACTCATGCTGGTAGCTTCGAGAACACTGTCCCACCATCTCATCCTCTGTCGTCCCCTTCTCCTTGTGCCCTCCATCTTTCCCAACATCAGGGTCTTTTCCAGGGAGTCTTCTCTTCTCATGAGGTGGCCAAAGGATTAGAGCCTCAGCTTCAGGATCTGTCCTTCCAGTGAGCACTCAGGGCTGATTTCCTTCAGAATGGATAGGTTTGATCTTCTTGCAGTCCATGGGACTCGCAAGAATCTCCTCCAGCACCAGAATTCAAAAGCATCAATTCTTCAGCCTAGAACCCTTTGACATCCACACGTCTCCAAACACAAAGAATCAAACAGCAGGTAAAATTTGCACCAGAATGCTGAGAGGACTTTCAGAAAGGATTGAAGAGAGAATCACAAACCGGCGTGGAAATGTGAAGAAAACCAAGCCGAAGGTTGCTAAGACGAGAAACGGAAATGGGCGGGTTCTCCCGCGACAAGACGCCTCTTGTCGTTCCCCTTCAGCACCTCGGAGGCATCCCACCTATGAGGACATCACAGGTCTTTCCTCCAGAAATTGGCCTGGTTCCCGCTTGAACAAAGCCCTCCCTTTGAGAGCCGCCACTCACGATTCCCACTGGGGTGAGTCGAGGAAGCGGCACGTTGTTTGTGGGCTCCTTTGGAAAGCTGGGGAGGGGATGGAAATACCCGGCAGATGCTGAAAATGAGAGCCGCACCGGGACACCAAGGGGTCGAGGGGTCTTCTTTTTTTAAAAAAAAAAATAGTATTTATTAAGATTTTAAGTTTACAAAAAGGCAAAAAAAAACAGAAAGCAAAAAAAACCCACCAGATTAGACAATAGTAAAACAACACATCACAATAAAAAACAAGGAAATAAGAACACTTAAAAACAACATACAAAAATAAAAAATAAAAAAGAAGACAAATCGAGCCTTCCCATAACTTATCTTTCATATGCTTGTTTCCCTGACCTCCTCACACCTCCCTTTTTTGTATTCTAAGTCAATTATCCATTTCAGCAAATCCTTTCCCTCTCTTCAAAATTCTTATCCTGAAAATTTATCTTGATCTTACTATGAGTTTACTTTCCCTCTTTTCACCAATTAACAGTCTATTTTTCTTAAATCTTTGATACATTTTTGCTAAAATCACATAGATTCATTCCAACATCATTCTAACATTCATTAATTTTACAATGTTTCTGTAAATAGTCTTTAAATTTCTTCCAATCTTCCTCCTGGATTCTGCCAGTCATTTCCGCCAGTTCCATATAGTCTATCAACTTCATCTGCCATTCTTCCAGAGTGGGTAGATCTTGTGTCTTCCAATACTTTGCAATAAGTATTCTTGCTGCTGTTGTGGCATACATAAAGAAAGTTCTGTCCCTCTTTGGCACCAATTGGCCGACCATGCCCAGGAGAAAGGCCTCTGGTTTCTTCAGAAAGGTATATTTAAATACCTTTTTCATTTCATTATAGATCATCTCCCAGAAAGCCTTAATCCTTGGGCACGTCCACCAAAGGTGAAAGAATGTACCTTCCGTCTCTTTACATTTCCAGCATTTATTATCGGGCAAGTGATAGATTTTCGCAAGCTTGACTGGTGTCATGTACCACCTGTATATCATTTTCATAATATTCTCTCTTAAGGCATTACATGCCGTGAACTTCATACCTGTGGTCCATAACTGTTCCCAGTCAGGGCCGAGGGGTCTTCAGGCCCCCCAATAAAGCATTTGAGGGGGTTGATGGGTATTGCCACTTGAATGGTGTGTGTGTGTGCCGTGTCATGTGATTGATTACGTGGCATGAGGGTTACCTGGCTCCCCCAATATTTCATTCTAGTTGCCATCCCTGCCAGGCAGCGAACTGCCATCAGGGGTTGGGAACTATAATAATAATAATAATAATAATTTATTATTTGTACCCCGCCCATCTGGCTGGGTTTCCCCAGCCACTCTGGGTGGCTTCCAACAAAGATGAAAAATACACTAAAATGTCACATATTAAAAACTTCCCTGATGTCTTCTGAATGTCAGGTAGTTGTTTATCGCTTTGACATCTGATGGGACGGCGTTCCACAGGGCGGGTGCCACTACCGAGAAGGCCCTCTGCCTGGTTCCCTATAACTTGGCCTATCACAGTGAGGGAACCGCCAGAAGGCCCTCGGAGCTGGACCTCAGTGTCCGGGCAGAACGATGGGGGTGGAGACGCTCCTTCAGATATACTGGACCGAGGCCGTTTAGGGCTTTAAAGGTCAGCACCAACACTTTGAATTGTGCTCGGAAACGTACTGGGAGCCAATGTAGGTCTTTCAAGACCGGTGTTATATGGTCTCGGCGGCCGCTCCCAGTCACCAGTCTAGCTGTGGCATTCTGGATTAGTTGTAGTTTCCGGGTCACCTTCAAAGGTAGCCCCACGTAGAGCGCATTGCAGTAGTCCAAGCGGGAGATAACCAGAGCATGCACCACTCTGGGGAGACAGTCTGCAGGCAGGGAGGGTCTCAGCCTACGTACCAGATGGAGCTGGTAAACAGCTGCCCTGGATACAGATTTGACCTGTGCCTCCATGGACAGCTGTGAGTCCAAAATGACTCCCAGGCTGCGCACCTGGTCCTTCAGGGGCACAGTTACCCCATTCAGGACCAGGGAGTCCCCCACACCCGCCCGCCTCCTGTCCCACCAAAACAGTACTTCTGTCTTGTCAGGATTCAACCTCTATCTGTTAGCCGCCATCCATCCTCTCACCTCTCTTGAGTGCTTGCTGTCCTTCTTTGTTGTCTCCAGGGTCATTTCTGGGCAGAATCCAAAGAACCGGCTTGGGACGTGGGACCTGACGCCTCACCATCAACTTGCCTGTACAGTGGTAGCTCTGGATGTGAACAAGATCTGTTCCGGAGCCCCATTCGCATCCTGAAGCGAACGCAACCCACGTCCGCACGTCTGCGCGGGTCGCGATTCGCCGCTTCCACGCATGCGCATGATGTCATTTTGAGTGTCTGCGCATGTGCGAGTGGCGAAACCTGGAAGTAACACTCTCTGTTACTTCCGGGTCGCCGCAGAGCGCAACCCGAAAATGCTTAACCCGAAGGTATGACTGTACACTCAGATCATCCTCAAAGTCCCTCCTTTGATTGCTCAGTACAGTGGTACCTTGGTTCTCAAATGCCTTGGTACTCAAACAACTTGGAACCCAAACACTGCAAACCTGGAAGTAAGTGTTCTGGTTTGCAAACTTTTTCCAGAAGCTGAATGTGCTTCATTTTGAGTCTTACGCTGACGATTTGAGTGCCACACTTCCAATTTAAGTGTTATGCTGAGGTCTGTCAGTTTTTGCTATTTATTTTGCGTTTTTGTGGCTTTTTTGGTGACTGTGTGGAACCCAGTTCAGCTACTGATTGATTGATTGATTGATTGATTGATTGATTGATTGATTGCTTGATTGTGTGTATGACTGCAGTACATTGTTTATTGCTTTCATTTTATGGATCAGTGGTCTCATTAGATAGTAAAATTGAGTAGAATGTGTCCTTTTATTTAAAATGCATCTCTGGGTTATTTGTAGGTCATAGGAATTCGTTCATCCCCCCCCCCCCCGAATAGAGTCCGGCCCCCCCACAAGGTCTGAGGGACAGTGGACCGGGCCCCTGCTGAAAAAGTTTGCTGACCCCTGTATTTAAGTACCCGCCTCTCATCTTCCACCTCCATCACAGAAGCTGCGCTGCTTGTGAACATTCCACTGCTGACACCTTCCTCCTCCGAAAGGATGTTGTAGAGTCGGACAAGGTTCGGGAAAGGGCGAAAGATATGGGGGCAGATAAAAGAAAGTCCTTCTTCGTGCAGCTGAACTGTGGAACTCGCTGCCACAGGAGGCAGCGATGGCCGCCATCTTGGATGGCTTTAAAAAAAGAGAAAAAATTGGACAAATTCACGGAGAAGGAGAGGGCTGTGAGGTAGGTGAGGCTGAGAGGCAGTGAACAGAGCGAGGTCACACCAAGCGAATGGGGATTTGAACCCAGGTCTCGCAGGTCCTTGTCCCACACTCTAACCACTACACCTCCTGGCCTATTTTCCAGGCACAGTCCTGATTTACAGAAGCCATCCTGGTATCTGATCTGATCCCAGAATGGCCTGCTTTTTCTCAGGACGTTCTGATTTTCATCAGAAAAATGTCGGAGGTCATAGCCACATTCTGGCTCTGAATATCGAATGCCCATTGGTGGAAACAATAGGCTCTTGTGCTCAGATCCTGCACATTTCCCACGGGCATCTGGTTGCCCATGGTGAGAAGAGGGTGCTGGACCAAGATGGACCATTGGCCTCATCCTGCAAGACTCTTTTTATGCTCTTAAGCAGCCAAAACAAACCGGCCATAAGTCACGATTCTTTCCATTAGAACACCATTCACTTCAAGGCGTTTTGCCTTTGACTCTCTCTTGTGAGGAGAATATTTCCTGTCTTTCTCTCTCTCTCTCTCTTTGGAAATGTGGAGGTTTGGGGTATCTTAGAACGGACAGCCAACAATTGCCTGAGGGAGGGGGGATTGGGGGAGAGAGAGAGAGAGAGAGAGAGAGAGAGAGAGAGGAGTCTGCCAGCCGCAAGAGCAACAGCCAGGCCTCTGTAACTCCCAGCCAAATCCCCATTAACAGGATCTTGTCTCTTAAGCTGGGAAATGTGAAGGCTTGTTTGTTTGCCTTGATCTGCAGAGTTTGAGGATGACACTCTTGCAAACAGAGAGTGTGCAGGGTAAAGGTGACCCAAAGGACATCTCCCCACCTCCCCTGAGCATTGCAAAAGTGCGTTCGCGGGCCTAAATGTCCCTACCAAGGGATTGGGAAGAAATCTAGCTTGGCTTTGCCACTGCCGTGCCCACCTCAAAACCACGTGCAAACAAAACGTTGCAGTTCTCTTGATTTTAAGACGTTCCCCAACAGAGAGGTAAAAGGACCCCTGGATGGTTAAGTCCAGTCTAAGGAGACTATGGGGTTGTGGCGCTCATCTTGCTTTCAGGCTGAGGGAGCTGGCGTTTGTCTGCAGACAGCTTTCCAGGTTGTGTGTCCAACAGGAAGCCACATTCCACAGATCCCCAGAGAGAGGCAGCCAGCACCCTCAAATTCACCCAAACTCCCTTCTTTTTCTTTGAGGAGAAAGCTCAGCCCCTTGCCCTTCCTCCTCCTCCTCCTCCTCCTCCTCCTCCTCCTCCTCCTCCTCCTTCTTCATTATTTGGCGAACCCTCGTAGCCAAGTAAGATTGTCTTCCATGAACACGGTTTTAAGAATGAGTCCGTGACTGTGGAGGCCAATTCTGGAGCCACACGTCCTTCCACAGTGGGGATATAGGTTTCCAGGCAGGAGCTGATCACGGTGTGGATTTGCCAAGCGTGCCTTCCTCTTAGCACGTTTCTCCCTTGCGTCCTGAGTTCGAGTGTCTTCAAAGCCCATGACACCTTTGGTAAAGGCTGTTCTCCAACTGGAGCACTCGCAGGCCAGTGTTTCTCAGTTGTCAGTGGTTATGTTTTTGGAGGACACCTGTGCGTGAATTTGTTTTATGTGTTTAGATCAGGGCACGCTGACCAACACACAGTCTTCGCAGTAGGGCTCTGTTCCGATGGCATGAGTAGTCACGACAAACCAGTAGATTCCTATCTGCTGCAGCCTTCATCCGCCTTCACAGCCGTTGTAACATATCTCTTGTTATCACCCGCCTGGTCTGCCATTGAGGACTTCTTGGGTCATTCTTTGTCTAGCTCCTTCCCTTTGACCTCACCACCTTGGGTGACCCTGCTGGGAGTACAGTGGTACCTCAAGTTAAGTACTTAATTCGTTCCGGAGGTCTGTTCTTAACCTGAAACTGTTCTTAACCTGAAGCACCACTTTAGCTAATGGGGCCTCCTGCTGCTGCTGCGCCGCCAGAGCACAATTTCTGTTCTCATCCTGAAGCAAAGTTCTTAACCTGAGGTACTATTTCTGGGTTAGCGGAGTCTGTAACCTGAAGCGTATGTAACCTGAAGCATATGTAACCCGAGGTACCACTGTACGAGATTCCTGACAGCTTCTCTCACAAGGGTCAAAGGAACATGCAAGCCCACTCACAATGACAAGGTGATGATCCAGTGCACATAAGAAGAGGAGCCTTTTCTCACAATGGGCAGCTAGAGGTCCGTGGGAATCCAACAAGACAGACCTTCCAAGTGTCCCTATTTTTAAGGGGCAGTCCTGGATTTACAGAAGCCATTCCAGTTTCTGATTTGATCCCAGAATCAAATCTGATCCCCCTTAGGACGTCCCTGTTTTCAGTTGAGAAACATGGGAGGTGAAATATACTCGGAGTTGAGTGTGGATTTGGAGCCCACGTGATGCATAGTGGTGTAGGGTATTTAGAGTGTGGGTCAAGGGCCTGGGAGACCTGGGTTCAAATCCCCACTCCCTCTCGGCCTAACCTACCTCGCAGGGTACCACTTGTATTGTCTACTCTGGCTGGCAGCTGCTCTCCAGAGTCCCAGGCAGGGAGTCTTTTCCAGCCCAACCTGAAGATGCCAGGATGATCGAACCTGGAACCTCCAGCAGGCAAGACAGACGTTCTGACACGGAGCTATAGCCTATAGAGAGTCAGTGTGGTGTAGTGGTTAAGAGCAGTGGCCTCGTAATCTGGTGAACCGGGTTCGCGTCTTCGCTCCTCCACATGCAGTTGCTGGGTGACCTTGGGCCAGTCACACTTCTCTGAAGTCTCTCAGCCCCACTCACCTCACAGAGTGTTTGTTGTGGGGGAGGAAGGGAAAGGAGATTGTTTGACACTTTGAGACTCCTTCGGGTAGTGATAAAGCGGGATATCAAATCCAAACTCCTCCTCCTCCTCCTCCTCCTCCTCCTCCGCCTCCTCCTCTTCTTCTTCTTCTTCTTCTTCTTCTTCTTCTTCTTCTTCTTCTTCTTCTTCTTCTTCTATTGCGTAAAGCTATCTCTGGTTACTAGTTACGATGGCTGCTGCCGGTCTTAGAGACAATTTGCCTCTGAATCTCAGTGGCTGGGAAACACAAGCGGAAAAGGACTTTCGCACTCAGATCTTGCTTGTGGGCTTCCCAGAGGCATCCGGTTGGCCCCCATGAAAGCAGAAGACTGGCTGGGTTAGATCTTTAGTCCAGTTGCGGACCTACGTTTTGTGGGCCCTGGAACTTGAACTGCTATGGGGGCCCCTTCGCAGCCAGCAACGAGATCTGGCTAACCACTGTTTTCTTCTTTCTTTTCGTATCATTTTTATAAAGTCTCCAAAAATATTTCAAAGCCTTCTATAAAGCAGGGGTCAGCAAACTTTTTCAGCAGGGGGCTGGTCCATTGTCCCTCAGACCTTCTGGGGGGCTGGACTATATTTTGGAGGGGGGAAATGAACGAATTCCTATGCCCCACAAATAACCCAGAGATGCATTTTAAGTAAAAGGACACATTCTACTCATGTAAAAACATGCTGATTCCTGGACTGTCCGCGGGCTGGATTTAGAAGGCGATTGGGCCGGATCCGGCCCCCAGGCCTTAGTTTGCCTGTTGTTGTTGTTTAGTCATTTAGTCATGTCCGACTCTTCGTGACCCCATGGACCAGAGCACGCCAGGCACTCCTGTCTTAAGGTAAAGGTAAAGGGACCCCTGACCATTAGGTCCAGTCGTGGCTGACTCTGGGGTTGTGGCACTCATCTCGCTTTACTGGCTGAGGGATCCGGCATACAGCTTCCAGGTCATGTGGCCAGCATGACTAAGCCACTTCTGGCGAACCAGAGCAGCGCACGGAAATGCCGTTTACCTTCCCGCCGGAGCGGTACCTATTTATCTACTTGCACTTTGATGTTCTTTCGAACTCCTAGGTTGGCAGGAGCAGGGACCGAGCAATGGGAGCTCACCCCGTCATGGGGATTTGAACCACCGACCTTCTGATCGGCAAGTCCTAGGCTCTGTGGTTTAACCCACAGCGCCACCCGCATCCCTGTCTTACCCATGCTTAAATATCTTTCATTTCATCCCGCTGCCTTCCCCTGGGGAAAACCACTCTATAGCAGTCAGTTGGAGCAAACGGCAATTCAGGTTTTCTCTGCGTGGACGTTTGCTCTGATTCAGCGGGTTTTCCCTGGGAAAGGAGCAATTCTAAGGGGCAAACTGCCCAGACCCAAGCTTTCTATACATGGAACAAGTGGCTGAGCCCAGAAGGGCAAGGGAACAAGAATTCTAACCAGTGGCGAAAGGATTAAGACTCCCATTCCTCCTGTCTTTTTTCTTGAGACTGGCTTTGGCTTGTGTTTGGAACGGGCGGGGAGCCATCAGGGGAATGTTACACATATAATTTGCCCCTGAGCCAAATGTGTAACATCTAATTTGGCCCTCAGCCCGGCAAGCGAGTCTCTGGGTGGTTGTGCATCCTTGCACAGCCGTGTCAAAAGACTCCGCCGCTGTGTGTTTTCCAAAGCCCCCTGCAAAAAAAAAGTCGGTTCACGTTGCGATGTTTTTTTACGCTTAACCTGAAATGGATTCTTGTTTGGTTTTGCCCCCCACAAACTTTTGTTTCTGGGGATTAGCTCCCTGGCTCACCCTGCCTCTTTTGCAAGACTTCAATCAGTCGTTTTATCATCTCACACTTCCCCCCCCCCCAGTAGGGTAAATTGGAAAGCGCAGGACTGATTTTTATTTTTTAATGGCAGGGCAAGGGAGGTGCAAGTTCCTTCCTGACTGTTCCAGCATGCCCCTGGCTCTTCTCACCCTCCCTCTGACACTCGCCAGGTGAAAGCAGGTAGATAAGATTTCCACGGCAAGATAGGCTCAGGGGTGCTGTGACACGCCTCTCGGGGGTTCGTCGAACATGTGACAGAAAAACAGGGATCATGCCAAGGCCTCCTGCTCCTGAACCGTTTCCATTCCAGCTGGTCATTCTATGAGCTTCAAGAATGGGTGCCTTTAAGAACCAGCTTTTCCCTCTTCCCTCCCCACCCCTTTTTCCTTGTGTGTTGTGCCTTTCAGATTGCAAACCTGCAGAAAGAGGCTGTCTCATATTAATTTACTTTCTGTAAGCCTCACCTTGCCAACAAAGGTCCGTATAGTTAAAGCTATGGTTTTCCCAGTAGTGATGTATGGAAGCGAGAGCTGGACCATAAAGAAGGCTGATCGCCGAAGAATGGATGCTTTTGAATTCTGGTGCTGGAGGAGACTCTTGAGAGTCCCATGGACTGCAAGAAGATCAAACCTCTCCATTCTGAAGGAAATCAGCCCTGAGTGCTCACTGGAAGGACAGATCCTGAAGCTGAGGCTCCAAGACTTTGGCCACCTCATGAGAAGAGAAGACCCCTGGAAAAGACCCTGATGTTGGGAAAGATGGAGGGCACAAGGAGAAGGGGACGACAGAGGACGAGATGGTTGGACAGTGTTCTCGAAGCTACCAACATGAGTCTGACCAAGCTGCAGGAGGCAGTGGAAGACAGAAGTGCCTGGCATGCTCTGGTCCATGGGGTCACGCAGAGTCGGACACGACTAAACGACTAAACAAGCTTCTCTTGAGTCCTTTTCTCGTGGCTGAAAGGTGCAGTACAAATGCTCCAAATAAATAATGCAGGTTTGTTCCCTCCCCCGCCCCCCAAAATTGGCGTGCCACGTGGCCCATTTAGCGCTTGCATAAATGGCAACAGCACTGGGGAATCTCCAGCCTATGGATCTAAGTAGGCCCAGCAAGTGAGGACATGTTCCCCCATATATTCCTCTCTGGCAAGTGCACTCCCCAGGTGGGGCACTGCTGAGGCTACCACAGAGCTGCGCTTAGTTCCTTCTACAAACACAACTTTTAGTGTTGTACTTCCAGCCCTCTGGAACAAGTTACTAGCTGAAATTATACAAGTGCCTAGCATTATGATGAATGCTTTAGCTGAGATTCCCACATTTCAGGGGCTTGGACTAGTTCTATGAATCCATTCAACACCTGAAGATGTTTTTGCTTGAGAAGGCATCCCTGGCGTGTGGCTCATTTTAACTGCGCTTTTGTAGAAAAGGCTTTGTTTTTAGACTTTGTGGAAATGGTTTGATTCATTTTAAAGGGCTTGCGTTTGCAGCAAGGGGGCATTTCATCTTATTGTTGTCTTGTGCAGTAATAAGATAATAATTGTCTTATTATAACGTGCGGAACGTATGCAGAAGAGGGTGACCAAGATATCGAAGAGTCTGGAAACCAGGCCTGATGAGGAACGATTGAGGGAGTTGGGTATATTTAGCCTGGAAAAGAGAAGACCTGGAAAAGAGGCAATATGAGAGCCATCATCAACTTTCCAAAGGGCTGTTCCATGTCCCATGGAAGACAGAGTCAGATTGTTTTCTAGTGCTCCAGAGGGCAGGACCTAGACCAATGAATTAAAATTAAAAGGGAGATACCTACTAAATATTCAAAAGAACTCTCTTCCTCGGGAGGTTCTTAAATCGAGGTTTGAATGGCCACCTGGGCTTGAACTAGGTGACACTTGCGGTCCCTTCCAATCCTACACTTCTATAAATTTGTAAAATAAATGATGGCAGAGCTTTGGGGAAGGTAAAGACACAGCACCCTGCAGAAAGAGGGTTTGCTATGCAAGATTCACTGTACACTGGTACCTCGGGATGCGAACAGGATCCATTCCGGAGCCCCGTTCACATCCTGAACATAACGTAAGATGCGACAGCATGTCTGTGCATGTGCGGGTCATGTTTCGCCGCTTCCGCGCATGCGTGTGATGTCATTTTGACCGCCTGCGCATGCGTGAGTGGCAAAACCTGGAAGTAACGGAGCTCTGTTACTTCCCGGTTGCTGCAGAGCGCACCCGAAAGCGCTCAACCTGAAGCGTATTTATCCCGAGGTATGACTGTACAGGGGATGTGGGTGGCACTGTAGGTTAAACCACAGAGCCTAGGACTTGCCGATCAGAAGGCTGGCAGTTCGAATCCCCGTGACGGGGTGAGCGCCTGTTGCTCGGTCCCTGCTCCTGCCAACCTAGTAGTTCGAAAGCATGTCAAAGTGCAAGTAGATAAATAGGTACCGCTCTGGCGGGAAGGTAAACGGCATTTCCGTGCGCTGCTCTGGTTTGCCAGAAGCGGCTTAGTCATGCTGGCCACATGACCTGGAAGCTGTACGCCGGATCCCTCAGCCAGTAAAGCGAGATGAGCGCCACAACCCCAGAGTCGGCCACGACTGGACCTAATGGTCAGGGGTCCCTTTACCTTTACCTTAAGACAGGAGTGCCTGGCATGCTCTGGTCCATGGGGTCACGAAGAGTCGAACACGACTAAATGACTAAACAACAACAACAGGCAAACTAAGGCCTGGGGGCTGGATCCGGCCCAATCGCCTTCTAAATCCAGCCCGCGGACGGTCTGGGAATCATCATGTAGTTCGAAAGCATGTCAAAGTGCAAGTAGATAAATAGGTACCGCTCCGGCGGGAAGGTAAACGGTGTTTCCGTGAGCTGCTCTGGTTCGCCAGAAGTGGCTTAGTCATGCTGGCCACATGACTCGGAAGCTGTACGCCGGCTCCCTCAGCCAGTAAAGCGAGATGAGCGCCGCAACCCCAGAGTCGGCCACAACTGGACCTAACGGTCAAGGATCCCTTTACCTTTACCTTTATAACTGTACAAGGCACCTGCTTCATGGAGTTTTCCAACAGGGCAAACACAGTTGGAGCCAACCCAGAGATTTCTTTTTGCGTGGAAAAGCCATATGCCCATTGAGCCTCTTTCACACTGGCACCCAGTGGGCAGTGACTGGGGGCATGGCCGATGGGCACACCAGCATCCGAGGGTGGGGTACGCACCTGTGATCTTGCTCCCCCTTCAAGCTTTCACTGGATATGTACAAATGCAGGTATAATAGGTGAAGAGGTACCAAGAGAGGATAAAGACTTCTTTATGTGTGCAAGGACAGCAGCGAGAACGCTACTTGCCCAGAGATGGAAGAAAGGAGAAGTACCGACCAAAGAAGAATGGAAGACGAAACTGATGGGAATATGTGGAGATGGCGAAACTGACGGGGGAGATCCGAAACCAGGAAGATTTCTAAAAGACCGGAGTAAATTTTTAATTTATTTAAAAGACCACCATAAACAGTTAAAATCACTGGCAGGGATGTAACGACACTTCTAATGTGGGATCAGCTATGGTAACTATCGATATATAACAGCTGGACAATGGTAATAAGATGCAGTAAATTTAATCTTAAATATGGAACCCCTGGAGGGAGGGAAGGAGTGCAATAAAGATGAGGATTCACCTAATAAACTGTATACACTGGTCACATATGTGCCAGTTACCACTTTCAGAAGCCTACAGACTGTTAATGTGGATGAAAACTAATCTTTCATTACAATAAAAATGTTATGACATTTTTTTAAAAAAAGAACGTTTTAATGTAATGTTTGAAATGGTTAAAGTTAAAATTGTGACAAACTAATTTTTTTTTTAAGGGAAACAAAAACCAAGACCCAAAATGCACACTTCTTCCCTGATGCATGCAGTGACACATATCCAGGGTCGAAAGATAAAGGGTCACAGCGCAACAGCAACTGATCTGCCACAAGTGAATCACGCTATAAATCCTATTTAAATATCCCACCCCTAAATGCAGGAATCTAATCCTTCTGGGCTGAGGGGGTGGTAGAGACAGAGCCACACCTTCCCTGTGCCCAAATCAGGTGATGCTTTGCCTGCCCTGACTTTGTGACCTATTTAGGAGTTAAGCAGCACAGAACCAGGAAGAGTCTCTCTCTCTTTCTTTCTTTCTCTCTCTCTCTCTCTCTCTCTCTCTCTCTGTCTCTCTCTCTGCCCTGCTGGTTTCTCTGTGCGACAGTGTTTGTATTCTTGAATAATCACCATCTTTCTCTCTAGGGATGACAAACCTGTGGCACTACAGGATGAAAGCTCTCCTTCCCAGCCCCCCAGCTGTGGACCATACCCTCCGACATTTCTCCGATGAAAATAGAGATTTCCCCCCCCCTCCAGCATTTCTCCAATAGAAATGGGGACTCCCTATTCCATACCCTCTAAAATTTATCCAGTGAAAATAGGGACACCCTACCAAAGGGATGCGGGTGGTGCTGTGGGTTAAACCACAGAGCCTAGGACTTGCAGATCAGAAGGTCGGCGGTTCGAATCCCCGCGACGGGGTGAGCTCCCGTTGCTCGGTCCCTGCTCCTGCCAACCTAGCAGTTCGAAAGCACGTCAAAGTGCAAGTAGATAAATAGGCACTGCTCCAGCAGGAAGGTAAACGGCGTTTCCGTGCACTGCTCTGGTTCTCCAGAAGTGACTTAGTCATGCTGGCCACATGACCCGGAAGCTGTCTACGGACAAACGCCGGCTCCCTCAGCCAATAAAGCGAGATGAGCGCCACAACCCCAGAGTCGTCCACGACTGGACCTAACAGTCAGGAGTACCTTTACCTTTACACCTTCTGGAGGATTCATGGGGGGGAATCCCTGACCAAGTCACCCCCTGGCCAGCCAATTGGCTGGCTCTGGGGGCGTGGCCTACCCTACTTAACGCAGGTGCGGCCAGGGATCTCCCTCTTTTCCCGCCGACCAGCTGTTCCTGTTTTTCCTACCCTCCCATCCTATAATATTTTCATTCCTTGACCTTGCTATGGACCTTGGTTGGTCACCGTTGAGGGGCCTGGTAGGAATTTTTCCACTTGGCAAATTGGCACCAGCCCTTGGTTTTCGCCTACCTCGTAGGAAATCGTCACAACTTTCTGGCTATTGGCGGTTAGGCATTGGTATTGTTCTGTAGATGGAAGAGGGGAGGAAGCACCATCACCTGCCCTGCATATTGAAGGGTAGCCTGCACCACAAGCTCTTCTTGTTGACCACACCTTTGGGTGGAGACTCCCTCACACACACCCACACCCCCAGTACCCACTTTTTAAGCAGAGAGGTTGGGTGGCCACCTGTCTCGGATGCTTTCGTTGAGATTCCAGCATTGCAGGGGGTTGGAATGGATGACCTTTGGTGGCCCCTCCCAATTCTGCGATTCCATGATCCTTAAGGAGCAGGCTGTAGTTCATTGGTGGAGCCCATAGCACTTTGGAAGCTGTTCAATCAAAGTTTCTAAGGCAGATTTTTTTCTGCACCGCCATGCGTCCCAAACGCATCATTGAGACTGGAGGCAAGTCTCCCTTCAGTAGAAGTACGGACTTGGCAAAGAACTCTTAACTTCTGGCTCCGCCTAAACTCAAATTCCCCCGGTTTACTATCCCTAGTACTTCAAGACTCCCATAAAAGTGCCTGGCTTAAAACAGTCTATCAAAAACTTCACTAGTGGCCTATCCCCACAACATCTACATCTACCCACTAAAGCAAACAGTCGAGTTGGTCAACATCTAAAAGATATCGAGCATCAGAACAACCTGGCCACTATAAGGAAATTCAGCCCTTGGTACGTTCATTTTCCACCTCTCCATTTTGATTCTCTGGCCCCATATCTGCACAAACCTATTATCCCAAAATAGTAAAGGTAAAGGGACCCCTGACCATTAGGTCCAGTCGTGACCGACTCTGGCGTTGTGGCACTCATCTCACTTTATTGGCCGGGGGAGCCGGCGTACAGCTTCCAGGTCATGTGGCGAACCAGAGCAGCGCACGGAAACGCCATTTACCTTCCCGCTGGAGTGGTACCTATTTATCTACTTGCACTTTGATGTGCTTTTGAACTGCTAGGTTGGCAGGAGCAGGGACCAGCAACGGGAGCTCACCCCGTCGCGGGGAATCGAACCGCCGACCTTCTGATCGGCAAGTCCTAGGCTCTGTGGTTTAATCCCCAGCACCACCCACGTCCCTTATCCCAAAATACAGACGTGCTTTTACACTTGCAAGACTGGATGTTTTGCCATCTGCGGTACTTGAGGGTCGATTCCAAAAGATCCCACCTGAGAAACGTCTTTGCCCCTGTGGAGATGGTAGCACCGAAACAGCGGCACACGTCCTCCTGTCCACCCCACTCGTACTAACCATCTCAGGGCGCTCAACCACTGCCACAATGTCCTTTCTCCTATCAGATCAAAATGAGCAGATAACGGCAAAGGTTGCTAGGTTCATAGCAGGGGCGATCAGAATAAGGGCCACTGACTGATTGCTGATTCAGGACTTTAAATTGTGCTCTTATATCAAATTTCCTTTTCTGCGTATGCTGTAATGTTTTACTGTTGCTATGGCCATTGGCTAATGCGAATAAAGTTTTATAAAAGTCAATCCTTTATTAGGCATAGCAAACCACACATTATGAAACAAACACTGTATACAAATTGTGCAAAATACGAGCTCAGCATAACAAGGTTTGTCCCAGTCAGATCTTTAACTCCAGAGAAAATCAATTTGCATAAATAATACAATATCACACTACCACATCACTGATCAATTAAGAACCACTAAATCTCTTTATAATGGCCCAGTCTTTCTACATGGACAGCACTCAAAAATTCAGCCACTATTAAAGTAATTTGATCATTCCTGTCCGAGAGCAGATCCTGAACCGCTGGTGGCATAGAATTGAGTATGTTAAGTTGTAAGGCCTCTAATCATTATCTTTTGGCATAAATGCCAAAATCACCAGAAAAGAAAATGTGCTCCAAAGTATCAGGTTCCTGTTTACTACATTTGCAGAGATGCTCTGCTTCTGGGAGAGCTAAATATCTTCCTCTTACTATCATCGAGGGAAACATATTAAATCTGGCTAACATAAACAGCCTGCACAATTCATGATTCTTCAGATTTGTCGTGTATCCCTTTTGAAAATCTCTACACAATTCTAATCTAAAAATCATTGGTGGAGCGCAAGAGGTGCCATCAGGCAGGAAAGGGAGAGACCCCCTTTCAGAAACCATGGAAGGTCCCTGACCCAACATTAGGTGACTCCCCATCTTCCTCCAAGCCTGATCGGCCCTGATCCATGGAGGAGAGGGTGTGTCTTGTTGGCTCCTAGTTCTGGGGTGTGAAATGGACTCTCCTGGTGAGAAGCAGTGGCAGGAGAAACGTGTGGATTTCTTGAAAGGATCCTCTGGGTAGCTACTGTGTGAAACAGGATGCTCTGCGGCATGGATCCTTGACCTAATCTTGCAAGGCTCTTTTTATCTTCAGAGCTAGCAGAGGTATTAGGGCAGCTCTATAGACACAGGATAATGTTGAGAGAACAAACAGCGTTTGCCGTGACACCTGGCCTCTGAAATCTCTCCGTCAAGCCTCTTCTGTTCTCCCCACCGCGCCCTAAAACCGATGTGAACCAGCCTGGCTTCTCCTGTAAATATTTATCCATTGATTATTTCTATCCCGCTCTTCAGCCAAAAAGAAAAAGGACACACGCATTCACACAGACAGGGAAAAGCTTACAGATCACTTTTTCTTTCTTTCTTTTAAAGACTGTTCTCTTCTTTCATGTTTACAATCTTAAAAGATACGGCATGAAAGGAAAATGGATCAGGAGGGAGGAGGAAAACAAGAGCCAAGTTTTCAGTTATAAGCCAATAAACAGCAGCTAAGCCTGGGGGAGGGTGGCGGTGCCCCCACCGGTACTTTGCTGATCTCAGGGATGGCACACACACACACGCCGTGTCCCCATCACCCCCCTAAAAAATGTCTCATGCTCCCTACGTGACGGATTCCCAGGGGGTCGTGCAAACAACCAAGTCTCTGAGCATGGATTAGCTCTGTGTGTGTGTGTGTGTGTGTGTGTGTGTGTGTGTGTGTACACATTGCAAAACCCAGTAGTAACAGTAAATCTGAAAATGGAAGTTTCGATGTTTTCTGCCTGGGTGTAAGCTTCTGTAGTGGCGGTTTAATCTCTCTTGATAGTAGGATAATCTGTATTACCGACTCTCTCCCGTGTGGGCGGAAACCTTATCGCAGCATCACCTGGCAGGTAAGCCCGAGCTGAAGGGAATTGGGAAACCGGGAGAATCTCCTCAGTAAAGAAAACACCTTGTCCAACCTTCTTGCCACCGTTCCCAAACTGGTGCCCTCTGGACTATCCTTCACTCGGGGTTTTTTAGAGCTCAGTTGGGTGCCCGTCTGTCAGCAAATCTTCAGCTACGATTCCTGCGTTGTACGGGGTGGAATGACCTTTGGGGCCACCTCCAGCTTTACAGTTCTCTGATTCTCTAATCCAGTGATTCCAGCCACCCCCAAAACACTCTGGGTACCAAGAAAGGCCCTTGAGGGGCATGACTTGGAGAGGGCCAGACAGGGATGATCAGAGGGGCACATCTGCCCCATAGGACTTCAAGATTCACAGCGAGGTCCTGGGTGTAGAGAGTTCAGGGCCTCCTCAACCCCACATCTCTTTAAGCCCAGAGCTAAGCCACACCTTAGCTCAGTGTGAACTGATGGTATTATCTCGTCTTCAAACAAAAGCAGCGCTGGATTGCTTCTAATTCACTTCTTGGCAATGATATGGGGGCGAAAGCAAAGGCGAAGGGGGGTGGGTGGGTGGGAGAAAACACACAAGCCCTCCTCTCGGGGGAAGAGGTCAGGGCAAATTCCGTTGTGTGTGTTTGTTGAGAGGCAGTGTATACACAACCCAAAGCATGTCCGTGCCTGTTTAAATGCCAATCCGCTAATGGGACTGAATAGATGGATCTCAACAAGGCTGGAGTCTGCGTTGGGATGGGGCTGGCAGCCGAGACGCCTAGCAGGAACGGTGTCAGGCAGAGGCATTTTGCTGCCCAAGGTGGACAAGTTGACACACACACCCATTTCAGTCTGGCCACAGTGATGCATGTGACGCTCACCTCCAGACTTGATTATTGTAACTTGCTCTACGCGGGGCTGCCCTTGAGACTGACCCAGAAACTCCAGCGGGTGCAGAATGCCACAGTGAGGCTCCTTACGGGGTCCTTGCCGCGGGATCACATTCATCCAGTGCTTTACCAACTGCACTGGCTCCTGGTGGAGTACAGGGTCAGGTTTAAGGTGCTGGTTTTGACCTTTAAAGCCCTATGCGGCCTAGGACCCACGTACCTACAGGACTGCCTCTCCTGGTATGCCCCGCGGAGGACCTTAAGGTCCACAAATAACAACACTTTGGAGGTCCCGAGCCTCAAGGAGGTTAGATTGGTCTCAAGTAGGGCCAGGGCCTTTTCAGAACTGGCCCCAACGTGGTGGAACGCTCTGTCCCAAGAGACTAGGGCCCTGCGGGACTTGACATCTTTCCACAGGGCCTGCAAGACAGAGCTGTTCCTCCTGGCCTTTGGTTTGGACTCGGTCTGACCCTTATGTTTCCCTTCCCTTATGGTCTTGATTTATCAGCTATTTTAAAATGAGGCTGCATTTTAAATTGCATTTTAACCTGTATTTTAAATTGGGGTTTTTTTTTCTTCCTCTCTTTCCCCCCTATTATGTTTTTACTGTGATTTTATTTTATTGGTGTTAGCCGCCCTGAGCCCGGCTCTGGCTGGGGAGGGCAGGGTATAAATAAAATTTATTATTTATATTATTATTATTATTATTATCATCATCATCATCATTACACACACACACACACACACACACACACACACACACACACACAGCTGCACCAGCTCTTAATTCCATGCACAGAAACAAACAGGGTTGGGTTATTGAATGCTCACTGAGCATTCGTGCTGATTTCTTCAAAGCCAGATTATACAGCATCATATGAAGCAGTTGTTATCCCACACTTTCCAGTAGATTTTCCCAGCACTTTCCTTACTTGTTTTAAAGGTATCTGTAGTTTTGGACTTCCGGGGTGGTGCCATCGGCAATGGCGGACTCCCTCTGAATTGGAGGGACTAGCTCCGTGCGAAACGGGTCTTCTCCGCTACGGCGAAGCGGGGACCCTTCTAAAAATCACAGGCGGATGAAGCCTGTGACCATGGGACTTGGCGGGCACCCTTAGCGCCCCCCCAACCTGCAAAGGAACCCACTAACGGGCTCCGAAGCGAAGAGGGGGAAGTGGCGCGGTGCTGTGAGTCAACTGCTATTTCCGTGGAGCGAAGCCGCACAGCTGTTGCCGGAGAGCGCTGCCTTTTTCCTGGGACAAATTGGCTTCTAAAATAAGCACCCGTGAGTACTTAAACTTTGAACAATTGGACTTTAAATAAGGACTTGCGAGCAGAAAGGAATTGGACTTAAAAATTTTACTTCAATTTGGTACTGAAACGGGAAGGTCAGCCTTCCGTTTCTTTGTAGACAGAATAAAGCAAAGACAACGTAAACTAGAGCTCAGAAAATCGCCTCTAAAGGATTGGCTTTCATCATTTAAAATTGTTGAACCCCCCTTCGGCAGCAGGAGAAGAAGGGGGATCTTTTCTGGACTGTTTAAACCTGCAGAAGTGAGTTTAAAGTAAAGTAACTTTCCACCGTCCTGATCCTGGAGCGGGGTGTCAGGACTGACGTTTGAAGCTCATTGACCAGAAACAAGCACTTTTGACAGATAGCTAAAAGAAGAGGAACATAGTGATTCCATTGTTTCCTTTCGCACCTTAAAGGAACAAATATTGACAAAATATCTGAAAAAAGGAAACTCTGTTGCTAGACTTGTCTTTAAAAGAAAGATTAAACAGAAGTTTTCCCCCTAGAGGGAGACTGTGAAACTGTAATCAACTCCTGGGAGCTGGCACCTGTGACAGATTACAATTGTGGGAATAGACATGTGACCTTCAGGACAATGTATTCAGAAGCTCTGTTGTGTGCTTTCTATAAAACAAATGCCCTACTGGAACAGTTACATGAGAAGACGAATTTGATGGCTGATTCGATTAGAAATTTTGAACAGGCAGTGGGAAATTTTGAACAGGCAGTGGGAAAATATGTGGAGCCCACCCAGGAATTAAATCAAGAGTGTGTCTTGACAGAACAGGCCCTACAGGAATATGAGCTTCGGATTTGACAAATGAACTTGGAAAAAGCCAGATTTGGAAAGAAAAAGTTTGGTTTGGTTTGGAAATGGGGGGTTGGATAGACCCTCCTATGAAATTGGACTTTTCAAGTCTGGCAATGGGCCGTGAGATGTTTGGGATTGTGGGGGCTCTTAATTTTGGAGGGATTCTGAAACATGTTTTTAAATACCACATGGAATTTAGTGTCGATTATGGAAAAGGGGCTGATCTGTCGAGAAGGGTTAAAAATATTGCTAAGTTGGAGTTCCCACGAGTGAAAGGAGCAGGAGACAAAGGAAAATACAGCTATAAATATGAAGAAGAGCCGCGGAAGGGACATGGAAGGGACTTAAGGGCCTCGGATATAAGATTACCAGGTTAATGCGCCAGATTGATGGGATAATAAGGACTGACAAAACCCGGGACCAGGAGGAAGGGACGCTGGATGAAGATTGGATTTGTTTTTATTTCTTTTTTTCACTACTAGGACTGTTTTATAAAATTGA